ATTATCTTTTAGTGATGCGTACAATTTTGCAAATCACATGTCTCTGAATTTCTACTTGAGAATGCTGTCACTCTGCAAGTCTATTTATTCCGGTGGCAGAATGGCTATGTAGATTTTTGTGGATAAAACTGGGAGAGTTCGTATATTTATTATCGTATATATTTTATATTTATTTGTTCTCAAAAAAAGTATAAAATGATTAAACGTCACTTTGAATTTTGGTGTTGAGATCACCTATAAATTTTAATATAATACCACGTGATCATTCTCTGGGGCATTTAGTGACCATCAAACTAAGAACTGGTCCCAAGATGGCTTCCACATTACGTAAGGCCATTTTGGATTCTTTCCTTGTATATAATTTTATAAATTTCTGCACGAGACAGAATAAATACAAAGGAAAGGTACAATATTACATTGCCAAGGTGGATGTTGCTTTTTGTTCAATTTAATCAACATCTTAACTAGTTTTTTTCTTCTTTTTTAAATCTTATAATTAACGATACAAAACTCAGTAATAGTTATCATTATTAAATAATTTAAATTAACTGCGCTTTTGTTTGTGGCTGGCTGGGTGGGTGGCAAAATCTTCGGACGGCTAATTGACCCACTTCCCGTTTAGTGCAATTAACTTCATTTTACAGGTCCTGGCTTATATAGCACAATTTGTGACAACCTTTGACTTACTAAAAAAAAAAAATTTTAAATGATATTCTAAAAGTTTGTACCCGGGAATTGAGCATTTCCCGGTAATATATTTTTTTTACAATTAAAATCGAACGAGATCCGGGGATCCCACTTGAGAAACTGATGTTTATGGCAATCAAGGTTGTCTCCCTAAAGTTATCATGACCCGATGGGACAAACGTTTTGCTGTAAGATCGGAACTCCTTAATCCAAGTAAAGTTTTAAAGGGTTTCTCTTGGGATTCCGCTTTAAAGTCAGAGAGATTACGTCATCCATAGATGCGACTCTTCCTAACATGAGTCCACGTGTGAAACTGTACAAATCTATCAGCAATTTTATTAGGAGAGTAATGCGTGGTCAAACTTGCTTCTTTCGGCACGGCACCCCGGGAGTCACACACTCAGCGTGAAATGCGTGCACAAAATGGCTTCTCAGCGTGTTGAGCAACATGCAACAAAGGTCTTTGTGACTGTCAGCAAGATGGGACGGAATCAGTGGCGTCTGAAGGTGGATGCGGAGGGGAGGGGTGGTATGCCCCTGGTGGGACTTTTTCTTTATATGGAAGGGTGGCATTTTCGGCCAACTGTAGAGGGGTTTCTTTTTCCATTTATTTTAACATGATATAAAACAACATTTTAATCCCAGATTTAAAATATACTAATAATAAACCAATAGAAATGTATTTCTATTATTATTTAAGGTATCACGGGATATAAAGTACAAATTTTCTTAAAATGTTCAATATTTAATATTTTGATATACAAAAAAAAACTTATAATTTTAAGGTTTTTCAGAACAACAGAACCAATGCTATTTCAGACCAACAGAACCAATGCTATTTCAGACCAACAGAACCAATGCTATTTCAGACCAACTGAACCAATGCTATTTCAGACCAACAGAACCAATGCTATTTCAGACCAACAGAACCAATGCTATTTAAAGACACAAAATTAAAGGCATAAGCTATGAAAATGAATTAGTACAAAATTATTTTGTAAATAGAAGTTTATGGACTTTTTACCATACATTCACGGTAAAAGGATCACAACGAAGGGGTAAACGGCCCCCTGTGGATTCTGTTTACTAGTCACTGTCATCACCGTCGCAATTTTTGCACACATAAATTGGTAGACCTGGTGTGCAGACCTTATTAAGGCAGCTGGTGCATCTGATCCACTCTTCCCCTGGCTTGCTTCTAATAAATTCCTCCACGCAAACCCGACACGGCCATTCTTCATCTTTAGATTTGTCTCTTTTTTTTTTCTTCCTTTCATTTCCCGTTACCACGCAGATACACTTATTTTATTGGCCTTTCTTGTTGATACTTGTTTAAATAGCAACGTTTTCTCAAAAAGGAGTTTGACGTTGAGGCCCCAACATTTATGTTTGTCATAAAGGTTCATATAAGGGAGGGGCAGTTTCATTGACTTAAGCAGCTTTATTAAGATCTTTTTTGATCGAAGTAATGGTTTGGTTGGTTTGCTATGGAATAGCGGTCACACAAGACGGCATAAAGTCATCGTTATTAAAAAAATATCTGGATTAAAATGGCCAAAGGTCAAACTAACAGGAATCCCTTTACACTTTACAACAGCAAGACCGACAGTGGCAGATTTATTATAGGCTTATACAAAAATGCCAGCCATGTCGTGAAACCTGACCCGCTGGTCAGGGTGTGACACCATCCACGAGTCATCAACGGGTTTTAAAAAAAAAAAAATGTCCACGGGGTTAAAAAAAAAAGTTCTGTTGCCTGGTTGAATTTTGTGTTTGCAATGAGATGGAAGAGTAATTATGTGGATCCCATGTTTCTTGGCATAGTCAATTGCTGTGTTGTTTGTTTGTTGTTTTTTTTTTGTTGTTTTTTTTTGCTGCTATGTCCAGCCAATATGATGATGTGATTGTCATCTTTAGTTGGCTTTGCAAATTTGGTAAAGTATTCAAGCCACATCGTGAACTGCTGGCAATCAGACAATCCATAAGTGCAGGAACCAATGGTTTCTGCTGGGCTAGTTTTCAAAAGTTGTGGGTCCCATCTTTTTCTGGAGAAAATAAACATCGGTGTGTTGCACACTCCATCTCCATTAAGGACACACATCCCAGTGACTGATTCCCACTTTTCAGTGCTTGTTACTTTGCTGAATGACCTTTTACCTTTTTGACTAAAATTTTGGGAGATTTCAGAACACAGGTTATTCCAGTCTCATAAATATTCCTAATCTTGCTTGCAGAGAATTTGCCAGATTCCAAAATTTTACGTTACCATTAAAAAAAGGCGATCAAATTGGATCTTATTGAAACCAAATGCTCTGGAAATGCTAACTGCTTCTGGTGTCCTTATTGAAATGATTGGATTCCTCTTTAGAAAGCCAGTCAGGCAGGACCTTCAAGTCCAGTTTTCTTATTAAATATGTGCTGCACGCTTAGCTTTTCGTCTAGATCAAAAGCTAGTTTCTATATATTTCTCCCAGTTAGTAGTGAGACCAAAAAAATTGCTTTCATACCTTATAATTTTTGCTGTATAGACAATTGATGCCCTTCATTTAACTTGGGCCTAAATTTTCCTAGAAAAATGTTTCCCGGATTAGCCACCTTGTACATGTGAAGTGGTTTCCTGTCTGTGGCATATCTTTCTGCAGCAGCCTTCAGTCTTAAGTCATTGTATTGAGCTCTTAACCCCACCCCCCACCCACACCCACACGAAGAGTTATCATCGCTGACGTGAAACGGCACGACCAATTGTTGCAGACTGATGCCATTCATCGCATTTGAAGACAAGCGGCGGATGAACTTATTTAAGTCCTTCTCAGTTTATAGGCAGCGAGAGCAAATTTTGCCTCAGTACAGTTTACTCGGATTTAATTAAAATTTGTGAGTGTTACTTTTACATTTCTGCTCGTTGTGCAAACCTGGAGAGGGTCGTTTGTTTGTTGTTGATTTTTTTCACTGATAAACTTTCGGAGGGTTAGGGAACAGGATTGGCGAGATGTGTTCGTGAAGGCGATAATACAAACACAACTGGCAGAGGCGCCGCCTTGGGGGCCGTCCATAAAGTACGTCACGCTATTTTTGACCTTTTTCCCCCCCCCCTCCCCCGTCACAAATCTCGGATCGCCCCTTCCCCCCCCCCCCCTAAAGTACGTCACACTTTCGAACAATTTTTTTTAAATTAACACCTAATTAAAATTTAATCTAAAACACACTTAACTATTAAACTGTATTAAAATTTAAAAAAAAATTCAGCTTAAAAGATCTATCACATTATTAAAATGACTTTAATAGTAGAATAGTTACTAGCGCTCCTAGCGAGAGGAATCGTGAACAACACATTCAGGAGATACGAATTTCATGCTACTTTGACATAAAACTAATTCAAATATTTCACAAAATTTTTGAAAATTATTTTTAAAGCTATTTAATTCTACTAAAAAAAAAAAATTAGAAATAAAATTTAAAAAATAAAATAAATGTGAGCGTGACGTACTTTATGGACGGCCCCTATAGTGGTCAATTTTACTTTTCATTATATATAACTGTGGCTATTTTGTAAAGTTTTCCCACCTTGATCTAGGAATGATTCTTTAATAATGATACGTTTCCCAACGTTCAGACGTCAAGTAAACAAACACTCAATACAGTGTACTCATGTGATGAACACAGTTATCTTACGCACGGTGCGCAAGAAAGCCATTCATTTTTGTGCACCAATTAAAACTTAAATTAAACTTCATGACCGACCTAGCCGCAGCACAAAATCATGATAAATATTGATATGTCAAATAGTGCCAGAACCACCCCCTTCCCCCCCCCCCCGGCCAACTTCTAAACACCATTTTTAAATTTCTAGAAGTAATCCTGGTTGCAGGTCACAACAACTTAGCAAATTTTATGAAATAGTGCCAGAACCCCCCCCTTCCCCCCCCCCCCCGGCCAACTTCTAAACACCATTTTTAAATTTCTAGAAGTAATCCTGGTTGCAGGTCACAACAACTTAGCAAATTTTATGAAGGGGTCACTGCACTGAAAATGTTGAGAACCTCTGACAATAGAAGGGCCTCTTTTTTGGAGGGGACAGATTAAATCTTTTAACTTTCAATTTTATATGTATAAAATCTTGCACAACGTATATACAAAAATTGCATCATTTCATGTTTGTTGAGAAGTGTCTACAATTTCAGCCAGTGCAGTATGTTAGATTTAGTATATTTATACAAAAGTACAACCTCAGATTTCTTCCATTGGGGATCAAATTAACTTAAACACGTCAATTATGTCATTTCATACCAAAAAAACTTGGAGCAAGAAGTGTATTTTTTAGCAATAAACTTTTAATTCCAGTCTAAATAAATTATATTTTTCAGACAATGATATCCATATAGTAGTATATAGTGGCATTTGTTATAAATGTTCATTCGATATTTTAACGTTTGGACATGCCTTATACTGGTACAATGTTCTAATTAAATATTCATTTCCAAAACATTTAGGTGACATTCTTTCATCAATAATAAAAAGTTATATTCTCTGATTTGAATAAAACCATTAAAATGACAAATAATTTTGCATGAAAGCTCCCTAAGCACAGTGATAGTAATTAGCAACAACAAGAGGACTGGCTGCTATAAAGCATCAAAATAAACAATATTACAATGACAAGTGTATTGAATTTCTTGCCTGACCTCAGTACAGACAAGTGAAGTGATGAATAGCTAAAAGATCATTTTCCGGAGACTAAAAAAATCCATTAATTGAATCAATATTTCAAGTGCTAAAGATATAGGTTACAAAAACTAGAGAACTTTTCCACTGACCCGGCCTGAAACTAAACTGAGTCTTAAATAAAATGCTGTGAATCCATCCATCCACTTCTGTAGCGCTACTGCCCATGTAGGGCTTTGGCCTGCCTCACTACTTCCTTCCACTCAGACCTAACTAATGCTTTTCTTTTCCATGCTTGGATTCCTAGCTGCTGTAGATCTTTTTCCACATCATCCATCCATCTAAGCCTAAGTCTGCCCTTGAGCCGTTTTCATCTGGGGTTTTGGTGATGTACCCTCTTCACTCCTCTATCATTTGGCATTCTTCACTCCTCTGGTTGATTCATATTCTCCATCCTCCATCCGTATTCATCCTTTGTTGGTCCATATATTTTCCGGAGAACCTTTCTCTCCCATGTGTTTAATAGATTTTCCGCCATTTTTGTTAAGGTCCAAGTTTCACTTGCGTGAAAGAGTATGCTGTGAAACCAAACCAACTTTAACCAGTGGCCCTGTTACACAAGGATTTGTGTGCAGTGTTACTGATGAGGTTTAAATCCTATAATGGAGCAGACTCTAAACTGGTTTTGGACTCATTTTAAACTAAACATTAATTGGAAGTTTTCACTTTAAAATGGAGGCATCTCATTATAATTTGATGTTACTCATTGGATGAATTATAAAATGATACAGCATTATAAAAGTTTCAGCAAAGCTTTCTTTAAGTTTAAGAACCATAACAAAATGTCTTTGACATTAAAATAAATAAATGTTTATAATAAAAATCTACCAAGCAAAATATTACCAAGTAACCAGGTGATACAATGTGACCAGGTGATACAATGTGACCAGGTGATACAATGTGAACAGGTGATACAAAGTGACCAGGTGATACAAAGTGACCAGGTGATACAAAGTGACCAGGTGATAGAATGTAACCAGGTGATACAAAGTGACCAGGTGTGATAGAGTGTAACCAGAGTGGAAATCAAATTTAAAACAATCCAATAAAGGTAAACTAAAAAAATAACACATGACAAGAAGATGTCAACACTATCATCAGATGGAGATTACATTAACAATAGCATCAGTTAGAGATTGTGATTCCTTCACCAGATCTTTTTAAAAAGTTGTTCCTAAAGTCAGTTCATTTATTGAACCTTTAGCTTCTTACTGTAATCAGACAAGGAAATATCAATAATAAAAGTAAATATGGAAAAAGGACACAAAATTATGACTGGAAAGAAATAAAAGCAAATAGCAATCCTAAAGTAGATCAAATTATACTTTAATCAACTTCTAATAATAATATTTATAAATCTGATTGTTTATATTTATTTTTACAGTTTTGTTCTGACAAGTGTCTACTGAAAAAAAAAGATCATAATTGAAACTTTGAATGTGATAACATAGGCAGATAAATAAAATAGTATGGCAACTTGAATACATAGAGTAAATTAATTGAAAGTTTGAATGGAATGGCTTCATATCATTCCAAGTGTCACAGCACACAGCACACGTTTCGCGAAAGGACTGAGGGAAGTAGGGCAAGAGGACTGGGGCAAAAAATGTCTAGGGTGAAGTAAGGCAAGAGGACTGAGGGGAGTAGGGCAAGAGGAATATGAAGAAGTAAAGTAAGAGGACTGGGGGAAGTAGGACTAAGGATAAGTAAGGCAAGAGGACTGGGGGAAGTAGGACAATGGGACTAGGGAGAAGTAAGGCAAGAGGACTGAGGGGAGTAGGACAATAGGAATGAGAGAAGTAGGACAATTGGACTGAGAGAAGTAGGACAATAGGACTGAGAGAAGTAGGACAATAGGTCTGGGGGAAGTAGAATATTTTAAAACATGATTAGATAAGATATGTCTGTGATAAGATTTGAATAAGTGTCTGAAACGAATTTCATGAATGAAATAAGTAAATTTAGGGCACTTTTTAATGGATATATGAAGGTGGACATCCAATTCACTGACCATTGGTGCCTGACATTCAGTCACTGATAGATATAGATATTAAGTTTAAACTAATTCAGTTGTAAATATCACTGAGATTTGTATGTTACTATGTAGTTCTATGTTTTAGTAACTCGTGTTTGAATTGAGCTACTGTACATGTATGATTTTCACTATGCTATTCAACATAAAAAAATTTTAAATTCATACATTTTGATCACTTCCTTCTGCTTAGCAGTACTCAATAGAAAAACTCCTATGTAAAAAAAACAAAAAAACAATGCTTTTAAAAATAGGGTTATAGGTCAAGAAGGCTTTCCCAGCTCCCTTCATTCATAGTATTTTTTTTTACTTTCAATATGTTTTGTTTTTTGTAAAATGTTCAGCTATAAATAAATCAATAGATCAATTCTTTGGGCTGCTCCCACGGGAAGTCATCCCGTCCAAAATGACCGTAGCAGGCTGTCTTTTTGAAGATTGGTGTCCTGAGATTCAAATCACTAAAAGAAAGATTAAAAAAAATAAGATGTCACATACACAGAAAGATCACCGATAAGTTTTTGACAAAGTTAATTCAAATGTCTTTCAGCCACACACTTTTCATATTTGCCATTACTTAATAACATTTTTTATGTGTTATTGAAATCAGTCCTTTTTTAAGAACTTGAAAAGACATGTTACAAGCAAAAATGCCTAGTTGGAGTGTTCCTTGATGTAATCTAGTTATTCAGCCTTAAATTTGTCCATCTTTCAGCAAAATATTTCATGGGAATCATTTCAAAAGCTCTTTCAAGAATGGACTAAAATAATTCAAAATTCCCCTATTTTAATTTGGTCAAAGAAATTGAGTTCAACATATTAACCATTCATTATCCATTATCCTAACATTGTATAACACTTAATATGTTTGTCTGAAGTTCTTATGAAGTGGTCAATTCAATAATGAGAATAGTATTCAGCTCAAGACAACACAAGATGTATTTAATTATTACTACATTATTTAACATGCAACATGTTTAAATAAATTTAACTTGAACACTTTGAGTCTGTACAACTAAAGAATATACTTAAATACTCACTTCACAATCTTCCCTGGCCTGAGATCAAAATTATTCTGGATAATTTGTAGCAATTCTTGTTCACTTTTGCTAGAAGTCCCAAAATTGAATACTGATATAGACAAAGGTTCAGCAATACCCGTGGCATATGAGATCTGACAAATCAAAATCAGCATAAAAATAATAATAATAATTGAATGGCTTATTAAATATATAAGCAAAAAGTTATATCCTCATTTCATAAAAATAAAATAATTAACAAAATTATTTTATCTAACTTCTTAGTATAACAGACTAAAATGATTTCAAGCACAATAAAAATGTGAAGTTTAAGAATATATGAATACGTTAACTCTCCAGTTGTTACTAAGTGATGTAAAACAGCATGCAAATAATCTTTTGCTAAAAACATCCTATAGCAAAATATTCTTTCACCTGAACCAATACCCGCCGACATAAACCGGCTTTCACTAGAGACTTGGCCACCCATCTGGCAGCGTATGAGCCACATCTTTCAATTTTTGCACCATCTTTCCCAGACAGAGCCCCTCCACCATGAGCCCCCCATCCTCCGTAAGTGTCCACAATGATTTTTCTCCCTGTGAGCCCTGCATCTCCCTAAATCAAGTAACAATGTACAAGAAATCAGAACAGGTTCAAATTTATTCTGTTTACATAAAAAAAAATGAAAGAGCAACAATGGACTATTTAAAGTAGTTAAAAAATTAAGATTTGAAAGATAATGTATAATACTTTAAATTTTTTATGAATTTGGAGTTAAATACACGTTGACCTAATTTTTAAATTAACTAACAGAGCTCTAAAATATAACATTTTTTAACATCTTCCGTTACATTAATATAAATTATAATATCTTTAGGATACTGATTTAATTAAATAATTATAAAAACTTAATGTTCGAATGTTTAAATTAAGAGAATCTGGTTTGCGAAACATTATCTTAACAATGGGTCAACTTAGACTTTAAAAAAATTAAAAAACTGAAATTACAAAGTGGCTCAACAATAAAAAAAAGTATTCCTAAGATTTATTGAAATGCACATTATTTTAAATTACAAAATTTGCTTGCCCCCGAATAAGGTCAATGGTTTCCATAGGATGTGGTAATGCAAAAGATGATGACAAATAAAAAGAGCGAAAGATTATATTTATATAGGATATGGCCCTGTTGAGACCCGCTGGTCCTCACCTTTGTGAGACCCGCTGGCTCCACTCTCTCCATCGCTTCCCCACGTGTTCATCGCTACCCCACGCGATATGACACAATTAGGCTGGGCCTTAAAATATTACAAGATCAAATTTTGCTAACCCAAGAATTTGCAGATGGGCATTAGCATTGCAGGAATTTGTTTTTGACATAGATTATATTAAGGGACAAGACAATGTTGTAGCTGATTTTCTATCACGGGTTGGGGAATAGTCATGATCATTGATATCTGTATAACTAATTTTCCATTTAAATTTCTATTTCTTCTCAGGTTCATCATGTAGTTTTAATGCAATTATTATTATGACATTTTTGTAATTATTGATTCCATGTCAACGTGTACTTGCAATTGTGAGATTTTTATGCCATTAATGTAGTTTTGCTATAAATATTCATTACATTGTTCAATTTAAAATGTATAATTTCAAGTTATTAAAGAATGTTCTGATTATGTAGTGTGTGCCAATACGGCGTATTGTCCCAAAGCGAAGAGGGGGGGAGTGTTGAGACCCGCTGGTCCTCACCTTTGTGAGACCCGCTGGCTCCACTCTCTCCATCGCTTCCCCACGTGTTCATCGCTACCCCACGCGATATGACACAATTAGGCTGGGCCTTAAAATATTACAAGTAGACTCAAATAACAATGGAAATTAACTTATTCACTTTGGCCATGACCCAGTTTAAGCAATACACTCATTCTTATCAAGCGTCCCAACTCTGAGTTGTCACTCTGATGACCAACGCTTAAAAAAACTAACTCGGAATCCGAAGCCACGCTTGTGAGTCATTTAAACACGACTCTGGGATGCCACGCTTAAATGCGGGACAAGCACGCCAAACTTAGAGTATATATTGAAAGCCCAAATCATGTATCGGCCTCTCTTACCTGAATTATGTCAGAAGAGCCTGGCTGGCATAATTAGCTGATAAAGTGTGTTTATCCGATTGTGTTAGGTTAGTATTGTTCTATTTCATATTCATATGTACTGGTATGTAGAGTCGTAGATGTAATGTTATTAAGAAAATGTTAGGACTATAGTGACTATTGTTAATGTTTGAATATGATAACTATTAATAATTTATAATGTGATGTGATTTGTAATTCTTAGTTATGTCTTATGCATTGTATTTATTATTCTCATTTCTAGCCAGTTAAGTAAAGTTAATTAAAAGTTAAGTAAAAGTAAAGTTAAGTAAAGTACAGTTAAGTAAACTGAAGTTAAGTAAAAGTAAAGTATAGTTACGTAAAGTGAAGTAAACTGAAGTTACGTAAAGTGAAGTAAACTGAAGTAAAGTAAAGTGAAGAAATTACATGAAATAAGTTACAGTATGTAACATTTGGCCATTAAAGAATATTTGACCAGAAAGTATTTGTAAAGTAAATAACATTTGGTCAGAGGTGTACTAGTTCAATAAATACTATCTGGAACTAAAGCTAGTACAGTTCAGTAAAGGAGTCGCAGTTATTAGCAGAAGTGAATCCAAAGAAATCAAACAAGACGGTAGCATATACTGTGTGTGTGTAACCCACAGTACAGTTCAAAGTCGGCACCTACCTCCTCGCCGTGCCAGTGACCGGAGACACTTACGCAGTCAAGCCGCCCAACCCCGCAGTACATTGTGACCCGAGCAGAGGGCTGCTGTGGTGTGTGTGTGTGTGTGGGACTTACTTATTTGACCAGATCGCCATTGAGAGCCTACTATGCAATAATATTGGGCAGTATCTTGTTATCCTGTTTGTGTATAGTATATTATGTAATGTGTATGCTGATAGTTCTATTTTTTATATAATTAAATATTTATTTGTGGGCTGAACCACTCTTGTGTCATTAGTATAGTTTAAGTATTAATAGACTTGGAAGTGAGAGCTAGTGAGAGTTCATTGAATGATAGAGTGAGTGTGAAGTAGGATTAGTGTAGAATACTTCATCAGAAAATTAATCATACCCTAGACATAGCCATAATAGCAGTACTAATCTAACGTAGAGGAAAGGGACCTTTGTTTGTTAATACAAACATTAAACATTTCAAACCCAATACTTGTAATAATTGGGTCAGAACATAACATTAATTACAACATCATAGTAGTTTTGTAACAAAGTTTTGTAACAATTGGGGGCTCGTCTAAACAAATACGTAGATTAGTACAAGGGTGATTTGATCATATTGAATTTAACGATCTATATTATTTTGATTAGATTGTATTTTAAAGATATTGCTTTAAGTTAGTTTGCATTTTTTCACTTTATTGTTACTTTAACTTTTATGTGCAAATGGTTTTAGTCAAATGAGAGAGTATTGTTATTAACTAACAGTTATCGTTCATTGTGTAAACATTCTCTCCCCATATTCCTTGTTACACATCGTAGAGAGAAGTCTCACGGTCCTGCTACAACTTACCAGTAGTACACTAATACGCTTCGACGCTACACAATAGGGCCTTTTGGGTCAGGAATCTAGGTCAACGTTGTGTCTTCCTGCTAATTGAGGTGGCATCACAGGCTGTGTGACAGGCGTCATTTGATTGTGGGCGTGTTCGGCGGAAGGTTTGAATTTTAAGTTTTTATCTTTATCCGCTTACAGTCCACCACAACCAGTTGGTTAAATTGATTACTCGTTTATTTGTTCTTTGTTATCTCCAAGGAGGGTCGTAGCATTTTCAGTATCTTTTCCTTATTGAAGAGTTAGTTTAAATGCTCCCATTTCTATTAGGGTCTATAGATATATATAGGTAAAATTCGTTTACCCGTAAGAGCGATAAAGTTCGCTGGGGATTTTACTCTATATAGTTCTTGCTAAGTGTTAGTCGTGGTGTCAGTTTTGTTTCAGGGGGTGTTAAGTTACGTGGCGTCTACTATCTTCTCTTGTCTTTGTGTTTCTTGTTAACAAAACATTTTTTTTCAGCCCTTGTCTTGTCTCATCGTGTTTGTAGGGAATTGTCAAGGGAAAGTGTTATTGTTTTGTCAAGTCTTGCGTTTTGAGTTGTCTCGTATACGTATATTGTCATAGCTTTATTTTATTTTTTTGCATATTTGCTGTGTAGACATACCGGGTTTATTAAAACCGTATAGTCAGTTTGCCTAATTATAGCGACAATGAAGTCGATCCAGGAACTGAAAGATGAAGCTACCGAAATGGGGCTAACAGGGAAAGATATAGGGCATTACGTGAAAGAGGAAAAGGCAAAACAAGAAGATAGAGAAAGGGAAAGGGCAGAAAAAATACGTCAGGATGAGAAAGAAATAGCACTAAGAAACTTTGAAATGAGGAAATTAGAGTTAGAAGCAGAAGAAAAGGAGAGAGAGCGACAGCACCAACTCGCCTTAGCACAGACTGGCATTAGGGTTGACAATAAAGCTGACACAGACTCTCCTAGGTCGAATTTTAGAGACAGATTGGATAGGAATTTACCCAATTACCATGACACAGAAGACTTAGATAGCTATCTGTTGTCTTTCGAATTAACAGCTGAGCGTTGTAACATACCTAAATCTCAGTGGACAGACCATCTCCATACTAAGTTATCCCCCAAACTGAGACAATTTATGACCACACAGGATATACTCAGCAAACGAACTGACTATGACCTGATCAGGACATTACTCCTAAGACAAGCGGGTTACAACAACGAGACATATAGGATTAAATGGAACACTTTAGCTCCACTGCAGGATGATTTCCGTACATTTCATTCAAACTTGATAAGAACCTTAGACAACTGGTTAGACACTACTGACACCCCAAAAACATTTGAAGGTCTCAAGGATCTCCTTTGCTTAAACAAACTGCTATTAAATGTTAACAACAACTCGCTCAAAACTATTTTACTTAAAGAACCTAAGAACTGCACAGAAATTTTGACCCACATAGATATGCTCAAATCTATAAATGATAGTAAAGTGGCAAAACAATTTAGTAATAGGACATTCCCCGTAGTGGATGGTGCGGCCGCAAATTTCCCCCAGTCGTACAATAGACAGAGAACTAGGTCAGTACCGCGGCATTACGATGACGTCGTATGCTACGCGTGCCACAAATCAGGTCATCTTGCCAATGCGTGTCCCACGCTTAAGTCTAAGGCAATTGAGGACGTTAGAAATTTTAGACAGTCCATTCCAGTGAACAACCCTACATTCCGTAATGCCGGAGGGGACAGGTATGGACAAACCAACAGAGGGGTCCCGGGTAGACAGTATGACAAATTTAATAGAGGTAGAGATAGGCAGAGACAGTCTCGACAGATATGACTGAATAGGATCAACAGTGAATGCGTTGAACACTGTAATGCGTGTAAAGTCAGTGTAGACAATGCAGAATTCCCCGTCCCATGTCGATTAGAGACATTCAATAGTTTAGAAGGGAATAGGCAACTCCGGAAAAACTCGCTAGGTAGACTAACGTTTGAAGAAGGATTGTTAATGGGGAAGAAGGTAACAGTACTTAGGGACACAGGCTGTAGCATTATAGGATGTAGAAAGTCTTTAGTGCCAAAAAATAGATGGTCACGAGAGAAATTTGCTTTGAAATTGATAGATGGGACAGTCCGACGTTTTTCGACTGGTTATATCCATATAAACACGCCATACATTACAGGCGAATTCTTAGCGGCGCTGTTTGATGACCCAGTCGCCGACTTAATAATAGGGAACGTAGGTCAAGCTTGCCAGCCTTTTCTACAGGCAGCCGCCGTAACGCGTGCAGCGTCTAGGCAAAGTAAACAAACACAGTCTCTGACCCCACCGAACTATACAGTAGCTATTGATAGTTGCAATTTCAGAAAGGAACAGTTAGCGGATCCAGAATTAAATCACCTCTGGGAAAAGGCGAAATCAAATACACAAGAAATTACAAAGTCAGGGTCTATTTCGTTTCAAGAGACCGATGGGCTCTTGTACAGGGTATTTACATATCATTCAGACCAATCTAGAACAAACTGTAAATTAGTAGTCCCTAAATCAAAAAGGCATTTAGTATTAGAAGCAGCCCATTCCACTCCATTAGCAGGACATATGTCCCTTCGTAGAACTAGAGATAGAGTATATTCAGAATTTTTTTGGCCTCACGTAGACAAAGATATTAAAGCCTTTGTTAGATCTTGTCCTACATGCCAAAAAGCTAGACCACCAGGGACAGTTAGAAAAATAGAATTAGGAACCACAGACATTGTAGGTACTCCATTCACTAAAGTAGCTATAGATATCATAGGTCCACTACAGATGACAGATAGGAAAAATAGGTATATTTTGACATTAGTTGACACCGCCACGCGATGGCCAGAGGCAATAGCGTTGAAAAACATAACGACAGAGGACATTCAGGAAGGACTGTTCGCAATTTTTTGTAGAGTAGGTTTCCCTCACACTATACTGTCAGATAACGGTCCACAATTCCGTTCTGAAATGTATCACCAGGTATGTCAATTTTTTAACATTCGTCCGACAAAATCCTCAATATACCACCCTCAGTCAAACGGCATGGTTGAGAGATTTAATGGGACCATAAAAACTATTTTAAGGAAGTTAGCAGAAAATGAACCTCAGAATTGGGATAGATTCATATCCGCTGCACTATTTGCTTATAGAGAGATTCCCAATGAAACGACCGGTATATCTCCTTATGAGCTTGTTTTTGGTAGAAAAGTACGTGGCCCCATGGCCATATTGAAACAACTTTTTACGGATAAATCGGTCGATGATGATCAGAAACCAGTTTATGAGTATTTAATAGATCTTAAAAACAGATTACAGGTAGCGACAGAATCAGCATTGACACATTCCCAAATTAAGAAAACTAGTGCCAAGAAGTACTATGATAGAAATGCCAAAGAGAAAGACATTAGGGACGGTGACCATGTTTTGATTTTAAAACCAAAAAAGGGCAATAAGTTGATGCTCCAATGGGAAGGTCCATTTATAGTGGAGAAAAAGATATCAAAATTTAATGTTAGAGTTAGGAAAGGGAATACAGTTAAAACTTATCATGTCAATAGAGTATGCAAATTTCATAATAGGGAAAATATTTCACCACCCAATAATCAAGCACCTGAAACTCAAAACCATATTTTGAGCGGGTCATTAGCATCAGTCATTAATGAGACGGATGACTATGATGACAATGAAGATATTTCAGAAGAACTAGGTAGTGTGCCAACGCTGGGTTCCAGCCCAATAACAGATAACCACATTTGTTTTAATCCTGAATTAACGGATTGTCAGAGGGAACAGCTCAAATGTTTACTTCAAGAATTTGAATCAGTAATATCAGATAGCCCGGGTAAGACTAATATAGGCCATCATAGCATAGAACTAACCTCAGATAAACCTATTACTCTAAGGCCTTATGCCATCCCATACAATCTTCAAGATATTTTAGCTAAAGAAATAGAGTTAATGTTAAAATTAGACATTATAGAAGAATCAAATTCACCTTACGCTTCACCTGTAGTGTTAGTTAAAAAGAAAGATGGCACAATCAGAACTTGTGTAGACTATAGGAAGCTAAATGCAGTCACTAAGTTCGTAGCTGAGGTTGTTCCCGATCAAGAAGAATTGATGTCAAAATTACATAAGGGGAAGTATTTTACAAAGTTAGATTTAACGAAAGGATATTGGCAAATACCGTTAGACCAAAAGAGTAGAGAATTGACGGCTTTTAGGGTTCCTTCAGGTCTGTATCAATTTAAATACATGCCATTTGGTCTTGCTACAGCTCCTCTCACATTTAATAAAATAGTTAGGAAATTGTTTAAGGGTCTGCATCAAGTAATCACTTACTTTGATGATATTTGTGTTTTCTCCAGCAGTTGGGAGGAACACATAAAAGAGCTAAGGGAGGTATTTTTGCGTTTAAAAGAAGCAGGGTTTACAGTCAAACCATCTAAGTTAGAACTAGGGTTCTTCAACATCAAATTTTTAGGACACATGGTAGGGGAAGGTTCGTTACAACCAGATCCCGATAACATTGATAAGATCCTCAGGCTGCAACAGCCCAAAACAAAGAAACAGGTCAGAAGCTTAGTGGGACTAGCCTCTTACTACAGTAAATTTATTCCAGGGTTCGCGTCCTTAACTGCACCGCTCACTGACCTAACTAAAAAAGGTAAGTCCAATAAGGTAGTGTGGACTGATGAGTGTGATAAGGCATTGAAAACTATTCAAGCACTTCTGTCTAAAAACCCAATTCTTGTGTTGCCTAACACAAAGTTGCCATTTGTTGTTAGTACTGACGCGTCAACAAAAGGATTAGGGGCATGCCTTATGCAAGAGAGACAAGGAATTTATCATCCTGTCAAATATATCAGTCGTAAACTGCTGGACCGTGAAACCAGATACTCTACCATTGAAAGAGAATGTTTGGCTATTGTATGGGCTGTAAGAAAGTTAGCTCGTTATCTCTTAGGTGCTAAGTTTACGCTTCAATGCGACCATAAATGTCTGAGCTATTTAAAAACATCAAATTTTGCTAACCCAAGAATTTGCAGATGGGCATTAGCATTGCAGGAATTTGTTTTTGACATAGATTATATTAAGGGACAAGACAATGTTGTAGCTGATTTTCTATCACGGGTTGGGGAATAGTCATGATCATTGATATCTGTATAACTAATTTTCCATTTAAATTTCTATTTCTTCTCAGGTTCATCATGTAGTTTTAATGCAATTATTATTATGACATTTTTGTAATTATTGATTCCATGTCAACGTGTACTTGCAATTGTGAGATTTTTATGCCATTAATGTAGTTTTGCTATAAATATTCATTACATTGTTCAATTTAAAATGTATAATTTCAAGTTATTAAAGAATGTTCTGATTATGTAGTGTGTGCCAATACGGCGTATTGTCCCAAAGCGAAGAGGGGGGGAGTGTTGAGACCCGCTGGTCCTCACCTTTGTGAGACCCGCTGGCTCCACTCTCTCCATCGCTTCCCCACGTGTTCATCGCTACCCCACGCGATATGACACAATTAGGCTGGGCCTTAAAATATTACAAGTAGACTCAAATAACAATGGAAATTAACTTATTCACTTTGGCCATGACCCAGTTTAAGCAATACACTCATTCTTATCAAGCGTCCCAACTCTGAGTTGTCACTCTGATGACCAACGCTTAAAAAAACTAACTCGGAATCCGAAGCCACGCTTGTGAGTCATTTAAACACGACTCTGGGATGCCACGCTTAAATGCGGGACAAGCACGCCAAACTTAGAGTATATATTGAAAGCCCAAATCATGTATCGGCCTCTCTTACCTGAATTATGTCAGAAGAGCCTGGCTGGCATAATTAGCTGATAAAGTGTGTTTATCCGATTGTGTTAGGTTAGTATTGTTCTATTTCATATTCATATGTACTGGTATGTAGAGTCGTAGATGTAATGTTATTAAGAAAATGTTAGGACTATAGTGACTATTGTTAATGTTTGAATATGATAACTATTAATAATTTATAATGTGATGTGATTTGTAATTCTTAGTTATGTCTTATGCATTGTATTTATTATTCTCATTTCTAGCCAGTTAAGTAAAGTTAATTAAAAGTTAAGTAAAAGTAAAGTTAAGTAAAGTACAGTTAAGTAAACTGAAGTTAAGTAAAAGTAAAGTATAGTTACGTAAAGTGAAGTAAACTGAAGTTACGTAAAGTGAAGTAAACTGAAGTAAAGTAAAGTGAAGAAATTACATGAAATAAGTTACAGTATGTAACATTTGGCCATTAAAGAATATTTGACCAGAAAGTATTTGTAAAGTAAATAACATTTGGTCAGAGGTGTACTAGTTCAATAAATACTATCTGGAACTAAAGCTAGTACAGTTCAGTAAAGGAGTCGCAGTTATTAGCAGAAGTGAATCCAAAGAAATCAAACAAGACGGTAGCATATACTGTGTGTGTGTAACCCACAGTACAGTTCAAAGTCGGCACCTACCTCCTCGCCGTGCCAGTGACCGGAGACACTTACGCAGTCAAGCCGCCCAACCCCGCAGTACATTGTGACCCGAGCAGAGGGCTGCTGTGGTGTGTGTGTGTGTGTGGGACTTACTTATTTGACCAGATCGCCATTGAGAGCCTACTATGCAATAATATTGGGCAGTATCTTGTTATCCTGTTTGTGTATAGTATATTATGTAATGTGTATGCTGATAGTTCTATTTTTTATATAATTAAATATTTATTTGTGGGCTGAACCACTCTTGTGTCATTAGTATAGTTTAAGTATTAATAGACTTGGAAGTGAGAGCTAGTGAGAGTTCATTGAATGATAGAGTGAGTGTGAAGTAGGATTAGTGTAGAATACTTCATCAGAAAATTAATCATACCCTAGACATAGCCATAATAGCAGTACTAATCTAACGTAGAGGAAAGGGACCTTTGTTTGTTAATACAAACATTAAACATTTCAAACCCAATACTTGTAATAATTGGGTCAGAACATAACATTAATTACAACATCATAGTAGTTTTGTAACAGGCCCGTATACAAACATATTTATGTGTACTATGTATATTTATAAGTTACAGTGGAGATTATCTCTAAGGTAATGAGATGAGGTAGACATTGTCACTTAGGTGTTGGATTAACAATAATAGGCAAAAGAAAAAGCTATGTATAATATTTGAGTAGAATGGCTTCCAGCAGATTGCTAATGAAAACAATATCAATACTGATATATTGCATACTGATATCACAATGATTCATGTCTGATAATTTATTTCACAGTTATCTGTTGCCAAAATTAAATAGGTGTCGGGGAAGGAGAGTAGACATATAAATCTGAACCCTAGTGCATAATTTGTTGCTTATCTATGCTCATCTATTTCAACAAATAATTAAAAATGAAACACAGTGTATGTATTGGTGCTAGCTTATTTCAGATTTAATTTCAAGAATTTAACCATCACAGTTTTAATGTTGCATAAAAAATACTAGAGACACGATATGTATCAAACTTTGTTTCAGAACTTAATATAAAGGATTGAGATTCCAAAGGGATAAAATTCATTTAATTGGTTCCACTAAAAATTTATGATCTGCTTTAGCAATTATTTAACAGGGAAATTTAGATGACAAACAAATGGTTTAACACAGATTGGCGTCATGTCATGGAACCCTTTATAGCCCAATATTGGCTTCTGTCAGTGAATTTTTATATTATGATGTGGCACAAGCAAATTTTCAGCTCAAATGTTGCACCCCTGTGCAAAAATTTTGAGAATCACTCATTTGCAAATCTATACCTCCTACCTGTGGGCCTCCAATGATAAAACGACCAGAGGGCTGCAAATGATATATTGTATCATTATCCAGATATTTGCTTGGTATGACTGGCTTAATAACCATTTCAATCAAATCTTGTCTCAGCTGCTCCATAGTGACATGCTCATCATGTTGGATTGAAATGACCACAGTGTGCACACGTGTGGGAACAGTGGCCCCTTTTTCAATCTTGTACTCAACAGTAACCTGCAATAATGAAAATAGAAATATGTGCCAGCATTTCCTAAAAATTATTTGCCAATTATTTTGTTACATTTTTTCTTGTTTTATTTAATCAATGAAGTTGGATTTTACCATAAAAGTCATTCAACATATTTATATTTATTGCTATTACTATAATATCAAGTCATTTCATTAATGTAATGGTATTTTAAAATAATTTTTTTCCATTAACATTCAGACAAAATGTCCAATCAACTTCACAGTTACTTGTGGCCGGAAAAAATGTCTCAAAATTTCAGATTGGATATGTGACAGATTAATGAAAAACAGAAGTTATGTAATTTAATGAATCAAAAACAGCTGCAACCTTTTTTACAATATTAATTTATAAACAATGGTGTCCTTGTACTTACTATTTATTTTCAAAAACATTAATCTATGGCTACCCCAGCCTTCTTTTCTCATCAAGATACAATAAATATGATAGTTTAATTTTCTGCATTTGAATAAATATTAATTAAATTAGGCATCTATGTTATCCTGCCATTTTCAATAGATTAAAATGTCAACTACAAGAATAGAAAAACCTGTGTCTTTGAGTCAGGCCTTGCCCATGGTAGTTGACCACTTCTACGTAGTTTAGACATTTTGTCATTGAGTTTATGCGACAATAAAATTGTAAGAGGCATACTTTCTTCAGTCTCATCTGTGGCATAGCCAAACATCAGGCCCTGTTCAGAACAACCATTTTATTTTTTTTAAATATAAGAGTTAGTTACAATTAAGATACAAAGTTAAGTTCCCAATAATTATACTAATTGATTATTGTTGTACTGTCATGTCTTTCTACAAGGACTACATGAAGTAGATAAAATACTGATTCATTTAGAAAGCAAAAGGTTGTAAGCTTGTTATAACAAACACATGGAAAAAAAAAGAACCTGGTCTCCGGCTGGATCATTTTCATTCTGTACACTATCTGGTTCATAATAGGAATGGTTGGAAAATTCATCAGAATCAGGCTCCTCTACAGCCAGAAGTACATTACATGTTTTGAAATCAAAACCTGGGAAATATGACAAATATTTTTTAATTACAGTTAAGCATAAAATGTTAATGTGCCAGTGAATGATCACAACAGAAGCAACATCCCAAAATTAAATTAAAATACCCTCTAAATATCCTTTAAAAAAATCTTCAAATATCACAAACTCAGAATAAGTTTTCATAAGAATTTAAATACCTTAGATAACATTATCAATTGAAAGCATATTTACAGTTAACCCTCCATATCCCCAAATTACTTTTGTTTAGTTATTTTTCCAAATTAGGCTACTTTGTCTTCAGTGAAGACTTCCCTATGGAAAAGCAATGGCATAACAGATTTTTATAAAATAGTAAGCAGGTGCATCTGTGTGTCCACTGCTTTTGTTTGGCTTTGTTCTTAAAACTTATTAATTCAGTTTCTCTTCTGCCCTACAGAAAATAAAGGGCCTAAAATATTCTGAAACCATTCTTAACTCCCCTTTCAAAATAAAATGACTGCACAATGGAAAAAAGAAATACCTTTGGAACTGGAATCATAGCCTATATCTTTGATAGTTTTTCTGACTACTTTCTGGTAATCTATATGCGCCTTTGATACAATGTCACCACAGACAAATATCATTCCAGTTTTGGCAGCACATTGACATGAGACACGAGCATGTGGATCTTTTTCCAAAATTGCATCTAGGACAGCATCACTAACTTGATCACATATTTTATCTAGGATAAAATTGATCATGCACAAATTAAACATTTATAAAGGCTATAAAATATTTCACTATAAAGAGAAGAGTGCCAGGATAAAAGGGTGTCACCAGACAGCAGGGTATCACCAGTCCCAGACAAACAGCAGGCTGCCACCAGTCTCATCAGAGCAGGATTTGTCAGTGTAGGCTGCTTTGGCAAAAAGTCCATCAGAAGTCATGGGGGGGGGGGGGTTGACATGAGTTTACCATACTGGGTGACAGTGACACCTAGTGAGCCACTGCTGTCAACTTATTATAATTTTTAAATATGCAAGTTGCATTGAGTTTCATTTCATAAGGTTACTTACATAAGTAAAATAGTTTTAATGTATTGTTTTAATTTTAGGACTAGTACACTATTATCATTCACATGTAAGTTCATCCGTTGAAAATCTATCATGACCATTTTAAACATCAGATTGATTATGGGGATGTATCTGTCTACTCTATGGGCATGGGTGCATAGATGGCTGATCAGGCCAATTCTGGCACAAAATGTTCTTGAGAAAAAGTTGCAGGGGATGGATAGAACAACTCCAGGTACAGAGGTAACTCTAAATATGGCCTATCTTTTGACATTTGTGCTTTGCAGCAGCTGTTCTTTGCCTTGGCCTTGGATGCTTGCACAAACTTTGGTCTTACCATTATCAAATATTATCATTAACAAACCAAGCAAAAACTTACATCAACATCCAAAACAATGGCCAAATGCTTAAAGTAATTAACAGCTTCTCTTACACTGGTCATTGGCAGACCTAAACTTAAGTTAAAGGCTTAAAAAAAAAAAACATTGAATTCATTGATGATGAGGCTAGTGGTGAACCTTCCAATCATATTCATGTCAGGAGTCTAGACATTCATCATTTTATTTTAAAAGGCCAGATTATGAAAGTTTTATAATATTAATACGAGGTGGTTATGCGCAGCCGACTGCGTATAACCCTGGGAGTTATACGCAGTCGGCAAGTCACGTGAGGGCTATATTCTTCTTGTGTTACAGTATCGATCGATAAAGGTGCATCATTATCGGGGTGACTGGATGGGCGAATGGTATAAACTGAGCAAACCACATGTTAGTGGTCATGAGTTGAATTCCAGCCTCAGGCTCAGGCATGCAATGAATACTTGTCAGTTGTTACGCTTGAGAATGAAGCAAAAACAGCTAGGCTTATTGTTTTACTTTTGTTTTGGCTAAAAAATGTTAGAACATGATAAGACTTAATTATTAACTTGACCATTGTAATGTTAATAATGTTATTCTTATAATTATCAAATATATGTTTGTGTTGTTAACATATATTTTGTGTTAACTAATTTTGAGGCAGATAGAATCATGTTTCTCTGGTACAGTAATAAATATAGTCAAGGGTGGAGAGTAGCAGTAAAAAATAGCTGTAAGGGCAGGGGGCTCTGTAGAGGGGGCACTTTAAGCAATACTTTCACGCAGTTATAGTATTGCATGGAAGCTGAAAACTGTTAGGTACATTTAGGTCACCAAAAAAAAAAATTTTAAAAAAATAATAAATGATATAATTTTTAAAAAAATAAATAGAATGTATTTCCTGAATTATTCAGTAAAACCAACCACATATAGTCATTCATAGCAACATATAAAAACCTAATCAATCAGAATACAGAACTAGATCTAGACTTAGACTTTTATCCGCCGCACAGCTCTGTGAATAATCATTTCGTTTAGAAAAATCATCTTCTTAGGCTTAGACTCTAAGAAATGTAGACTTTGACTTATAAATGTATAATATAATATATACGATACAAGCAAAATACTAATAATAGCACTAATACTATACTAATCCTAATACTTTTACTATCATTCAATAATAATTAAAATTAATTATGTTAAACACATTAAAAGTTCTAGTTCAAAACAATCCATAATGCAGCTAATTACGCATAATACTTTTTTTTTAAATTGCCACACTAGCAGTAATAAACCTTATTTGGCAACATTCCCAGCTGACTGCATATAACCCTGAGAGTTATACGCAGTCGACTGCGTATAACGCTTCCCATATTAATATTAGTTTTGTTTAATAGTATAGGCTGTGTAAAATGCTAATTATGTAATAGTAAGATATAAGAATATTAAGACGTAACAACTTAAAAGAGGACGGTATTAGTATTAAGGCTGTAAGTAAGTGTAAGTTTAAGTCAATAAACTCATTTAAAGACTGTTTTTTATTACCCGGGTGGCCCTCGCCAACAGATTCTGATGTAAATAGAAAAGTCTCTTCATTTTTTGAAAACTCTCCAGCAAAATTATCATTTCGGTTCATTCTTGTTAAGTTTCAGGTTTTTGTGACTTTAATATTAAGCCGATGTATATGATTTAACCGTATATTAATAAATTATTAATAATATTTATTTAGGATTCGGCTCCGGGATATCCTGTTAGCAACAGTCGCACTGCGAAACGCACTGGCTGCATAGGCACAGGGCTACCACTCAATTTTGTTTAAATTCCCAAGATGTGGTCAAAATATTTACCAAGATTTCCCAAGATCATGAAAAAATTTTTTGTTTTTTTTTTTAAAGGATTTAGGGGGGGGGGAATTTAAAAAAAAAAAAAAAAGTGAGTTTTTATCCTGAGTGGGGGTAGTGAATTCCCAAGATCTTGGGAAAATTCCCAAATTGTGGCAGCCCTGCATAGGCATATCTTTTTATCAGGTCACATACATGATATAGTACAGCAGTTTAAAAACTCTTTGAGGACAAAAGTTGTACTGTGTTTAGACGAAGTTATTATTATATTTACTTTCACAAGTGTAATTAGACTGGTAATTCCTAACTCTAATTGAGCCTACAATAATTCTTTAACTTAAGATATTATAATTATAGTCGTAGGTAATCTACCACTTGAGCGTCGCCGGTTATGAAAAAATCATGCTTTTCAAGATCAGTTCCTTTCTAAATTAAATTACTAATTCAATTCTTTCGAACTTTGGTGTTATACTGTTAGTACTGTTAGTGTTAGTGTTGTCAGTGTTGTTGCTTCTTTCTACTTCTACTTATTATCCTTTCTTGTTTTGAAGGAGAAGGCGTCTTGCCGAAACTTTCTGATTCTTTTGACTTGATTTTCTTGTAAAATTTCATTTTCATGAATTTCAAGCCTTAATAATAATATTAATATTAATTATTAACATAACTTGGAAGCAGCCATACCAGAAGATATATAATTATAATATATATATATATATAATATATAAGTTATTATAAGAGATTATATTATATTAAATAATTTGTTATTCTCATCAATGTTGAGACTCTTGATTATTGTCATACTTGTAAGTTTAGTTAAAGCAAGCATGAAGAATTCACAAACACTGAAATTTCCATTTTTTCAGTATATAAACTGGTTTATGATATTTGTAAATTGTCTCATCTTTTAAAGGACAAAACATTTTAGAATTTTTAGGTATACATTTTATGGACTGTCCTTAAATTTACTTATTTGGCAGGGGAAAGTACTATAGGTGAGAGTGGGGTCCAGTGACAGGAATAAGGAGTAAAACTAAAATTGTTATCATAATGTTGTAGGGCAGCATTTCGCAAGCTTCTTTTTTCGTGACATGGTTATTTTTATAATTTATACTGTTCCTAAATAACCCACTAAAACTTGTATTGCTTATTCAGAGGTAGGTTATAGGTAACAAAAAAATAAATTGGATTTGAATGTCTATGAGGAAAATATAAGGCAGGGTGGAGGTGGTAGGGGAGAGTTAGTGTGAGAATGTAAAGGAGTGAAAGTGACGTGGTAGGGAAGAAACAGGCTTAGTGAAGTTTAGGAAGTGTAAATTTGGGCTGGTTCACTTTCAAATGGAGAAAGCTCAACCAAAAATAACATTTCAGGTAATTTTTTATAATAAACAAAGGCACAAAAAAAAAAAAGAAAGAAAAAAACACTCATTCTTTTCACAAAAATTTAATTTTAAAAGAACAGTCTTAAAAATAAAATTTATTAAGTACTCTATATTCTTCTCTCCAATATATCAATAGTTATAAATAGTTTGAAATTGATAACTTTGGATAAACCACTAAACGGAAATCTGAACAACATTTTGGCCTGTTAGTAGTAGCCTAGAAGCCAATTTATTCTTAAATTAAAAGATTTCACAAGATCATTTTTGGTTAAAGTTAAAGGAAATAATTAAAATATTTTTTTATTAATTTATTATGTTGTTTACTTTGGTTTTTTGTTTGCTGAAGGCTTTCTGCTGATAGCAATAATTGTTTTGTTTGGAATTTTTGGGGGGTTTCCCCTACCTTGTGCTACTTATTTTAATTTATAAAATTTAATAAAAATAGTGGTCAAAAGTATACAACTAATACAAGTACAAATTGTTATTTTTAAAGTAATTTAAAATTTACTATAGCTTTGGAGCATACCACCTTATTTTACAATAAATTGTTTTTCAACTTAGTACTACAGTGTTTTTAAAATTTATTTGTATTTTAAAGTGTTCTTTAAAATAAGCTAAAAAAATACTAGTGTAGTTAGTAAATTGGTATTAGCAAACATTTCCCTGATGCTCATACTTATTCATCACATCTCTTCTGGTAGTTGTAGTTTATTCCTGTTAGTTGTCGTTTATTCCTGTTTTTCTATTAAAATTATTCTGTGGTTTGAAACTAGATAACATTAACAATCTATACATTTGTCATATAAATTTATGGTTATTGTGGTTTGAAACTGGACCACAATAACAATCATATCTACACATTTGTTATATAAATTTGTTGTATATTGTATTGCCAACCAATTTTCTTGAATTCATCTGTTATGAAAGATGTAATGACTTACTCTTTCTTTTTTTTAAATGCAGGGAAAAGCCAAAGTATACCAGTGTTCCTATATAAGAATTGTGCTTCATAAAATGTTGCTCAATAATAAACTAACAACATACTTCAGCAGACAAATAAGATATTCGTCTACCTATTTACAATTTATGAAGAATGGCACCATCCCCAAAAGCTTTGAACCATTGCAAAATGCCAGATTTTGCAAATTTCTGTCAACTTTGTCAAAAGACTCTAATTTGGGACATCCTTCATTCTTTAACAGAATGGATATTCTGCACTTAAAAAGATCGGATTCACCTTTATGCTATAAGCATACTACTTCACTAAGTAAACTTCAAGATGAAAGGAAATCGCTTGACTATGAAGTAATTTATCTAATAGAAAGATTAAGAACTCTCCGTACTATTTGCAAATTGAATAAAATTTCAACCATTTGTGCAACAGTAGGATCACCATCTATTTTAGGAATAGGATACATGGGAATTCTTCCAATGCAAACAGCTCAGAGCCTTGCTTTTATGTTTATAATGTATGCTGCTTTCTTTCTTGGACCTGCTGTATTGATATCAAAAGTTGTTGGAAAGATGATGATCAGCACAAATTTAGACTACCTAAAAATTTCTCATTTGTCAGTTTTTGGAAATCGTAGAGATATTTATTTGAGTGTCAATGACCTGATGCCTTTACAGCAAAGTGAGGAAGGTGTATTAGCCAGCAATATTAAAATATTACAGTTCAAAAATGTGTCTAAGAAATTTATCTTTTTACCTCAAAGTGGAGATATAAATTCCTACCATACTAGCTTGGAAATGTTATTAAATGGAGAGCTAGGTAGAGATAAGAAAGGTGAAAAAAACAAGTTATGAAAATTTAAGAGAAAAATAGATTACATAATATGTAAAATATATACTTCTCAAATGTATTGACCTACTTCTGCTAAGATGAGTTTCATTGTAAGGAAACATGTTTAGCCTTTCTTTCTAAAATTCATAGCATACTTAAAATTTCAGTTGTTTCATGAATAATTATTGGTAAATCCATTATTTTTCATGCTTAGATTGATAATTTTCAACAGATAAAACAAACTATGTAACTTTCAAGTGTTATAAAACTTATAATTTTGTTATGTGTTTTGTTTCTTTAAAAAAATTCTTGTTGCTTCTTATACAATTCGATTTTTGCATTGCTTTCTAAACTTATAAAATATACCTGAACAATGTACCTTCAATTTACATAATTTTTAAGATGTTGATGCAAATGTAATAAGTCTGTAAGTGTAATATTGAGTGGAAAAACAAGTTTTTTCTAAAAAATGGGAACAGAAGAAGCTAGGGGAATATCCAAATGTTTATTTATAATTTAAATCTTCTTTGGTATATTTACATCAATTTTTCAGGTTACGTTATACTTAAGCAAAACTTTACAGCCCATAAAATATTTGTATAATAAAATATTAAAAATTTTTAAATGATGTGAATGTGAGTCATTAAAAAAATAGACCTTTACAATTCTCTTGATATGAAATTAGGACTAGTTTTTAAACTACACTTCAATGAAGAGAAAAATGTCAAAGGATGATCTAGAGAAAAATTGTTTGAAGATATGAATTTTATCAAAAAGTTTCAACTACAACTGCAATTTGAACTGGTGACTAGATTGTTATTAAGTTAATGATATTATTGATATGCAAAGCTATGTACCTATACAGTTGCATAAGTTCAGCTACCTACTTTTTATAAAAAATAATCATTACAAAATGTAGGCCTAGCAAAGATATGGTTAGCACTGATTTACTAATTAAATTTTAAAGCTACAATAAAATGTATTAATTTAAAATTGAATAACAGCCAACTAAAATTAATTTATTATTATATCCCCTTTCTATTTTGTTTTTGTGAATTAGTTAAAAATAAAATTTTCATTTAAACTCTAGCCTTTTATAAAAATATTATAATAGCATACAGCAATTTACATTTTAATAAAATGTAAAAAAAAATTTATGCTTATGCTACATCTGCAGTACATTTCATAGACAATAAACTCTAAAGAAATTTCAAACTTAAATAAAATACGGTTTTAATGAAATATTTTAACTTTAGTAGCAGAAAAGATCCTAAATGAAATGAATGAAAATTGGATGTAACAAAAATAATTTTCAAATATAAAAATTCAATACTGATTTTAAATAATAAGCAAAGAGACTATGTAAAATAATAATAATTTTGAAAAATCATAAATATTGTCATTATTTGGATTTTAAAAAAGTACATTTACCACATTAGAGGTATTTAAGTAAATTTATGACTTCAAATCAATATTAAATTAACTAAAAAATTTCACTGGAACACTTCAGTGAATTTAATGAATGTTCATGCAGAAGTTTTTTAATGCAGAGACTTTTTTAAATCAAATAGCACATTTGATTAACCTTGCTGATTATAAGCACTACTTTCATACATAGCAAGACAGTAACCATAAAAAAATCAATAATTTATTGTTTTTTGTTTTTTTTAGATTAAATAAGTAAACTAAAATGCTTTAAATTAAATTCTAAAAAGCAGCCAGAGTTGATTATTTTAAAACTCAAGTAGTGTTAATTTTAAAATCGAAACATTATAAAGAATTAATCAAGAAAAATAACTGTGCAACAATATTATTTGGAGAAAAATGTTGATAAAGATATTCTTATTGTCTTAAATAAATATTACATTATATGAATATTGTTTAGATATTAACTCTGATAAACAAAGCTAATGAAATATTGCATGATTTTAGAAATTTATTTGCCTTTATAATTTTTGTAAATGGTCAATACCATGATTAAATTTAAAAACCTTGTTTGATGTTGCTAATAAATCATTAGGTGCTTACCAAAAGAAACACATGGGAATTAATATACAAAGTTCTAGCAAACTATTTAGACATAAATTTATAATAAATATGTCCCGTTCTTGTAGAACTATAATATTTTAGAACTACATTTACTGTCAAATATGAAAAGATTTGTAAGACAATTTTTTTATTTTGATAAAGTTAAAAGGTTGGTGGGTTTGTTTTTAATTTTTTTAATATATAAAAAAATGGGGTGGGGGAGAGCCAATTCAATTGTGTATTATTGCGTTATTTGATTTAAGGTGTGACATACATTGTAGAATTACTTTTAAGAATGAAATCGATACAGGTAAATAAACCTGTTTGAGATGGGGAAAAAGCTGCAGTGACAAGGACTGAGCATGCAAGGCTGGCAAGTATGTACACCACCAATACCCATGAGTTTCAGTAGTACAGGTAGGTAATTAATATGCCAATTTTAAAATCCCTACAGTTTTAACAAATTAAATTTGCCTTACACCAAAATAAATAGGTGCATAACATCTTTTATCATCATGGTTCGACAGGCTGGTATCTCCAAATAAAACTCATAGTTTTAAATGTCATATAACAACTATTAGCTTACTATGGGATTATTGTTTATCTTTTAGTCAAATTTTCCTTTCCTTGTAAAATAGCAATTTATAATACCGAAACTCAATGAATCCATAATGAAATTATGTCACAAAAATGTAGTTGCCCTGCATTAAACAGCTACCATGGCAGAAATTGCTATTGTAAACTATGACTATGAAATCGAACTTAATACAACAATTACCTGGTATGAAATAAATTATTATGTCATGGCCATTTAACTTAGCAGTATTTCAGAAATATATATTTTGCTATAATTTCTATAATAGTCAATACATAAAACATATTTTTCAAAACTGTACAGGTAATCAGCACATCTTCGTAGCATTAAAATTTAAATGTAAAATATATTTTCCTTCAGTGACATTAAATTAACATTGATTACAACAGATCTGCCAAAAAGTATTTACAACTTTTCATAATCAACCATTTTCAACTACCTTCTATAATGGTTCTGTACATACATGGAAAAAATGTATAAATTACCAGTATATATTAAAAAATTGTTGATATAAAGATATTTTGTTCTACCCATATGACTTAATGCTTCATTAAATATTTACACAGGTTTTATTGTACCAATATTTCCTTACATTCACCGATCAAACACTTTTAAATAACAAAATTTTGCATCATAATTTTCACGTACCAAGCTTAGAATAAATTCAAAAAACTTTTAAGTCCTCAATCATTCAGGTTTAAATTAAAACATTATGTTTGATTTTCCTCAACTCTTTAAATTATCAGTACAACCAAAATCCTTAAACAAAAAACAGTTATTAATTTTAAAAAATAAATAACAATTTGATGCGTACCACTTAGTACCAGGTAAAAAATAAATAAATTCAATTTTTCATACCTGTACCAACTGGCTGGTGAATGAAAACATTCAGTTATTGCTAAGGTAGGGTTCTTCTTATGAAGGAAAGACAGTTCAGATATAATGAATTAAATACTTAGTAATATTGTGTGTGTTGCAACACCACCACCCCTAACTGAACAACTTGAAGGTATAATAAATATTTATTTTTTCAACAGCTCCAAAACTATTTTGTATTGTTTCGTAATTGCAATTTAAAACAAAATCCCACAACACCATTTGAGGTACATTGTTTCTAAACATTTGCTTTTCTTCTCAAATGGGGTGAGTTTTATAAAAGACCATTTAGTACCAGTAGCAAGGTCTGATTGCTACGAAAAAAAAAGTTGTAGTTAATTTGCAGATAACTTGAAAAACATTTATAGATTGAACATAATTAAATAATTTTTCTTTGTGGGACGGAAAAACAGAAATGGAAGACAGCAAATCATAAAATTACGTAGGGTACTTTAAAGTTAAACCACAAATAAAGAAGACTATCAAAACAAAATATACTGGGAAAAAGAACCAAAGAATTTTTGGTACGGTAGCTCTATAATTTTTTCATGCACACATTATTTTAAAATTCATTTTACACTCCTGTGTCTCCTTCCTCTGCCCTCAGTTCTTTCTCTTCTTCTCTAAGTTCTCTTTCATCTTCATTGCTGGTATTTAACATTTCCCAGTCTTTTACTTCCTGTTTTCCCAAGCTGGTTTTGGAAATTTCTTCTTCGACGGTTGGACTGTCTTGACGTTCCAAGAGAAGTGGTCCTGATATGGATATCAGAAGAGAACCCAAGGGAGCCGTCAACAATATTGACAACACAGCAAGGGTTAAAACCTGTAGAGAATGGATTGCAGTCCATGTTATTTATTATATATTTTGAACTAATGGCTGCCTTATTCTTTATTCAAATGTCTGGTACAAATATGTATAGCCGGTGGCATAAAAAAATTATGTTTACTTCTGAAAGTTCACCAATAAAATTTCAAACGCTTTATTAAACAAATTACAAAATCAACTTTATCCAATTAAATAGACAGTCTTGAAAATCTCATGAAGAATGCTATCTTTAGAATTTGCATATTTGCTTTTGACAAATTTCTTTTGTAATATAAGATATCATTAAACCTTTTTTCCTAATTCTTCTGAATCTTTGTCATTATTTTTCATTGCAAGGTCAAGGGCAACTGTTCCAATGGCAGCCTGAGTAGAAAAAAAAGTATTAAACATATAAAAATTTGAGGGGCTTCCATGCAAATAAAAAGCATTCCTTTAAAAATCACCATAAAAATAGCATAAACTGCTTAAGGAAAAGTTTGCACTTTTCTATCTAGCAACTATAAAATAAATATAGATTTTATTCAGGAAATTACCACTGGGATATAAAACATTTCAGAGCCCAGCATTACACTTTGGTCAAAAATTAAAAATTTAATTTGGTTTATAATATATATTAACATACCTTTGTTTAAGCATATACTTCCGTTACTTACTTGCACAGTAGCCTTAGGTAACCAAGCCATAGCAATGAAAAACCTTTCTTTAAAGTTAAGGTTTGTGAAAAAAACAGCCAAAAAGGAGACCAGGACCCTTGCAATAAGACCAATAGTTAGCACAGCAATGCCAAGCCCTGGAAAAGCCACCACTTTATTATATATTCACACATGCTACTGTTGGTGCTAAACATTGCCAAGAATTAGGTATTTTAACCAAGTAATGGTTTAAAACAGGGGTCTCCAAACTACCACCCGCGAGGCTCTCTCATGCGGCCCGCGGAGAACTTTTGTAAACGGAATAAAAAATTACTCAAAAGTACGTGTATCCTGACAAGATCAGACGCCGCTTACGTGGAAGTTATGTTTTTACCGAATTAAAATAGAGGCGTGCAGTAGTGCTTGGGGGTGGGGTGGGGGGGGGGGAGGAGGCCACCCGAGATAATGCTGACAGAAGCCCTGCTCGAGCTCGTTGTGCAGTCGGCCCGCGAACTACTGTTTGATAGTTAATGCGGCCCTCGGGCTGAAAAGTTTGGAGACCCCTGGTTTAAAATATAACATGTTGTCAATGCATACTAAGGAAAACATCTTGAACTAAGTGTAATGATGAATGAATTCATTACCATTAGCACAAATAAAAATAAATAAAAATGTAGCAAAGTTAGCTTCAACAATGTGAGTGAGAAACAAGAAATGTAAAAAGATACCTTAAACTTAAAACATTCTCACTCATTTATTTCTATACAACCATATCACCATTCTATTCCTGATCTCCTGATCACCCACTCTTATCCTGATCACCATGATAATGGTTATTTCCTGATCACCATTCTATTCTTGATCTCCTGATCACCCATTCTTATCCTGATCACCATTATAATGGTTATTTCCTGATCAACATTCTATTCTTGATCTCCTGATCACCCACTCTTATCCTGATCATCATTATAATGGTTATTTCCTGATCACCATTCTATTCCTGATCACCATTCTATTGCTGATCTCCCACTCTTATCCTGATCCCCACTCTAATTAATGCTGATCAAAAACTGATGAACAAACTGTTATTGCCTTGATTCTTCATTTACTCAAAGTTTCAGTGTAATGTCATCACAAGACATTTTTAAAAATAACAAAAATTCTCAAAATATTAGAAGAACAAGATATTAATATTGTAGACAGTTACCTACGACTTGACCATCTAAAGAGGAGACTTTCACTTCTGAACCAATCAGACCAAACAAGAATGGCTGGAAGAGCATCCACAGTACGCCCACCACATCCTCTATAGGATCCTGAAAGATCAGGGAGCATAGGTTGTTATAAATACAAAGCAACTGTTCAGACAAAATATCAGACAAAGACTATCAAGTTATCGTCCAGTTTTTTAAACTGTTATCTTAATCAGAATGTTTAATGTATGATCTTTTTTTATATATATATATACCAGGTATTGAAAAATGTATACAGGGTGGAGCAAAAAATTAAGACCCACCTCAAGAAATCTTATACAATAGATATCCAATTATGTTTAGGGCAGTATTTGCCGCACAGACTATCATAAGCAAATGTGCAGAGGTGATGAAATGAAAAAACACTATAACAGAAGATCATATCCGAATTGAAAGTTTGTAATTGGAAACGAGGGGGGGGGGGGGGCCGCGGCGCTAGTCAAAGAATTCCCACCTTCCCAAATAAAATAAGGGGAAAAAAAGGTCTTAATACTTACGGAAAAAAAAATCAAAATAATGAAAAAACACTATAACAGAAGATCATATCCGAATTGAAAGTTTGTAATTGGAAACGAGGGGGGGGGGGGGCCGCGGCGCTAGGCAAATGATTACCGACTTCCCAAATAAAATATGGAGTAAAAAAGGTCTTAATACGTACTGTAAAAAAAATCAAAATATGCTGATGGTACCATAGCACGAAACAAGAAAGTGGCTGCCCCAAGTCCGTCAAAAAAGTGCGGAAGATTCAGCATGTGACTAAGCTGTTTGCAGCCAGGATAATGATCCTCATAGTCAGAGGAATTAAACGGGGAATTGAAAGAGTAATTGGAATATCACGAAGAAAGAACTGTGCAACATATTTACCTGCTGACCTTTGAACTCAGTTCTCCACCTTATTGCAGCAACAAAGGGAACTGTTAGAGCGGCTAGAGGGCCTGCTCCAGCCCAATGCATTTTAATACTGCCAAATATGGCCATTAAACCAAGAGCCATAAGGAGAGCTGACCTGAACAGATGCAAGTGTTTCTGTTGAGGAAATGAGCAAATTAATCTGTAGCAAAGATATATATATTATATACTGATATATATATGCATTCAATGTTCACCAGCACACAAAGCCTGATAAAAAAATACACAATTTCTTGTAAAAACCATTCAATATTTGCTTTCTTAAAATGTAGAATATATTATTTCATATATTCAATCATCATTTAATTGACATTATGACAACTGTGATATTTACAATGATTTACTCACACTTGTCTTCTGAGGAATGTACCAAAGAATGATGCCGCCAACAATACCATAAGTAGTGCCTACAATCACTTCAAGAGGTCCCTTAAAAAGAGTCCACACAATGTCACCTACAGAGGTTTTAAAAATAAAATTTACGGATATGGGGAATAAGACAAAAACTGCTTCACTACACACAATTTTTTTTTACTTGCATTTGTAACAAGTTTTTAAAAATAAAATCTATAAATTTATTGAATAAATAAAATTTCTCTTTGAAAACTTTGGGTAACTGAGTCAAAATGTTTGCCCCCCCCACCCCCTTTTCACCCCCTTACTTAGCTGATATTGATCTACTGACCTATTGAAAAGGTAATTCCTAGAAGAACACCAAATCCAGTGATAGCCAAGACATCATCTATACTGGCAGCTGCAATCACTAGAGTCGGTATTCCCTTCTCCAGCCCATATCCACGCTCACCAAGGCCCAGTAGGGATGGGACTATGACAGCAGGGGAGACAGCAGAGATAACAAACCTGCAATAATAATCAAATATCTTCAGTCAGGAGAGATGGGACTTTAACAGAAGGGGTAAGAGCAACAATACCAAACCTGCAACAATAATTAATTATCTCCTGCCACAATTTTCTATCTTACAGATTTAAATACTACTAGTAGCATTAGGTAGGCTTTGATAGTTGGTTTCAAAGTTCAATTTGTATTTTAAGTGCTCAACAGGCACTATATAGTTCAGCATTTTAAATGCATCAGGTTTTTAAGTTGCCATGTCAATGTTTATTTTTTAAAGATTAAATCTTATTTTTTTAATTCCAAGATAGCCTGTTGAATGCATGATTAATGAACTTAAGCCATGCATTAAGTTTTAGAATATGCTAACCAATTAAGGGTACTATGTTGGGGACTGCTTTCCAGCTGTGTAAAGGAAATAATTAGTGAAACAAGATATGTTTAGGCTTGAAAAAAAGACAGGACAATTACAAAGACATTTTAGCTAAACGCCTTCCTCAGCAGACAAGACAAAAAACAACAAATGGAAATTAAAAACTCAAAGAAAAAAAAACTAAAGGAGAATAAAATGAATAATTGTTAAAATCCTAAAAAGAATGAAAAACAACAAAATAAGGAAAAAGTACATACAAATAGTAGCAGTAAAGTGTCAAGAATAAATGGTAATATATGAATAACTGTAAAGTAAATAAATAGTGGAATAAGATATGTTTGGATAACCCATTAAGTAGGTAATTATTTATATACACATTTATATACATCACAATCCTTTTTTTAACCTCCCATAAAGACTTGATTCACCTAAATATTTGAAATAGTTTTCTTACAGATGTTCAAAAGCAAAAAATATACTACAGTAGAGCATCCTATCAACACATCTTTAGTTTGATTTTTAATTAACAATACTTACCCCAACATAAATCCCCACTGCCATGGGATACCTAATATAAGATGACCAGCAATGCCATCTACAATAGTTTCTGTCAGACAAGGGAGGAATGCAAGTCTTACAACAACAAAGGACAAACGCCTGAGAGCTTTGGGATCAAGTCCAAGTCCAGCTCGGGTCAAGATTATAGTTAGTGCTATTTGTCTAAAAGATCAAATTCCAAAATAAATAAGTTTAACAGTGCACTGATTATGTTCATTTATTCAATAAAATTGTTAGACATTTTATTACATCAAATTCAGTGTTCCAGAAAACCCCACATCTATAAATCGGTTTTAATGGTGATGCTGGTTTCACGAATAAAAGCAAACATTTTATAAAATTAATATTTAATAGCAGTTGAAAAAAATGTAATTTATCATTTTATAACTCTAAGCTTGTTACCTGGAATATGAGCCAGCAGTTAAAATTAATATAACCAATAAATATTATAATCTACCTTTATGTCACTGCTTAGCAGCAGCCAATGACTTTCCTTATACCCATATGCTTTTTTGAATCTTTTCTACTGGGTAGCTTCTCAAAAAAACAAACAAATGTTTCATGTCATAATCTGATTTAAATGTGCTAATTTTACCCCTTTTCAAAACTATATATGGCGAATAAGATAAGACATGTGAATGCACATTCAATATATTTTACTCTTTACATTTTAATGATGCTATATGAAATTCTAAAACTTTCAATAAAAGATTTAATGTATCTATTTGCGTATGTATCCGGACAATGTAAAGTTAAAGACTTTACCATTTCCTTGTTCTTCATTATGTGGCTAAAGCAGCACATATAAATAACTTAATATAAGGTTTATTATCTAGTTAAGCTAGGTGCAAGTAGATTCGAGAAACATAAACTATATTTCTGCACTCACAAAATTATAATTGCCAGCTTAACGTGGAAAATATCAAATAATTTAAACTTTTCTTACCTTAAGCTAAATATATATGCACGATCCATATTTTTTGCTACATCTATATATGGCACATTCCCAAGCATCCCTCCAACAACAAGCATACCTGAAAATTTAATTTTAACTGTATTTTTAGAAAAAAATTTTTTTTGGAGGAAGCTTCATTTTAATACCTTAAACTTAAATGCATGCTTTTAAAAAAATTAATTGAAAGAATGTCATATACCAAGAAGAGGAGGAAGTCGTATCAATCTGACCAGGTAACCACCACACCAGCATGCTACAAACAGAACTAGCAGTGCAAACAGATTCCCTCCTGGTAATGCTGTGTCTCCTGTTACTGACACCAAGGTTGCCCAAATTGAAGCTGTGATTAAAATCATAAAGATGATAGCACCCATCCTTGAATGAGGTGGACATAAAAAGTTGTCCAGGAATCTGCTTGGGCAGTTAGCATTGTGTGGCAGGGGATGAGAGGATGCTAAACATGGATGTGTGCATTTCTCAAAGCAAGATTGAAGACCTGCACATTTCTTGATACCATCTGTCTCCTCTGCCTCTTGATCTTGAACCAACTCAAATTCTATTTGTGGAAAGCCAGCCCCATTGGCTACTACAGTGCTGTTTTCTTGATCAGATTTCATTTTTACATGAATACTGCAGAGCAAGGAGAGAATAGAACAAAAAGATTTAATGTTAAAGAATTATATTGTTTAAAAAATTGTTTTGGTTGTTTTGTTTTTTAACTAAATTGAAACTGTATATACTTGTTCATTAGTCAATGTTAAAACAAAAATAATGGAATTCAACATAATGCTGTGTACAAAATGGGTCACATGCAGTGGCATAGGAAGGTTGTGTGGAACTTTTTTCCTTATATTGAGGGGTAGCATTTTGAACCAACTGCAGCGTTCTTATTTGGTGGAAAAGGAGGGGGGGGGGGGGGGGGGGGGAAAAAAAAAAAAACCTTGACCCACCCTGGAGGGCACTAACCCTAGCTGCGCCAATAGTCACACATTTTTTTTTACTCATTTTGGGAATGAAATTGTAGATGCCCAAGTACCTATTCTGGTAAATGCTCTGTATGGTTACTGTATATACCAGTAGATAAGTGAATTGAGTATTAGTGGTGAGCATAATACTGTATGTTTATTATTTTTTAAGTCTTTTTGACTTACACAATATTTATTTTTTTAAATTTGTTTTTTTTTAAATAAATTATTTTCCTCGGTTCGATATTGCTTCTACAGGCATATTATTTTATGGGGTTGGCTTATGAGCAGGTTTCATACTTTTCCCAGCTAAAACTAAGTGGGATTGAACTGTTTTATATGGTAACCTTTCTTTCAATCTTTAATTTTATTAGAGAGCTTATTTTAGTAAATATGTGAATAAGAAAATTAATAAAAAATTCAGTGATGAATAAGCTTTTTCTTTTTTTTTAAAAATGGAATTGGTTGAACATTTTAATCAAATCATTAAAAGAAAATTGACATAAATGCAGCAGATCCCTGCAAGCCAACCCAAATAGGAATGCCAGAAAATATGATTTATTTCACCCTATAATATTTAACAATTGAAAATAAAATGCAAGTAACATACCACCAAGGTGCACTTAATAATTCAGCAGCAAGCAGTAGTCAACATGTTAGGCCTTTATCCCTGTAGAAAAAGAAAAATAACAAGTCTTTTTTTTAATCTAATTGGGGCAAACAACGAAGACCAGTTTTGTAGGGGGAGTTGTGTTGTAAAAAATATCAAGAAGGAAGTGTCATGATGTTCATGTCATGAATCAAGGAAGGCCCTGTGTTGTTGCTACATCACTTTGTGAGCCATGCTGTCAACAGGATCAGATAAGCCTCCAGGAATTTGTCACCTGTACAAGTTACCTGCCACAGCTATAGGCAAAATAGCTTCAAAGACATATACCTTTTCCCTTCCCAGTGATCAACACAGATACGAAACACTGTGATCACAACTATACAAAAAATATCATACTTTTAATTAATACTGGGATTAAAATTTAAAATAAAATATTATTGTTAGGTTGTAAGCCTAAATTTGGTATCAAATGAAGGATAATTGAATGGACTATGTGTTTGTAAACTTATTTATTCAGTTTAACTAAAATAAACTACCACAAATGACATCCGAATAGCCTAAGTCTAATGGGACCCGGGTCCCAATAGTGGCGATGGATTTCTGGTTCCATTTTGACTAAATTCAATGTATCATACTTTAATTAAAATGCTCACTTGGTCCAACATTGTCGCTAAGCAACATATCTTACGCTACCAATGACAAAGACTTATAAATCTATCCACACATTGGATGTATATGTACAAGCTTTGTCACTTTCAATACCTCAATCTGAATTTGTTGCTGTTGGAATGGGACATGTCAGCTTATGACTTCATATCTATTTTGTATCATTTCAGATTCAGCCTAGTTTTATTCTTACTGAACCAACACACCTTGAAGCTGGAACTAGCTTTGATTCCATAAGAGATGTATGAGAAGCATTCCTGATTAATTTGGCAAGGTATTATGTTCCTGGAGAGAACATCACAGTAGGTGAGCAACTGGTTGGTTTCAGAGGTCAGTGCAGATTTATGCAATATATGCTAAGCAAGCCCGACAAATATTTAATAAAAATCTTCTTAGAACTCTTCTCTGAGAGGCTGCCCTCAGCAAAGAAAATATAAGTGCCTTGCCAGCAAAGAGAAATGTTGGATTATCCCCAGAGATTGTGATTTCTCTCACAAGGGACCTCCATGGAAATGGCCATAATTTCAGAACAGACTATTATTTCATTCCCCTACAACTTGCAGAACCAATGACTGAGTACAGACTCACCCTATAGTTGGAACAGTGAAACGGAACAAGATATTCCTACCCAAGAGGTTCCGCAAAAGAAAGCTCTGCCCCTCGACAAATCAGCACTTCAAACAGCTGCCCAAACCACTTCAACTCTGCTAGTTTATTAGATATATTTATATTTGCAAAGACCATTCTGCTCTTTTATGTAAAACTGTGCTAGCTGAGGTGCAAAGCCCTTATTTCCATGTGTACAAGTGACTGTTCTGCTTTGAAATGGATTGTCAAGTTAAATACTACATGTTATTATTGTTGGTACCCAAATGCATTCAGAATATTTATTTATGGTCAAAATTTAAAATCTATTTTATGGATTACACACCCTCAAATAATCATCAACAAACAACCAAACAAAAATGTTCACTAAACATTTTAGACGTCTCTTTTCTTCTATTAATAAATTATGCACGGGAGTTTGAGTTGTTAGGGACTGTAGAAAAAAAAGATTAGGCCCCCAAAAATAAGTCACTTTTGCATGCTTCATACAATTGCATCCACCAAGGTGTTCATTCCAACTACCTACCTTGTGGATTAGGTCAAGTATGAGAAAGATTTTTGAAAGGGGACTCAAGATATCAGCAATTACAGTCTGTCTCCAGGTGTATTACACCCAGTTGCGGCGGAAAGGATTAATTATGCCTATTATAGGTAGGCTACTTTTTATAGAATATAAAATCAGAAATACAAAAATATTGAACAAGTCAAACATCAATTCTTTTAAAATTAGTGTCATGACATAAAGAGGGGGTTCTTGACTTTTGAGGCCAACCCCACCCCTTTTCATTTCAATACTGAATCCCCATGCGTATCCCTTTAAGGCTTTAAGGACTTAACCAAAACATATTTCTCACACTCACTCCCAATTAAAATATACTCTACTCTAATAATGCTCATTTTCTGCTGGGTCTTCCTTCAACCCCTTCCACTGCTTTCTGCACCTTTGCATGGTAGAGGCACACCTCAATTAAAAGCCACCCGTGAATTATTAGAGATTCATCTAAACCATACTCACACTCCATGAGAGTCAATGATACTCAATCGGATCGCAATTCATTAATTTAAAATTTGGCCAAAACAAAACCCATTCAGTTTAAATTTTAAATCATAATGATCTTTGATTAGTTTGATTGACATTAAATAATGTGACATACTCTTGTACAAATCATTACTATAAACCTAATAAAATTAACGAAGTGGATGCTTACACCGCGGCGGTGTACCTAGCAAAACCATCGAATTTGGCCTGCGTAAACCGCAACGGTGTACCTAGCGAAACCACCGGCTTTGGCCTGGGTACACCGCGGCAAAAATTTACCATTGGCCTGGTTTTAAGAAAAGCCTGTTGAATAAGATCTTGTGTGGTCTAGTGGTAGAGTGGACGCTTGGAGATATTATATTTTGAGCTCAATTCCCAGTAGTGGATCGAGTTTTTGTTCCTTCCCATTTTAATTAAAAATATTTTATATTTAAATTATCATGTTCATTTGCAACAGTAGTTTCCTGAGAAGTTTTTAAATATTTTATAGCAATTTAAGCAATTTAAATTAAATATATGTTGTATTCAGATTATTAACTGATTATTAAGTGTTTCAACAAGTTGTGCTGGCCTTTGACTTTGAAAATACCGGTAATATTAGTAATATGAGTATGACTTTAGAAAACAAACTGAAAGTTTCTGAAAACGCATGTATGGTGTATGTAACATGTATAAGAGAAACATTTTGAATACTAAGTGATATTGTATTGTATTTCAACATTCTTCTTGTAGTTGAATATTTACATTTTACTTTACGAACACCCATAGAAAATACGAGTTTATCAATAATATCATATGAATATTAATGTGCATGGTCGTGTTTTCAGAATGGCATGGGATTTGCTATTCTCAGGTACAACACGACGTTTTCTCACAGAAATCATTGCACAATGCACTTGGGATAGAATTTGCGCTATTTCAACGTTTTTTTATTTGTTGTTTTTTTTGCTAAGAAAGCGATCCTTGCAGGGAGGTGGGGGTGATTTATGGGCAGAGGTTCAACGAAAATGAGGGGCCTACACAAATCATGGCTCTGGATAAGGGTTGTTCACAAAGGACGTCCGCGCAAAAAACTTACCTTTTGCATACCCCCCGCCCCCAACCCGGAGAGGGGGTGCTGATGTCCGCCGGCATTTTTTACTTATGTGTAATGCCAATGTACAACTAATTCATGGATATTTAATTATCGTTAAAATACTTTTAACAATCACTGCAGTGTTTCGTATTGATCATCTTACTGTTGTTGTGTTGACAATCGCTTGATATCACAATGACAATGCCTCGGACAACTTTAACTTCACGACTTCATGATCAATGTATGTGATTCTCTTCCCGTAATTGCCGTAATGTATTTGTGGCATAATTATATGTTGGTGCTAACAAAATGGATACACTGGCTTCCCATTCATTTTTACACCACGCCCTGAGGAATCACTTACAATGCTATAATTATCATGCCTCCCCACACCCAAAATAAAAACAAACCGGGGGGGGGGGATAATTTCAAATTAGCTACCCTTTTTATGCCTATTACTATTAAGATTCACAATCATAGGATAAAACTTTAACAATTAATAAATATATTTGTATTTCAATATATGGGGGGAAATAAAGTGGTTAACTTTAAAAATAAATCATGGTTTAACATTACACCCCCAGCCTCCTCCCTTCCAATAAATAATAAGAAATGCTCTTATAAGTTTATTATAAGTACTTTGCCACATAAGTTATAAGCGTGGAACTTACTCAAACAAAAGCTTCCTCCCAAGGTACTCAACGATTTGAAATAAATAGTTTCCAGTTTTAACAAGAGTATAACATTAAATCTACAAGTACCAGTTAGGCCAAAAAGTTAAAGACTCGCAAAGACCATGTTTTGCTACTTTAAATCGCTGCGGTGTACGCAGTCCGCAGACCATGATTTAGCTAGGTACACCGCCGCGGTGTACGCAGGCCAAAGTCAATAGTTTCACATTGATAAATTAAAATATACCAAAAATGAAAATACTTACTACCATGCCTTCTTTTAAGACTCATCTATCCAGCCTACTAAAGTGTAGGCTACAGACTATACAGGGTATCAGAGACTTGGTTTAGAGTTACTACACTTATCACTTAAACCAGTGGTTCTCAACCTTCTTAATGCCGCGACCCTGTAATACAGTTCCTCGTGTTGTGGCGACCCCCAGCCACAAAATTATTTTCGTTGCTGCTTCGTGACTGTATAGCATATATGTTTCAGATGGTCTTAGGCGACCCCTGGGAAAGGGTCGCGACCCACAGGTTGAGAACCGCTGACTTAAACTGACACGGTAGTTTCAACACATGCCTGATAACTGTAAATACATTATAGCTTGCCAGATTGACGTTAGTGGAACTGCCATATTTTTTTTACTATTTTTTTTTAAAAATCTTATCTATTGGCATAAATATTTGCTCAATAAAGCTGCATTAGCTTGGGTGAAAACGATCCGATCAACTTTTACGCGTGATTATAAAACTGGGTAGCAGAACGACTCTGATATTGACAAGTTTAGTTAGATATGTCTTATTTTTTTATATGCTGACGGCTGCATTCCACAACGATAATTTCTAACGCTTACATCAAAATCTAAAAACTAGATATACCCCGTCAAACATTGGCAACAGCAATGCGTGAACTTCCCATCTACTTAAGCTACTTTTTTTGAAAAAAACATGAACTCAAGCAACGCACATTTAAGTTAAGAATCCCAATTTTTGCTTTACCTCTTCCCCCATAATACGTCATTGCACACTTTTTGTTTCACGCTCATGAACTATATTAAATATTGTGATGTCCCAACAACTTTTAAACCAAATATTTTTTTATTACAATGCTTAAATTGAGACGGTTTCATTTTCCGAAAAGAAAATATTACGCGCCAAACGCAGTTGCGTTATTTAAAATAAATACAGGCCCATCATTTAGCGTATTTATCGGGAATTTTATTTTGCGCGCTATTGAACTCTATTGAACCATACTTTTTTTTCAAACACTTAGAATTATTTGTAATATACTCTCAATACAGAATTCGCTGATTAGGAAGCAGTACATTAGGGAGCAGTCCACGAATTACACCAGAAGCGTAATGAGTAATAGAGATATGCATTAATATTAAAAAGTATTTTGAATACTTTTAACATCTCAATAATAATTAGGAAAAACTGAAATCAAAGAGAATCCTTAGGTTATTTTAGTTAAACTGAAGAATTAAGTTTACAAACATATAGATAGTCCATCCAATTATCTTTCATTTGTCACCTCCTTTTGTCTTATAAACGCAACAATAATAATATTATAAATAGTTTTTTAATCCCAACCTCTCACTTCTGATACCCCGGTGCGAATAGCCACTTCGATATTTTTAATACACTTTCCCCATAGTACCCGGGTGCGAATAGTCGCAGCCTTTTTAATACACTTTCCCCAAAGCTTACCTGGTCACATGACAACTTTGTTGACATTGAAGTTTTAAAAAAAACGGAACGGAAATATCTACAGTTTAATCAACAAATTTGTGGCGTTTGGATTTGGATGAATTATTGATGTTGACAACTCAACATTTTTTTGTGTATCTTGTTCTACTATTTATTTATCAACATTTTTACACTAAATTTACAGTTACTATAACCAGAAAATTTGTCTCACTTCAATAAGAAATTAAATCAAATAATTCATCTGAATCTGATGTTAAAAAAGTAAAATTGTAAAAGTAAAACTTTAAAGTTGTTAAAATTAAAAGTCAAAAGTGTAGTGAAAGACTAGTACTCGTAGTGTAAATTTGTGTAAGTGTAAGTACCACAGTCACAGTATAGATGAGTTAGTACAGTCAGAATGAATAGTAAATAGTATTACTACAAATACTTGTAAGACTTTTGATTGATTTGAGTCTTGAGTAAAATTGACTCAAATTGAGTGGTTGAAAGTTTCTATACTATACTATACTATAACCCAGTGACTGGCCCAGTGAGTTGGTAAGTTGATCCTGACTAAACTAACTAACTAACTACTAACTTCTTCAACTTTTGTCTTATTAAAAAAATAAAACAAAACACTAATTAAATAAGGCTAGTCTTCTTAGTTCATTATCAAACTTATGTCTTATGATATAACTATAACTATAATTTATAATTATAATAGTTTTACAGAATATACTAATAATTTAAATAAAAATAATATCATTTTAATATTATTAATAGTATTAGGTAGGAACAGCTTTTATGAAATTTTCAAAAAATCTCTGAATAGTTTACAAATTTACTTTTACAAAAACACCAATATCAACTATGTAGCACTCATCACTCACATCAAACTCACATTATGCATTTTTCTAGTGCTGACAACGTCAAGAGTCATTTTTACCATGTGAGTTTTCCTCCACATTTTTTACTCACATTAGCTCATCCACTATTCAGTTCAAGACTGCCTGACTTTCACCCATACACCCATATTTTTTGTGTGGATATTTCTCAATATAAAAATTAAAATTGTCATATTTACACTATTTTTAATAATATTAAATATTATAAATCAGATTTTCAGTCAGATGCCTATTAGAGAAATGTTACAAATATAATATCCCAACACATTATATGTGGACATAAAATGGCCTATGACAGCATTAAAGAAAATATCTGTATGAGCCTCTGCAGGAGTTCGACATACCCACCAAACTGACAAGATTGATGCATGTATCATTAAACAACTCAAAAAGCAAAATCAAGGTTCAGGGAGAATATTCAAGGGAGTTTCAGATTAAACAAGGCCTAAGACAAGGAGACTCACTGTCTTGTCTTGTATGCTATTTAACCTAACATTAGAGAAAGTTATAGGAAGCATGCACATTGACAACTGAGGAACAATAGCAGGATACTTTCCGAGGGAGACCCAAGACTCTACATTCAACCCCTTCATTATCTTGCATATGCTGACAAAGCACTGTTAGGGAAAAGTAGTAAATACATATCAAAAGCCTTTATTGAATTAGAAGACACATCAATACAAGCAGAGCTGGGAGTTAACAACCAAAAAAACAAAATACTTGACTTTGATAAGAGAAGAACAGACAGATGAAACCATTAAAATTAGAGACCACACTTTTGAAAAAGTAAATCAATTCAAACACCTATGATCTTCTTTAAATGAAAGAACCGAATTACTAACAGAAATAACAGAAAAAATATCTGCCAGAAACAGGGCATTCTTCAGTAGTCAGAAAATACTAAAAAGTAACAACATTACAAGAAGAAAATAAAGAAAACTATACATAAAACTGTAATCAGACTAGTTGTAACATACGCAAGTGAAACTGGGGCATATATGGACCAACAAATGATGAATATGGATGAAATTTATGAACCAACCAGGAATTTTATAGTATATATCAGGATCCCACGCTAGTAGCAAAAATTAAAAAGGGTAGGCTATGTAGGGAAGAACACTTAGAAAGAATGCCAAACGACAGACGAGTGAAGAGGGTACATCACCAAAACCCCAGAGGAAAACTGCTTAAAGGCAGACAAAGGCTTAGATGGAAGGATGATGTGGAAAAAAGATCTACAACAGCTGGGAATCCAAGCATGGAAAAGAAAAGCATTAGTTAGGTCTGAATGGAAGGAAGAGTGAGGCAGGCCAAAGCCCAACATGGGCTGTAGCACCACAGGGATGGATATATATATATATTATACATTAAGTAATGAAAGTATTAATGCAATATTCAAAGCCTTTTCTAGATATTTAATAATCATGCTTTGCCACCGTAGACCAGATTTGAAAAATTCCCACCTCTCCCTCATTTTTCTCGTCATGTGCTCAATTTTTCGCTGTTATATTTTAAAACAAAATATTCTAATATAACCATCTAAATTTAATTCTATCACATAGAGAGATTACTATTAATCTGCAAAAGTCCCCATTAAACTGACTGCAGCTTGCGGCGCAGCTGCTGAAAGTTTTCCATAGTGGAAGTGGCGCAGAGCTCTGCCAAAAAAAAAAAAAAGGTCTGCTCTACAAAAATAGACAAATGGACTACTAAATGGTCAACTGCTAAATAATAGAATTTTTAATATCATCGGTTCTTCCCCGGCGCTCTAGTTGACAAGCCTGTGGTGGCTTGCCAATTAGGAGGCATTGGCCACTGGACCCTCTCGACGTTACCCAAGGAACAAGATCACCATTGTGTATCCTGAGTGGGCAGACAAGGAACAAGCATGGTACCTTCCAGAATAAAAACAGCACCTGCAGGGCTGCCAACTGTGACGCTTGATAGTTGGAAGTAAAGGCAGAGGCAGGGTAGGGATCATGATTACAAGTTGCCTCTAATGGTTATTAGGCTATCGGCAAAGGTGGAAACCTCTAGCCGATGATTCTAACTACGCAGCCCTGAGAAAGCTATTCCTAGGCAACGGTTTTATCCCAGCTACTTTGCAAACTAGTTGGGCGTCCGACGCTTCCTGGGGATGGGTGGGGGAAGATATTAGGATGTAAATGTACCATCCAGACTCCCTGGGAGAGTTGGCTGAAAATGCTTTAAACGCAGAGTTTTTGAGCGGGTGCGGGTGGTGGCAGTCCAGGCCGGGAAAGGTCCCCGGTTTGCCACAGCACAGTCCGACATCAGGGAGACCCGGCGTTTGGGCTGTGTGGAGGTGCGTTGGGGAGGGCATTAAGAGCTCACGCTCGATGGCCCGCGACGCCATTTCCCAATGTAACATATCATCTGCTCAGGAATTTTTATTGCATTGACCCTGTCTTGGCCAGTATGTATCTCCTCATGAGCTATGATTGTTATAAATATAATCTAATTACTGTAATTGTAAACCATATGTGTTGATTATCTTTAATAACTATTACAATCAGGGTTGCCAACTCAATAAAAAATGTAGACAAGTATTCTAAATCTTCATAAATTTCTACAGACACATTTTTAAAATATGTCTCTATGAATTTATCATTCTATGACCATGAGGCATGAGCCTAAATTATGACATTAGTTTATTGTATGGCATTGTCTTATCATGATCATACAATTTAAAACAAGCTAGAAAAATTCATAGACTGAGATTTTAAGTTTTGCTTACAAATTCTCATTTTTTTTACAGACATCCTTAAATTCTCAAAGGCTTCTACGGGCAGGTCATTTTAGCCCCAATTTTTACAGAATGTCTATAAAAATACATACATTTGGCAATCCCTATTAGAGACCATCTTAAAAATTCAATGCAGTAACTTTTTCCTTAATTGAACTTTTGTAGCATATGGTTATTATGGGTATGCATTAGTTGTCAGTGAAGTTTTTGCTTGCTCATTTTTCTTTCAAGGCCTCCAAGTCAGTTATTAAAACCATTGTTTGAGAGAGCACTTGCACTGCTTTAAAAAAAAAATGTTTAAAGACTCATTATTTTGCTCTATTGGTAATTCTGTGATAGTTTTCAGATTTCGGTATATAAATATAGCCTTAACATATCTTCTTTCAATTTTAAGTTTTGCGTACAAATTCTCATTTTTTTTACAGACATCCTTAAATTCTCAAAGGCTTCTACGGGCAGGTCATAAATTGATCGTGGGCCCTTAAGATATAGAAGAAATGTTCTATATGTAAAGACTTTCAAGTTCTAAGCTTGTATTTGAGAACCTTCGTTTATTTATGAAAATGGCCATGTGTAATTTTGAGACCCCTTTAAATATAAGGCTTAAGATAAATTTGCACCCCACCCCTTTTCCAGTGAAAAGATAAAAATAATTAAATGAAAGTCTGTACTCTTCTAATGTCTATAATACATTACTTACATAGTTGCTAAGCTGTTCAGATTTTTTACAAAAAGTTTAAATACATTTATTAGACAGTAGATTCAAGTGAGAATTTTGAAAGAATGGTCTTTCTTTCCTGAAATATCCAACACATTCTGTGTGACTTTTAAGTGCTTGCACATTAACCTTGACTATAAAACTGCACCCACACTCACATCTTCATTACAGGCTGACCAAAAAAAAGTTTGGTCATGGCACCTTGAGTTGTAGGTATGTTCCTCATGTAATTTGGAGCACTGATTCCAAAACCCAAATCGGATTTGCTGTACTATATCCTTTTTCAGAGACATGGTTGAGATTTTAAAAATTTAGTCCAATGATATCAAATGCAGAATCAGAACTTCTTAAATCTTTTCTTATATAAGGGAAAATTAATGTTTTTAAATTACTATAATTTTGTGTGTGTTTAAAGACATTCATTTACTTCCTTTCTTTACTATGCATTGGCATAAAATTGTTAATGTCAAAGGTTAAGACTAACTTTTTTCTGCTTATTAACTGATTATGTGTAAGATATTTAGATAGTAAATCTTTATTTCCTAGACTAAATAAATGTGTGCTTCCAAAGCCTCCTGACCTGATATGTTTTAAAACCTATATCTGAGTTTAAAAAAAAAAACATTCAGGTTATTTGTTGCCAAGCTTGGTAATAAAGATAAACCATTGGCTCCTCATTACATGCAAAACTTGTACCATACAGAGCATTTGCTCTACCTGACAAATGGGAAATAAATTTTTAGTTTTATTGGTTAGGAAGGAACCAAAAAACCACTTCGATAACTGTTCTTTTAGTATTTAGTTAATAGGATGGGATTCAAACAAAACAGTCTTAACAAGTGTTTTTACCCTAACCTATCTTCACTCGGATTTTGCATCCTCTCCTCATTTCCATGAAATATAATTGCTCTCAGCAGATAAGTCTTGCATGTCTTTTCTAATACAAGACAAAGAAATAGATGACAGATAGTGATTACCAAACAATTTCCAATTGTGAACGTTTTGACGAAAGTGAATTGAACAATCTGGTTAGGGATTAAAGTCTTTCTAAGTATTCCTCTGAATTGCTTGATCCCAAAAGACAGTTTATGCATTCAATACATAGCTTATAAGTTAACTGGAATTACCAAAGAGAAACAGAAGGCTTGAGTTTTTGATGGTCCACAGATTAGAAAAATTAAAAATGACCAAGATTTCTCATTGTCAATAAATGAAATGGAATTATTAGACCTTGCTGTCTTTCTTGAAGTCACCTAAATCCCTTTCCAGAGAATCCTAACCATACTGAATATTTCCAAAAATAGATGACTGCGGTTTAGAGTGAAATAAATCGTTACCTTGTCTTTGAAGGCGGATATTCTGCTATAGATATCAATTAACAAGTTTGTGCAGAAGGCAATATCGCATTTTGGTAACTGATTATAAAATAGGCCAAGTGCTAGTACCAAATTGTATCAAAATGAGAGTTGCTTTGACTGTTCTAAAAATACATTTCAACGGCTGCTTTATTATAAAATATGTCGATCCGACCTTTTTATGTGGAACATTTGGGAATCCATTGTAAAAACCAATAACCAGTTTGAAACCTGATTACTAAAACCAATCACAGGTTTGAAGAAAAAAAAATTGATACCAACACCCATAGTTTCAACTGACTTGTGATATTAGAAACAAATATCATTAATTATGGGAAATACATGGTTTATGAATATTGTTATAAAATAAAAAATGCATTAATTTAAATTTCATTACTTTAACTGCAGGTCTGCCGCTGAAGCTCTCCTATCATCCAAACGTTTTAAGGGCTTGAATGACTGAAAAAAATGCAACTGTTTCCCCACCAAACCAGACAGATTTTAGATCTAAGATGGATAATTTTGCTTCGGTACGTATTTGTATATTGTAAGAATTCACACTCTGTGACTTGTGTCACAACTTAAATGACCACAGGAGATATTAAATGGAAGTATATATATGTTTTTTAATTATTATTTTTTTATTTAATGTGTTTATTTTTATTTTCATTCAAATATAATTCATATTAGGCTTATAGACTTGCAATAAAATTTAACATGTTAAAAATTTATATTTGGTTTGAGTATGTAATTTAAAAAAAAAAAGGAATTGTAGCTTTATTCACATCCTAATGGTTCTGATTTTAGTCTCCAGTAATGAAATCATTTCTGGCTGGAGCCTTTAGTGGCACATGCTCATCAATTCTTTTCCAGCCTCTAGACCTTGTCAAGACCAGGCTTCAAAAATCTGTCAACATTGGGTGAGCATTTTGCAATTTAAATTGAAATACAAAGCGGGACTCCTGTTTTGAGGGAAACTTTTTAACAGGTCTTATTTATAACAATTGATTCAACCATATACTTTATAGTATAAGTCAAATATGTCTTTTAAAAATTCTTCTGCATAAAATAATAATATGTTGGTTTGTTTATTTTTTTTTTCAATTTGTAAGGAGCATAATCCTGTTTTCTAAATTTCATAAGCTTTTTTTTTTAAATAGCCATAGTTTTATTTAAAACACAATGTAATTCAAATATATATAAATGTATAGTGTACGGGTAATTGGGAAAATGTATCATTGATTCAGCTTGAAAATGAAAGGAATTCCATGTAAACTTATATTATTTTCAGTACTAAGCTTGGAATGATAGCTGAGATTGTAAATGTTGTTAAACAAGAAAAAGTAATTGGACTTTGGACTGGGCTTATGCCTGTAAGGAAAATAGATATACAGTATATTTTTGCAAGATTACTTATAAAATTTCTTTCTTCTGTCAATTTTTTAATAGATAATTAAAGATAAAATATAAAAATAGCTAAGTAGATGTAAATGGCTGTAATCAAATTTTATTGAGCCCGTTTAGTAAATTTTATTGCCTCCTTATATTTAGGCCTACCATTTAAAAGACCAGTAATAGAGTATTATTTTTGTTGTCGGCCTACCATTTAATGGACCAGTGACAAAGTATTTCGTTTCTTGTAGGCCTACCATTTACAACACCTCTAATATAGTATTTTGTTTGTTGTATACCTACCATTTACAACGCCACTAATATGGTAATTTGTTGTAGGCGTACCATTTAAAATACCACTAATATAGCATTGTGTTTGTTGTTACATGATCTACTACATGACCAGTCCCTCTTGCGATGTGTCCCAGGAATCGGTCTTTATTTTGCAAGTCTCCATTGGCTGAAATCTTCGTTTGGGTGAGATGTCCTCTAATAATTAATCTGTTAATGGAAAGTTGCAGCATTGTAAGGTGTAATTTTGTACATGTTTTGCAACATCTCTAAACCGGAAAGCTTAAACCATAGGATGATACTATAATATTTGTTGTTTTAAACAATAGTACTGGTATTCAAGTTGGTGATAATTTTGATTTTAATAAAGCAGTGTCTCAATTAAGAAAACTGTTTTGACTGATAAATTTGAGATTTAAAAAAAATAAATTATTGTCTTTATAGCAACTCATTAATTATGAATTTAATGCCATAATATAAATGTGATAAGCAAAAGTCATAAATGATTTAAATTATCATCTCATTAATTTTTAACAACATGAAATCCTACAGAATTTATGAAGTACAAATGACATACATTTACATCTTTATGTTCATGAACTGTATTAAGAAATGTAATTCTATATCAGGAGTAGCTCTCCACATCCTCTTGAATCAGTCATCTTAGGAGCATCAGCAAGAACGTTAGCAGGAGTTATGGTCTTACCCTTCACAGTTTTAAAAACCAGATATGAAGTATGTTTTAACTTCCATGGCATACACTAGAACATACATTAGTTTGATAAATAAATAAAGAATTCAATAAAAATTGGACTCAGATTATACTGAGATTGCATCTTTTTTAATTGCAGCGCTAAGTTGATATTTGGCTTTTATTAAATTTATTTTCCATTGTTTTGTCCTTCATCTCGCTATTTATGATAAGTTTTGGATTTCTTTAATCATTCACCGGCTGCCTTAAAAATTTAACATTTCTGTTTTAATAACGTATTCTCAATCTCTGTATTCACTAAAGAGATAAATACAAGTCTTAATTTGAAAATTAATTGAAAAGGTTTGTTGAGATTGTTAACAAGTATTCTCCAAAAAATGTAATGATCAATAACAAATAATTAATTTTTTTAAATATCCTTGTGCAGAGTGGAGATTTCCATTACACTGGTCTGTCACAAGCCTTTAAATCTACTTACAGTAAGGAAGGACTTAGAGGTAAAATACAATTATAAAAAAAAATTTAACAACCACTGGCAGTCAGCAGGATGAACTTGATATCTTGGCTTGAGTCCTCAATAAATGTGGAATAGTTTGACAAAACCTGGGTATGTAGGGCTTGTCAACCCAGGAAGACAGTTTAGAAAACATCTCAAACAAATATACTGTTAAAATGGAAGTTGGAGCTTGCATATTGTAATTACTTGGCATAAAGAAACATCAATGGGTGAAGAATAAATAGGAATGGCTTAGAAAAAGGAGCTTTGAAATGTGATCCATTTTGAGGGACCTGAATAATAAATGTACAAAAATTGGCAAGCTGCAGTCACATATTTATAAATTATAAATCTATCTTGGATCAAGCTTGTACCAAATGTAAAGCAAGTCGCATATCATATTTAACACTGCTTTACTTTTCACCTTCTTCAGGTTTGTTCAGTGGTTTTGGTCCCACTATGATGAGGGATGTACCTTTTTCTGGAATCTATCTAATGTTTTACTTGCAACTGAAAGCTATATCACCAGGTATATAGAGATAAAATGAAAAATGGTTTTAAAATAAAATAATGGAATAAGCAAGAAAACAAGAACATGCATATTTCGTCATTAAGTTCCCAAAATTGATATTTAAAAAACTTGTATGTTTTATTATTTGCATCACAACTTTTAAATGGAGCATTAGTTTAATGGCAAATAATTTTTTGCTTGTATTGACTGCTGTCGTACAACACCTTTTCATTTATTTTTCAAGATCATCTCCAGTGTATTTTGCATACCAAATCAATGGTACCTCTTGGTTCATATTACTGTGTCATCTAAGTAATAAAATATATTTTTTAAACTTGGTTCTTAGAATCAATTACTACTAAATTATTATTTTTTTTTAAATATATCTTTTCTAATTGTGTTTCCTTTAAACAATCATTTTTTGAATTGTTTAAAGGAAACACAATTATAAAAATTAATTTTAACATAAATTAATCCTAAAATTTCTGAATTATTCTATAAAACACTTTATCAACATAATAAATTGTATACTTCAAATTAAGATCTCAATAAAATATTTTTTTGCTCAAATCAAGTTGACTTAGAGTATTCTTCATCGTATATCAACTTTGCTAATGGCACCATTGCTGGAATCTTGGCATCTTTAATCACTCAGCCAGCTGATGTCATCAAGACAAACATGCAGCTGTATCCACACAAGTATGGAAAATTAAACTCTGTGGTCTTCTTTATTTACAATGTAAGTTTATCTGTAGTTGAAAAAATCAATATTCTTTTCTTCAGTGGTGATGTACAGTAATTTATTCAGATATCTTTGTCTTAATTGAAATTAAAAAGAAAATTCAATTTAAAGATATTTTCAAAGAAAATTGTATTTTCATCATAGTTTCAAAATCACAATCCCACATATTTTGACTGAGAGGCTGCTCATTAGTTAGGTCAACAAAATTGAGTGGAGGAGGGGGGGATGTTGGAAAAGTTTTACAGTTGTTGACAAGGGGGATGGGGGTCAATAGAAACTTATGTCAACAATTTTATCTTTCTATGATACAATAAAATATATATAAATAAATCATTAATGGGCCTCCATAACTTTTGGCAAAATATTTGTGTTTTTAATGGCTATAAAAATTCTTAAAATTTTAGAAATTGCTGATATTCTAATCGCTGATTGGTTAGACTAGACTAGGATGGTGTCAATTGGTTGCATAATAATATTGATAAGACAATGATATTAATCAGTTGCTCTGCACTATTGCAAAAGAGGAACATTTGGCTAATCAACATTAAGATTTTTAAGAAATAGCATTACGTTTACTAACAATAATATTGAGATCTTATCAAGTCTTTAATAAATTCTGCAATATATAAGTGACTGTAGCTATCAATTCTAGTTGTTACAAATGTAAAATTTGTCTAAGAAGTTTTTTAAAATGTCATAAATTTGTTGTTCCCGCTGATTTCTACATTTTAAGAATTGAAAAAGATCTTTATTTATTTTTAATTATCTTGAAGGGTGGGTGGGGTGTTACATAATTGTTGAAATAATTAATTAGAAGGGTCCATGAATGCTTGATAGTTGTTGACAAGTGGGAGGGAGAGTGCTAAAAAATTGCCTAAAATTTTTTGACATAAAAAATTATATATATAATTTTCAAATTTAGAACATGGAGCATTTAGTAATTTAAAAGTAAATATCAATTGATAAATTTAAGTTTAAATTAAGATAGGAATGCCGTTGCTGTCATTAACTATTCAGTTACTTTCAAAAGTGTTTGCTTTTTTGGAAATTTTTTAAATCCTACTATACATAATTATATAGGAGCGGGGTATGGTTGGCTTCTGGAGGGGCATAGTTCCTCGTACATTAAGACGTACTCTCATGTCTGCCATGTCTTGGACTGTCTATGAGGAGGTAGGATTTTTTTTATTTTTAAAAAGTTATGAAAATCATTATATAGATTTGCAAGGTTATTTTTCACCAAGGTATTTCACATATAGTTTTAATAACTGCTTTTAAACACATTTCAACAAAAATTATACATTTTACAGGCTTATTTAATTACTATTAATAATTCTCATTGATGGAAAGAAACCATGGTACTTAAGAAAACAAAATTTCTATAAACATACCTTTGCAGCTGATGTATATCAACACATTTTATGAACTCAACACTGAGTAACCTGTGTCAGAGAAGTGTTGTTTAAAATATTAATTGTTCTTATCAACACATTTTATGAACTCAACACTGAGTAACCTGTGTCAGAGAAGTGTTGTTTAAAATATTAATTGTTCTTGAAAAATATTTTTTTTTCTTAGTATTAAAAATTGCTGTGTAACTTTTAATTCAGTTACAGTTTAAGTCAATAAAATGAACTAATCTGTTTAAATGATGTTGGCTGTAAAAACTGCTAATAAAATAAACATCATCCCAAGTAAAAGCTTTGGACTTTTTTTGCCTGATATTTTTTCATTGCCAATGTTATTATCAATGTTATAATTCTCATTTGCAGGTCATGAGAATGTGTAACATCAAAACATGAATTTGTCAAGTCAAAGGAAGAATCAATATGAAGTAGAAGAATTAAAAAGACAATTGGACTTGATTGTGGGGAATGTTTTTAAAGAAATGAAGTGAGGTGGTTTTTAGATAGTAACTTGAAGTTACAAAAAGAAAAGTTGATTTTGTTGTTTTTGTTGCCTATTTATTTGTTTGAAAGCAACACAATCTGACACAGCATACAGGATTCTTTAATTACTGCTTTCAAAGGTTATTGATAATTACATTCAGTGTTCCTCTACTGTGATCATGAAAATGTATTATTTTTTTATATCCAGATTTCCAACTATATTCATTACTTCTATTCTCAAATGTATAAATACAAATATCCATTATGTTGTTTAAATCAAACTGCTGAAGTTTAAAATGTTCTGATTGAAACTTTTTCTAAAAATATTTATTGCTAATCCTTAAAAAAAATGTGTACTTTTATTTTATTTTAAAAAATTTAATCAAATTTCTACCAGTGATAAATTTTAATAAAGTAAGAAGTACATAATCCAAATATCAGAAGTCCAGAGTGTTGAAAAACCAGAATGCCTAATCTGATCAGATAAAAAAAGAAATGATGCAGAGCAAGAATCGCACTGTGCTATAAAGTGAACACATCTCTAAACATGGCTAAAAGCATTACAAATAAAAAAACAACATTTATGGGCTACGCCAGGACAATAACCTTTCACAGTCACATTATACAAAAAAAAAGTATAAATCTTATTTTTTAAAACATAAAAGAAATTTTTCCTTAAGTGATATGCTTACTGCATGTTCAGTAGGTTGTGACTAGTGTAGTTTTTTCTTTTATTCATTTCTAGTTTGCATATAAAATTGTTATGGTAACTATACTATAACTATAATGATATTTTTACATTTAATTTACTTAACTGAAGATACCAGTTTTGCTATGGGATTTAAAAAGTCAATTATCTGGATGACTTCAAAACAAAATTCTTCTGGATAATGAAGTCTTACTGTATATCAGACCTGTTTACCCTCAAACTCTTAAAATTGTACAATACCATCACATAATCGTTCAATACATTCTCTTTATAGAAACAAAAACGTGCAGTATACATAATATATAGATCTCAAAATCATACAGTATAAATAATGAATACACCTCAAAATCGTACATTGTACGCCAAAATCGTAAGAGTAAACAGGTCAGCTATATTAAAACTGATTCTTTTTTTTTTTTTTTTTTTTTTTTTCCCGAAAATTTTTTTAAGGGATTTTTTTTTTTTTTTTTTTGTACCCGAAATTTTTTTAAAGGATCTGTAAAAGGTTGAAAAAATCTTTACAAACATATCTTCCAAAGTTGTCGAGGTGTTAATTCTCAAAGATATAATTATTAAATTGGTTTAAGGAGTGACAGAGATTTATATAAGGATCATTCTATTTGTTGAAGCAATGATAGAGAATTTTTTAAATTCTTTTTTTTTTTTTTACAATAAGAATAGCTCATCTTTGCATTTTTAACAATTTTTATTTGATGAAATTCATTTTTAAAATCGATGGGCAGGCCTTAAATTGTGATTCTTTTTTAGAATTAAAATATTTCCTACTTAAAAGCTTTCATAATGGTATTTACCAGCTGTCATGATGGTATGCAGCTATTTTCATTTGAATGTAACAAATTTCAATACTGTTCTTTACCTTACAACATTTGACAGCATTTATTATGTCAACAGTTTCAGTTTGTATCCTTGCTCAATATTCTCTCTCCAACTCCCTAAAATGTTGTGATAAAGAATTTATCCTTATTATTCATCATCATTTTTTAAAAACTTTGTTGCCTTTTGAGATTAACGCAGAGTTGCATCTGTGTGTGAATATATATTTATATTGTTGGTCCTTTTCATGCTAAGATGACCAAGGCAATTTTCAATTGAGTAGTGGCCTTGACTTGAGATGAATTTTTTTTTAAGTGAGGGAGAGATGCTCAATTTGTCTGTCTTGTCTTTTCCTATTTGATCCAATGGCAAGACTTAGTCAAGAGAACTGGAAATATTTCAGCAGTGTGTCTTTTGTGTTTCACTGTGCTCTTTATGCATTCTATGTTGCATAAGGTGTCGAAATTTTTATTGTGTCAATGTCATACCCCCTACGGGACTCCATCTCAGGGTTTTATTTCAGAGTTTGCTATCTCTTAGATGAGTTACCATCCAAGATTATCGAGTTCAACTGGGGTGCTGTTGATATTTTTGCTTTAGCTGGGGATTGAACTATAGTCCACTAGGCCACCTAGCATCTGTAAACCTACTGATTGTGTTCATGCTGGATGATACAATTGCTTGTTTAAAGTTTTATTAAAAAGCACTTGTACTTGTACTAGTCAATATAACCTTTGAGCACCGAGTCACAGGTGTCCAATATTAATAATGTGAACTGGTGTAAAGATCTATCATGTTGCTTGTTTACGTTTGTTGTTAGCCTATGATGATTGGAAACATTTAATGGAGGTCTGCTGAAAAAGCCAGGATGGAAGTCAGGTTTGCTTAAGTGAGGATAGCAGTCAAGTTTGTTAAAGTCAGGATGATCCTCTTTATAATTTAAAATTTTTTTAATTCTTAAACTTAAATAAATTGCTGAAGAAAACTGAACAGAGTTACAGGCCTTGATGTTGTAAGAGACCTTAGTTTTTATTTTTTAAAAACTTGTCCAATAATATTTTTTTTTCAATCAAGGTTTAAATTACATTTACCTTTGATAAATTTCAGTTCTTTATATTTTGTATAGAAAGCAATTATTTTTCAAGACGGACCTGTACATTGCTAAATGAAATATAAATCTGTGTTTCTGCATCATTGAGGTATTTAATTTATACACTACATGTATCCAGTATTACATGTGTATACATTTTTAAGTGAGTGTTATTTTGTGAATAAAAGTTATAATATGCATGCAAACCTTATGAAGATGAAAACCTTGTACAAAATGAAAATCTATGCACAGCAGGTTTTCTGGCTTATTACATTTACCATGCCAAATGGTGGGATCAAGTTTTGCTTTATTGCTTGATTGTCTATGTCCAACTAAGTCCCTCTTATTGAGATTTACTCCGAATTAAGGAGGGGTAAATGTCTAATTTCCAATATAAATCTTCCTAAAGCAAATACTCAGAATCTCATTTGAGCTAAGTTTGTTCTCACATTATTTCCAAATAAGTAAATTCAGATACTAACATAGCAATATTATGTCCCTCTTAAACACCATGCCACAATTATTTTTTTGGCAATTACTCATTTTGCTTCCATTTCTATAAGGACTAAATGTCACTCACATATAAACAGTTGGTTGAAATATTCTTATGTCCAACAATATCACCACAATGTTTTGTAATTATTGTCAATTTGCTTGTTTAAATACAAGTAGCATCTAAATATACCGGTGGAACAAGAAAATCACATTCTTGCAACATATAATTTAAAAAATTATATATATATATATATATATATATATATATATATATATATATATATATATATTATATTTGTGTTTTTTTTTTTTTGTATTTTTTTTTTTTTTTTTTTTTTTTTTAATTCTTGCAACATATAATTTAAAAAATTATATATATATATATATATATATATATATATATATATATGTACATATATTATATTTGTGTGTTGTTTTTTTTGTATGATGATTGTTTTATTGTTTGATTTTATCCATTAACTTGAATATCTCAAGACATAGATAAAAATTAAGGCAATTAAACATTTTTAATGTTTAACCTTCTGAGCATGGAATGAATTATTTAAAACAAGATTACGTTGCAGCTTAGATAACAATAACACTAACATTTCAACTGAATGCCTTTTTTCAAAGACACAAAAATACACATAGCTAAAAAGAGAAACTCATCTTGCGTAACTAAGGGGAAGTGGTTTATAAACATACATAACATGGAAATGTTACCAAGGAATATATGAATATACTGTCAAAACAAAATTTTAAGAGTTTAATATGAAATGTGAATGTTTTGAAATTTTAAATAAATTAAAATCCAGCATTGAGTAAAATGCTGACATAGAAAATAATTTTATTGTACAGTGTAAATCAGACGCATAATAAATTAGACTTTGTACACAAAATGTGTTTAGTTTATTGTTTGATTATTTTACAAAATATAATATATAGTAATGTAGAGAGAAATTATAATTTTCCTCCTTTCACAATCATTGCTTCTGGTTCACCATTTTCTTTGTCTGAAATTGAAACAAATTTTCAAGAAATTAACTATAAGAGAATTATTTTAAAATGTTTTTGATAATTGACTGCCATTGAGTTTCCTGTTCTGACGATCCAGTTAAAACATGATCTAACTTACACTTTTAACATAATTTCTTTTTTATCATGAAACCTATATAAGTAACTGCCACTATATACACATACATCTTTGAGTTCCCATAATGCTTTCTGATGTCTGTAAATTTCTTTTCCTGTTGGCCCATTCTGTATTAACTGCTTTGAAATTTGATACTAGACTGTACAAAAGTGGGCTGTGGAAAAAATATAACCTTTACTTATAATCTCAGTTTCTTTTATTTCACTTGCAAAATTGAGATGAACCTATTGAGCCTATTGAGATGAAATTTAACAAACAGAAAAGAGTCTATGCATGTGGGATAATCTAAATCAGTGGTTTTCAACCTTTTTTAAATTGGGGCAACCTAAACAAAATTATTTAACCGTGCAACAACCCTGGTACCTTTTCTTATTGATTGTAAGCGTTATTCATTCTGAAAACATGCTAGTAATTTAAAGCAATTATATATCATAGCTAGTTTCACCATAAGAAATAATGGAAACTCAGATGATTCTCCACAACACAGATTCATAAAATACAAAATACATTTTTATACTTTTATTTTAAAATGAATTAATTAAATTTAATTGTTGCTGGTGTAAGGCAGATGATAGGAATAGGTTATGCTGGACGACTAATGTAATCATGGCCATATGTTGGTTCACTAGAGTTTTTTTTTTTCTTACTACCGGTACTTTAGAAATGAACCAATCAAATGACATTTGCTTTTGACTTTCTTCTCAACCTTTTTCTTTGTGGGGGCAATTGTTGCTATGCAGTTACTAAAGAACAATCACTACACTTCAACACAGCACACACACAGCCATGATACTTAACAACAGTATACGTTGGTTCTGATGTTGACGATCATGAGGCACACTGACTGTAAAGACAATTACTCATTGGCTCAGTTGTGATTGTGAGTTTATCCAGCACAAACAGTGCATATGTAATGCAATAGACTGCTCATACAGAGTCAAATTAATTTGTAAATTTTGCTAGTCTGTCGAAATACTTGCAATCTGAGGTTTTACTATATATATTATATTAAAATACATATAAAAAGTATCATATTAAAAGCTGATGCCCCACAATATCACTGTCAAAGGTCTAATGAAAGCATGTTACTTGGTTGGCCACAGCCGACTTTCCAAGCTACTGCCAAATAATTGTGTACCCCCAGACGACACCATGCTCTCATCAAGTCATTGCACATTGCACAAGGACACACTTCATATTACAGAACCTCCCAGTCAACAGGAAATTTTAAAAGGCTGCTCTTTAGCACCTGCTTGCCAACTTCTTCTCCAGGTCCCACCATCATGCTTTCAAAGCCTGTAAGAATGTGGTAAACATCCACACAAAAAACAAAAACAATCCTCCATGCATATAATTTTTCACAAAGGTTCACATACATGAATGGTTTTTCATCAGCGATGCAGCCTCAGCTCCATCATTTTGTAAATGGCCTCTTTCACATTCAGTCTTAAATAGACAACTGTATTTTCCCAATAAATAGGCTTACTTTTCACCCTCATCATAGAGGGGTACAAACTGGAAATTCGCATATCTTGGAGTTACCATTTCCTGCTAATTCTCCATTGATGAAGAGGTGAATGGCAGGATCTATATTTATGACCAGATTGAACTAGAGAATTGGAAAACAGCTCCAATCTCATAGGGAGGCACAAACTGCACATCTACATGGCTTGCATGGTCAATCTTGTTTCTTTTGTGGAGTAAAATGCCAGATGGTGAAAATTGTAAGTATGAATAGCAATGACTGTGAGGGTTGTTGTGAGCTTTCAATTTCAATCAGGGAGTTGATCAGACTAAAAAATGTGCAAAGAAAAGGAATTTGGTTTTAAAAGAAAAGTGAGTAGAAACATCTAAGTTATAAAATAATATCTAGGCTTCTAAGCAAAGACTGCTTTGTTTCTGATTTACATGCTTTGTCACTTGCATCCTCTAATTAAGTGTTTCCACATTTAAGTTTGGTGGACCAGTGTACAAGTTTGGCAATTGCACCAAGGACCTAGACTTATTAATTAATTTTCTATTTAATTGACATTACATGTTCATGTTGTGTGGGCCGGCAACTTAAGGCTCGAAGATTAGTGACGGTACAAAGACCATCATTAGGGAAATACTGCACATTTTAAGACTGCGATTATATTTTCATCTACAAACCAGATACTTTTTTATAAATTTCAGGTTATGTGCAGAGTTTTTTTGTTTAGAAATTTGAACATTTTGTAAATCATGAAATGAAATTATTATACATGTTTTATTTAGACAGCACTTCAGCTCAAAGTTGATTATTTTGAGGCACTCCTAGGAGATCCTTGGGGCACCACAGGGTGACGTGACAACCAGGTTGAAAACCACTGATATAGAGTGATGAAAAACTGACAGAAACAAGAAAGGAATAAAATGGGATTTGATTTTTCAAATAGGTAAATAAATCCAAACGTTTACAGTCCTAATAGATTTGTTCACGTTTCTTTTAAATTAATGATTATTATAGTTTTACACAAATATTTACCAATCAAAATATTTTGAATTAGATAAGAGCTGATAATTCAATAAATATAGTCAACCATGTTATTTTTTTATTGAAACAATTTTAGATAAATATAATATAAAACTAAGAAACATTTTGCCCCTTTATAACATGCAAAAGTAAGCAGACACGTTTATATTCTAAATAATTTACTAATAGTTAGGGCAGATGTGGAGTACGGGTCCAGCGAGATGGTAAGGGTTAGTGCAAGTATTAAAAAATAAACTATCAAAAAGAAAAAAATCTTTTAGCTAATAAGCAAATTCACCTACACTGATCTAGAAGGTGCATCTTCAACAACATTTAGTTCATTGCGTAAAAAATCTCTGTCAAGAGGAACTTTAGGAAGGCCTGTCTCTGAAATAATAATGTGAACATGAAAAAAATAACAACAGAGTAAGAGATAATTTTAATATCATTAATAAAGATAAGCAGTGTTATGCTATTATTGACACACTTTTAAAGCCTAGGAAAAAGGTTTAGCTATATGGAGAATTTATAAGGGTACAACTGAAACATCACAATTTTCTAAAATGTTATGTTTTTAACATCATTCAGCTGACCCCTATATCCCTTGAGGAATGCTTAATACAGTTCCAAAAAATACCATAAGTGTATAACCATAAATTAAGAATAGCGTATGTTACGCACTTACTTATTTAAGGAAATCTTTTCATGGTAGTGTTAAGTTATAAAAAAAATAGGTTATCTATACCACCCCTGGTCCTAAATAGTTTGGAAAATCAAAACTCTATTGTAAAACCTTTTCATATAATGGGCCTATGGCTGTATTTGAGAAATGTGAAATAGAATAAAAATCTTGGTATTTACCTGATACTAACACAGATGAAGTATATTTACAGTTATTAAACTCAAGAAACTCTCGAATAAGCTCATAAATAAGAACATTTTCATTGCTTATAGGAGGTTTCATCTCTGACTGGTCATCTAAAGCAGAAAAAACTTGAGCTCTTATTCTTGCCTTTATTTCTCCAAGAGCACCTCGACTTTCCAGTGTTTCTTTTAAAACTAATGAAACATTAAATTTAAGTCAGATGTAGCAACAAGCAGTTCAAAAACTAGGCGTACAGTTTAAATTATAAATATCTGGTAGTAGGCCTATTCATTAGACCTATAATAACCAATAGTTTGATAAATAGGCCTAAGTGGTAATGAATTTTAAACTAAACTAACAATAATTGTAATATTACTACCAAACCACTAAAACCTTCATGTTAATAGCCTACTTCACCCAATAACTGTCATAGCGGCAGATTACAACCATTATACACCTTTCTGCAGTGTCAGAGCCGCTAGCAAAATCATCATTTATGTATATATAATATATATTGGTTAAGGAAATCACACTATATAAAAGAGTTTGCTTCCTATTTCCGTTTCTATCTGTGTGTTAACATGCTTGTGTTAACATGCTTTTTTATCAGAGCTTGTTTTGTGATTAATCAGGTGTGAAATGTTCTCAATTTTTGTTACTGTCATTATGTTTGATGCTAGAGAGGTTGCTAAATCAACATTAACATGGACATGGAATTTCTTTATTGGAATTATTTCAAACAGATTAAAATGGAAGAAATTTTTTCTGAGATGTTCCATGTGCTAGTAATTACAGCATTAGCACCAGTCGGGATGACGACATAAGTTGACATAAGAGTAAGAGTCAGAAATTGAAAATTTAAGCTTAGACTTCTCTTGAGTCTTAGTAACTAATAATTTGTATTTGTTTCTTGGGCCTTTACTACAGAGTGAGTAAAATTTTACTTTCAATAAAATATTCCAAATTCTGCATTGAACCCAACTTTTATTTCCTTTTTATTCTGGCATCCGTCTGTCACAATGACAATGTGACGATGGTGTAGTGTAGGTTTCGCAGGACGAAATCATGTTATAGTTATGTCTCAATCTCATATTGAAAATAATATACTCTTAATCAGTATTAATTAATTATTAATAATTAAAATAAATGAAAATTTAAAATAATAAAAATGAAAATGACTTGAACCAACAGAAAAATGCACTTGACAGTTACAGGGTTAATAAGGAAAGGGGAAGATTTTTCAACCTTAAAAACTATACGTTATTATTTTTATAAATCAAGAGAGAGTGCGAAAGATAATAAATTATACATATGTGAAAAAGAAACACTAACGTAACCTTCTTTCAAGTCATGACTTGACGCCATTTTGACGCATTGGCCGGTTGTGAGGCATTTAAAAATGCGGAAAAGAACTTGAAAATAAAATTAAAATCTTTACTATGAATGATAGGGAAACAAAGTTTAAGTTTGCTTACCAATGAGTTGGGTCGATTTTATGAATTTTGAGCTATAGTATAGAAAAATGAGAACTTTTTTTTAAATTGATAATTTACACGTTTTAACAAAACTAAAGATATATATGCATCGTTCGCAAAAGTGCACATTAGGCTTATTAGTGACATTAGCACATCTCAATCTCAATCTCATCAATTATTATTTGATTGAAATCGTTCATAATTTATATTGTTATTTTTTATTCTAATGTGTTACTTTACTTAATTTGCTTAGCAAGTTAATTTAACTTACTTCCATCCAGCCCTGTGGCGCTACAGCCCATGTATAGCTTTGGGCTGACTCGCTACTTCCTTCCACTCAAACCTAACTAATGCTTTTCTTTCCCATGCTTGGTTTCCCAGTTGTTGAAGTTCTTTTTCCACATCATCCATGCAATTTAACTCACTTAGAGACCAATTTTAATTTTGCTTGATACTATAAAATTAAAAGGCATACCTAGTAACAATTCAATAAATTATTTATCCTATTAATTTTCAAAATGATTTTCTTTTTCAGTATGCAAAACTCAAAACGAAACACGCACTCATTGAACCTTTCATTGACAGCTACATACTATATCACTAGATGCATTGAATTTACATTGTACGCTTTAGTTCTTGTCTTCATGCAGCTTTCCTGAAGTCAACTAGGACCATGGACGCCCGCAGAAAACTTTCTAGGGGGGGTGGGGCGCAAAAAAAATCGATTAACTTTCTGGGGGGGGGGGGGGAAATGGATTTACTTTCTTAATAGTTTTAATTTACTGTAGCGTATTTGTATGGTGAACGAACGGACAGGACATCAGCTTAGTTACTTTCTCTTTATTTTCTCTTTACTTTAATAAATTTTTTGTCTATTTTTGTCTAAATTTTTTTTATCCAATCAATCCAGCCCATGACTAGGACTGCATAATAAACATTTGGTTGACGGCAAACACTGTTTAATAAAAATACTAAAGACAAAACTTTTGTAGCACTAATGTTTTTATCGGGGTTGGGGGGGGGGGAGAGATTGTTAGAAATGTTATGCAATATTTTGGGGGGGGGGTGATCAATTAAATTGTTTTAAAAGAGTTTGGGGTGGTCCAACAACGTTTTATTTTGGTGTTCTATAATATGTACACACCCCCTTAACATCGAGTGCTTTTTTTTTTCAAATAAAAGAAATGCTTATATTTTCGCTCTGATATGGGGTGGGGGTGGAATGCAGAAATCGGGGGCGCTGAAGGCTATTGGACTGGGATGAAAATAGAGGATATTTTATAAAATGTAAAATCCGAGATTTCGGTGCATACTACGACTAGGATATAGGCTAGTTTAGCGACATTTTACGACTGAAAGCAACAGAACATATGATCGTCAGTGGCAATTTAGGTTTCCATTGACCTGGTTTTGTTTATACTTTATCATAAAGCAAAACATGAAATATTTTTAGATGTTGCTAATTATAGTAGGCCTACATATGCACTATGTTGTAGTTAGTATTTTCAATTTGCATGTGACTTTTTTTTTCTGGTTCCTAAAAATACTAAAATGTTTCGATTCCCAGCGTTCTTGTCAAATTTAGGTTTTTACCATACTGCCATACGCCTTGCGTTAAATTCTAACAACTACGCATTTTTATTTGAAACAGCGATTACATGGGAGCCAAATAATCAATACATTGATCGTGGGCCCTTAATAAATAGAGAAAGAAGACATAAAAATAAATAAATAAAGGGTGGGTACAAATAAATAAAACTAAAACACGTGTGTAGCCCAATGCAGACCACTAAGCGTCACCTAGTAGGCTAACTGCAAACAGTTGTTACGTACATGGAGTATGGAGAAATTAATATATACTATGTAAATTTAAGTGTATGGCTCGTTCTAAAACAGTACAGGTACACTGTTAAGGCTAAGGACTTAAATGTATTGTGTGATTGCGTGTTGTTTAGAGAGTATTTGGGTAGATGTTGTAATTAAATGTTTGAATATTTTGTGACGTATTGCGCGAATGTTAAATACAATAACAAAGAATACGATACTCAAATAACAATTAATAAATGTTATTATGTTAATTATAGGCCTAATTTACAAAATCAAAAAGAAATATGATTGAGCTATTGACTTAAAGAATAATGATTGGCTTGCATCGGTACAATGTTGAAGAAGATGCAATGTTGTTAAAAGGTATAATGATGAAAAGGAATCTACACACACACACACATTAAACAATTCTCTGTCTCGTAGCTAAGCTATATAGCAAAAATAGCACACGCAGAAAATATCTCTCGCCTGATCTTCCTCTCACTCTCTCTAGGCCAGAGGTCGGGAACCTTTTTGTCTGAGAGAGCCATGGACACTATATATTTTGAAAAGTAATTCTATGAGAGCCATATATTACGTTTAAAACTAGCAATTCAAGTAAATGTGTGCATTTTGTGTAATTTCAACACTAAAAATGCAATAATTATTTCTCTGAATTCTTTTTAATACCATTTTTATGCTGTTGCTAATCAATAATGAGTATTTCTTACCATTAATGCGACTTTTTTTTTAATAATCGAACATTTTTCTGCGAGCCAGATTCAGCCATCAATAGAGCCACATCTGGCTCGCGAGCCATAGGTTCCCGACCCCTGCTCTAGGCGCTTATATTATATATCCTGTTTCAATAGTTTCATAGATACTTCTCGAACGGACAACGCATTGTATTCTTTCAAGTGTGTTACTGTTTGCACCACGACCGCTAGATATCATTTTGGATTAAACGTAGAAATAAATTACGAAACTTGTGTAATAAATATTTCGCGGCAAACCTGCAAGAAAGTCGAAGCAACCCTGGACAGGGCCATGCCGAGGAAAAGCCGTAAAAATGGTCTCCCTTAATAGGTCTATATAGAAAAAATGGACCCACCACCCAAGACGGACCAGTAAAAAGACGACTTTTTGCACCCATTGTAACTCTGAAGTGTATACCGTATGGGATTATATAGTTTAAATAACTTTAATTAACTATAAATGCATTATCTAAAGATGATGTTAGCATCCGGGGGTGAATCCCCTCTTCGACCATTTCTCATGGCTCTCCCCGATGGCAACGTGAGACCCTGTGCGACGCGGGGTATTTTCTGATAACCACTGGGCTCGATTGCATCTACGCCGTTGGGGGAGGGTGGGGGGCGGTCTCCCCCCCCCCCCGAAAAAAAGTAAGCAAGCAAGGGGGGGGGGGGTAGAAAATTTGACTTTTTTTAGTACGTTCTTTATCGTTAGACCCAAAATAGTAGGGCTCGATTGCATCTACCCCGGTGGGGGGGGGGGGGGGGGGGTCTCCCCCCCCCCCCGAAAAAAAGTAAGCAAGCAACGGGGGGGGGGGTTAGAAAATTTGACTTTTTTTAGTACGTTCTTTATCGTTAGACCCAAAATAGTAATGTTGTTTACCGTCACGAAAAACTCTGCACTGCCAGCATATTGAACGAAAATGAAACAAAACGTTAATAATAAGCTACCATTTTGAATTTATTTTTTTTTTAAATATTTTTTTTTAAAAAAGGATTATTTGCATTACTAGTTACAAACAAGAAAAAAAAAGTTAAGGTCTATTGATATCTAATGTCTATTTAAAACTGGTCATTTTTTAACATAAGTTATATAAGAATAAAATATTTATGTTTAAGATATTATTAACAAAAGGTATTATTTATTTTGTAATGTGTGATAATATCTGAGGAAAGTTGAAGGAACATAAGCTCTAAAAAAAAATGCCGTAAGCAGATACAAAAGTTTATTTTGAATTTAAAACTACTATATTTTACGTCAGCTAAAATACAAATCAATGATCCTATAGTGAATTTTGTAAAACTATTTAGATCTGATTTGCCTTCCCCAATCAAAAAAAAAAATTATTATAAATCGCTAGATTAAAAACAATAATTGATTTAAAATGAAGAAATTTATTATATACTAGTAGTAGTAGTAGTACTAAAAAAAAAAAAAAGTAATAATACTAAATGAAATTCTTTTGAAAATTGAAAAACTAGTTCACAAATTGTGTTATTTTCAATTTGAGACTAATTTACTTTGTAAATAAATTATTTTTTCTTTCACATAGTTTTGGCAGATGGTTTATTTTGATATTAAAAAAGAAAATCATTTTGAAAATTAATAGTAATAGAATGTATAATTTATTTTTACTAGGTATGCCTTTAATTTTATAGTATCAAGCAAAATTATATGAGAAATGATGTTCGTTGCTATGGTTTTGGTAGTTAGTCAGTTGCAGAGGCAGAGAGATAGTGGAAGGAAAATGGCACGCTGAGGAGTTGTTGAATAAAGAACCACATGAAACATTAATCTTGGTGTTGTTACTAGGTACCCCAATACTAAATGAAGCTGTTATTGCCCTACCGGTACTTCGCGGATTGTAATTGTAATTCGTAACATTAGCCGTAAAAGTAAAATAAATAATATTATTAATATAGGGTGCTTTACAAAATAAATTACACAGATAGGCTACTACTACTATACTAATACTAAATAATAGTTTCAGTGTGGCGTGGTTGGTTAGGGGTTGGTGTTGTGTGGTCCGGAGAGGGAAACGATCTTTGCCACCATCACCCACTGATTCCGTTTTAGTTACCCTTAAGCTATTTCCTCCTGTCATATTCAGTGTTAATATTTATTTCCAAGTGATGGAAGAAGCGTTGAAAATAACTCTCACTGAGACGTGCAGAATGAGAAGCAAATGGGACGGGAGTCCTTTGATATTAATATTCAAGCTTGAAGACACCCGTTAAAATTCTACTTTAGTAAGTAGCCTAATGCAGATAAGTATGGACTCACTGGCTTGTGTCTCTCAATATCGTCCACTGCCGAATCTATGTTAATTAATTCAAGACAAAGAGTTCATATCAAGGTTCCACAGGCCGAACTTAGTAAGTAGTAAGAAACTGGTATTGGTATGGACATTGAATATTTCTATCAATCTTGAGACTTAATAAAATTCTTAACCTTTCGGTCTGCATCCAGCTACTAAAACAAGCTAGTGACGTCTTTTAATAATAACTAATATTTTTAAGCATAGCTAAAAAATTCGCTTTGATTTTAATCTCCAATGAAATGCATCATCATAGTCAGTGGCGTAGCTAGGGTTGGTGTCATCCGGTGCGGTAAACTCATGGTGCCCCCCCCCCAAAAAAAAACAACTTCTATGATCGATTTTTTCTTGTTAAAATAAGTCCACAGTATAGCATCAACCTTGAACTTTTAATAAAGCACGCATTTGGATTGGTTAAATTTGTGAAAAATATATGTGTGATCGGTTATTCTTTTATGAATCTCGATTTTTGCGAGCAATGTGTGCCCTGTAAATATGCAATTTTTCAATCGGGTGTCACCCCTAAGATGGTGTCACCCGGTGCGGTCCGCACCCCCCGCACCTGCCTCGCTACGCCACTGATCATAGTTATAACTTCAGAAGACCGTTTGTTAAAAGGCCGACATACAGTACACTATACATTGGACGATAAAAACACACAATTTAATTGCGCATAAAGTTATTCATAAAATGAAATGTTACTTTTGATTATATTTGAAACTTTAAATGAAATATATAGTTTTTTTGTTTTTTTTTTACAGTAACACATTATATTAACATTACAAATATTTTTATAAAAAGAAAACTTCAAAATATCAACTCGAGCTTGCACTTTATTCTTGATAATGACAAACTATAGTCAAAATATGCTTATAAAAGCAACTACAAGGAATCATATCATTTTCAAGACATTATCACATACGCTAGAAAAAATTGAATGTAAAAAAATAAGTTGAGAATAAGGGTGATAGGCTACATTGATAGAATTAAACCCACTTTGTGTGAGGGTAATTTCTACCAGTCGAAAATGTGTGTGGTGTTCCCACTCATTAGTTCGAAAAACTATGATACAAGTTTACATTTTATGTTTTTTTTTACCAGCAGTTAGCTCTGGCCAGATTCAACTAATTCTAACTGTTTAAACTTATCAGCAAAAGTCATAAGAATATGCTATAAACAATACTCTATAGAATTAGAAGGTCTGGGTAGTCTCAAAGTCAAAGCCACTAGCTACCTCAATGCCCTTATTTTCATAGCTACCTCAATACACTTATTTTCATAGCTACCTCAATGCTCTTACTTGTATGGCTACCTAAATTCCCTAATTTTTATAGCTAGTAAAAAGATTTCCATTCTTATAATCAAGAATATTATTGAAAGAATGTTTTTTTTAATCATTAGTAATTGGAGAGTAATAACTGCCATTAGAAACAAGACCAGTAAGTAATTGAATGGTAGCTGGTGAATCATACATATGTAACCTTATACTTATACATTTGGTTTAATTGATTAAAATGGACAAAGAAAATCTTATGGATTTAGTTTTAATTACAGCAAAGAATTATTTAGTTTAACTTACTTGAAAATAGTTTTATCACTTTAAAACTACAGCAAAACAGAAATTAAATAGTATCACTAAGTTTTTCTGCTTGGTTACTTGGGGCTTTGAAAACATAAAAGCATCAATGTGTGAACCTAGCAGGGAGAGACATTTTTAAAGTTTGTATAGGGTCTTAATATTGTAATAAATACAGGCATAATTTTTAATGCACTCGTATTATACATCTGAAAAATATCACTATTGTTTATCACACAGGTCAGCAACCTTATTCATGCGCTGCACACCCTAGGCCAGCGGTTCTCAACCTGTGGGTCGCGACCCCTTTTGGGGTCGCACGACCTTTTTTCCAGGGGTCGCCTAAGACCATGTGAAAACACATATCCTTACAGCTATGAAGTAGCAATGAAAAAAATTGTGTGGCTGGGGGTCGCCACGACATGAGAAACTGTATTATTGGGTCGCGGTGTTAGGAAGGTTGAGAACCACTGCCCTTTCCAATAATTTTGCGGGTTCACAAGTAAAAACATGCAAAAATAAACTTAATAATGTAAGATACTTAGTAATGTTAAAAGGTAGAAGATAACACTGTACTGCTCCATATTAACTGTCAGTATTGAACCATTTTTTTGTTACCGGTATCCCAGTTTTTTTATGGCTTGGTAATAGGCTAACTGATGTCCCTTTTTTTCACAAAAGCTTTTATCATATCTACATATTATACTTATGCTCTGTGCTTTTCCTCCTCATGGAGGCGTTTTAACTAACACATTAGTATTATTTTGTAGCACACTGTTTGCAGAGCTTTAATTTTTAAGACATAATTACAGTATTAAAAAGAGGGACTACTTTGGAAAAATATTGAAATTTCAAACCATCAGATATATAATTCTTGAGATGAGATTCACAACATAAAATAACAGGTAAACCAAATCTTCTGGAAAAGGAAATAATGCACAAAATAAAACAAAGGTACAGCATTCATTTAGTTAAACATTAAGAAAAAGTAATTAAGTTAAATTAATAAAGATCTGACTCTTACAGATTAGTTTTTAACATCAGAAAGAAGAACAAACATTTTTATTACCATTAGAAATTTCTTTAATAAAAATCCAATAATGACAAATTTATAAAAAGATTTAGCTATTAAAATACTATAATAAGAAAAAAATAAAGCATCCTATTTTGAAATGCTGTGGAGCTTTTCAGTTTCAATCACAGCTTATCTTAAATTTTACAACCATTTTAAAGAATATGGTCATTATTTTCTCTAGTATAAAATATATCTTCTTGAAGCTTTAAAATATGTAGATCATATATAAGCTGGAATTGTAGTATTGTCTTTTATTATATTAGCCTAATTTCCCAATATTAATTGTAAAAAGTAAAGATATAAGTGAAGTAAATTTCTGGGGAAAAATAGTTCAGTCTTAGCTAAGGATAAAAGAATGTCTATCTCTTATTAAATATATAGTAGATAGTCTCACTATAACAATTGCATGTGCAGTTTCACTACATTAAAAATCTTTTTACAATTACAGTGTTGTGCATTTGCTGCCTAAGCTAAATATGATTATTTTGATTACATTATTTTATATTTTTTGGATATATACACATCTAAAAATCTAATAATTTTAAGTGGTTATAATTGTTAAAAGTTATGAAGGTTTTGGAGTCCTTTAGCACAATCACCATTTCCAAATTCTGACATTGTAAAAACTTTTTTTTCTGAAAAAAATTAAGATAATTATTAATTTGACTTTCATTCTTAATTAGCAGAATACATTTTTCAATTATGAATTTAAAAGAACAGTTGAAATTTGTAAAAATGTTTTTGTGATTGATGATTAAAGCAGTACCGGTACTTAAAATAGATAATAATAATAATGGACTGACTAGATATTTCCAATATCAAAATTTTTGGCATTTACAGATTAAACAGAATTCTTGAAAATTGTCAAACTAAATGGAATACCATTAAGCCAACAGCATTAAGAAGTTTCACTCTCTTTATGTACCAGATTGATTAAAATAGCTTAATGTGTTCATTTAAGATAAAAGTAAAATGGTAACTATTGATATTAAACACCCAATAAAAAAACTTTATTACTTATTGTAAAAAAGAATCAATTATTGATAGAATGTGAATGATCTAAGATCTGAAGGCTAAAAATTAAAATAATGCATGTGCCATATAAATCAATCTACACTGAGATTAGTGTAATAGTGAATATTTAACCACACAATTTTTAAAACATAAAGCAGGCTTACTTTCTAGCACAGTCTAGTCATCATCATCATCTGGAACAAATAACTCATGCTCTTCTAGCCATGCTGCAAATTCTCGACTTAATGTTGCTCCTCCCAGCAAAAAAGGAGTGATAGTTATAGCAATCTAAAATAAAAAAAGTATAAACAAGTTTTTATGGGCGAAATCTTTTATTACTTTTAAACAAGTGTTGCATTTGTTTTTAGTTCATAACATTTTTTTTTAAATTATCTGCACTTAGATCTCAATTAAAAGTGAAAGCTGAAGTGCAGTATTTAAAAAAAAAAATGTATGTCATTCTTATAAAATTTACGTTTAAACATCTGGTGTATCCATAATGACAATTTTGGTGCTCCCTGATGATGGTGCAATTTGTCTCCCTTTTATCTATGGCCCTGGACATCAGTTCCAATAAGTAAGGTTTACCCATCACATCCATCCACTTGGACTAATCAACAGTCATCATCCTGTTTGCATGGAACCCCAGATAAAAATTTTGGATTTCATTTTCAGACAATTTTTAAAGAATTAACTTATTTTATTAAATATTATTATTTATAATTTTTCTTATTATTATTATATAGACTATATACCAACAAACAAAAAACACAACTGTGCAATACTAAATCAAATTGATTTGAATTTTTTTTACATCTAAACATCACAAATAATAGTTCACTAAGTATTAAATTAATACTTTATTATTGTGTCATTTCACAGGTCATGGCAACCAAGATAACAGCAGTGTGAAATGTCATGGAATGGATAGTCCAAATTTATAGAAACTAAAAATTATGTAGATTCAGGATTATCATTAGATGTTATTTTTAGGCTTCTTTCAGATTTAAGAGAAAATTTTTAATTTTTTATTGAAGAGCTCAGTTTAATTCCTTCCATTTCCATTGTCAATGAGGCACATTTGTAAATAAATGACAAAAACAAAGTTTATGAAGGAGTTAGTGTGGGATTCATCAACCAGACTAAGAAGGCTCATGGAAACCAAGATGGTGGCCGTGGAAAATGATTGGCGCTGAAGTAACATTTACTCATTACCTTGATGCTTTAACTTTATGGCAAGTGTTGAAATGAGGAAAAGTCAACAATGTCATTCATTAGTAGGCACTTTGATGAAAATTATTTCAAAACATTTTTAAAAATATAAAAAATGCTACAGCTGTATGGAACCAAGAAAATCAATTAAAAAAACACCAAGATCAACTTTCTAGCTCAAGTAGTTCAAAAGTTATGAATTTTTTAGTAAGGACCTCAAAACCACTTTTTTCACTAGGAGGTTTTCCTTCATATTTCATAACCCTTATTTTGATTCTTTTTTTTACACCTATAGCTTTATTATAAAATGAGATGAAAATATAATATTTACAAGGAACATAATTAATTAGGAGTTCTTCTAAATATAGCCACAAAATATAAGTTAGTTTTTGCTAATATTACGCACACATTTTTTTTAAATCTTAATTATTTTCCAATCAAAATAAATAAAATATCCTGATTCATCACTTATTTGTATTTAATTAATTAATTTTGTTAAACATTTTTTTTTTACATTTCCCAAAATAAATAATAATAATCATATTCTTTAGATATTAATTTTACATCTTCAGTGGAATTGTTTTAGCATTTATAAGTATAAACAAATAATAAAGGGATTATTTGTTTCAATTTTAGTTAAAATTGATGATTGCTCTATTTATTTTACCATTTTCTATACATGTATTTTAGTACCATATCATATGAATGTCTGAATATGACAAAAAATTAGTATGTCATTTATTTTAAATTAGTAATCTTGTTTCACAAATCAACATGTAGCTTGAGGTAAGTACAAATTTGTATGATTGTTCTTTAGTAATTTAAGTAATTCTAGGATTATTGTGGCAGAAAGTGTGTTGTTTCTTTGAGCATACTGAGGATTATATAATAATTCTCCTGTGGAATATTGTGATATGTGATTAAATGTAGGATATTTCAATACCAAAGGTAAGTGAATAATTTTTTACATTTTTATTTAATTAATGCCTGAAGAATCATAATAATAATATTTATTAAAATATGATTGCATAGCTTAAAATATCATTACATATAATATATAATTCATGATTGGTCTAACAAATAGTAAGTTGGGGCTAGGCCTAGGCGGGTATTATATACTATACTAGGCCTTTATATATATACAATATATATATAGTTACATATATATAAAAATATCTACATAAATATACATGTATATATACATATATATATATACATATATAAACATTTATATATAGGCCTAATATATATATATATTATAATATTTGTAATAAAGGCTATTTTTCCTAATCCCCTAATCATATATAATAGTATTATTACTATTATAAAACTTTACTAGGCCTAGGGCCTAGTCTTGTATAAGTAGGCACTTTGATTAAAAGCCTACACTTATAATAGTAATACTATTCTAGGCCTCTATATATGCATACATATATATATATAATAGTATACATATAAAAGTATATAAAACTAATAGTTAACTATTAATTGTAATTAATTAGGCTTTTTTAACCTAATATCCCTCAATAAAAGCATCAAATCATATTAAAAATGTGTATTTGCTTTATTAATTATTTAATTTTTATTTTTAAGTGAGTTATTAGGGGGTAATAGGCTGGATTTCCAGAGTAAATCAGCTTATTTAACATAGCAACGAATATTAACGATAATAGGTAATTTTGGGACACACGTGATTAAAATTTCTGGGTGAATTTACGACCAAACTGATGGGCCTAAATTAGCATGTCTTGGAAATATTGTAGTTAATGCCATTACTTATAAAGTCACTGAAATTCAAAGAAAGGGTCCTTTCCACACAAAAAATATGAATGATCAAAAATTGCGTTATTTTACCTTCAATTTTCAAAGTGAAGCCCCAAAATTTTTGGGAGGACTCAAGTGTCTGATCATAACACAACATGTCTACTCTAAGTTGTGGGTGGAAATAGAATTAACATGCTGGGCTATATATAGTTAAAAAGTTGTAAACAACGTGACTCTCTGTAAATTAAAAAGTGAAGAGGTCGCCATTTTGACAACGAAATCACGATACCCGGTTTTCAGCACTTCCCAGATCTTACCGAACTACCTAGTATAAGTCAAAGACAAATGGCATTATTCATTATTATTATTATAATACTTTTAGTATTTGTTTGAAATTTTCATCTAACTAAGTCAAAGACAAGTGGTTTTCAATCCCAAGTCCACGGCAACCAACGGTAAATGTTGAGAATAATGCCCGCGATGGCCACCATCTTGGTTGACACAACCAGTTAATTCTGTCACCACTGTATCCCTAGCCCTAAATAAATCAATCCCTATGCCTAACCTGAACCCTAAATCAAATCCCTCAACCTAACTAACCTAAACCCTAATTCACTGCAACTATAATAAACACGCAAATGACGTCATGGGCATGATTCTCAACAATAGCCTATCTATAGGCTTATAGCCCGTAATTTATATTTTTAAAATTGTGAAATTTTCATCAAAGTGCCTTCACCTGAGTATCAGTAAGTCACTAAGTTGACTGTAAAAGAAAAAGACTATATCATACTCTATGAGTCTCTGGGTATGGAGAGGAGTTTTGAGTTATTGGAGTACTCAGTAAGTTCAGTTAAGTCGTGTAATCGTGTATTTTAATGTAGGCCTTTGATTAAAATTTCAAAACATTTTTAAAAATATAAAAACACTACAGCTGTATAGAGCCTGGAGAATAGATTACAAAAACACCAAGATCAACTTTCTAGCTCAATGTGTTCAAAAGTTATGATTTTTTTAGTAGGGACCTCAAAGGCACTTTTTTACTATGGGATTTTCCTCCACATTTCGTGACCCTCAATGTGCTTTTTTTTGAATGCCTATAACTTTATTGTAAAATGAGACAAAAATATAACATTTACAGGGAACATAGTTAAATAAGAGTACTTCTAAATAAAGCCACAAAATATAAGTTAGCTTTTGTTAATATTCAGCAAAATTTTTTTTTAAAATCTTGATTTTTTCCTTTTAAAACATGTATAAATATGCTGACTCGTCACTTATTTGAAATTAATTAATTAATTTTGTTTAAATATTTTTTTTTAAATTTCCCTAGAATCATAATAATAATAATATTCTTTAGATATAAATTTCAAATTTTCTGTGGAATTGTTTAACATTTATAAGCATAAACTAGTAATAAAGGGATTACTTGTTTCATTTAGTTAAAATTTACGATTACACTTTTTATTTTACCATTTTCTATATATGTATTTTAGTCCCATATCATATGAATGTCTGAATATGACAAAAAAATAGTGTCATTTTTTTACAAGTTAGTAATCTTGTTTCACAAATTAACATGCATTGATAGAATCAACTTTGGTGGTTAATACAAACTAAAATAAGTTCTAGTCATTAAGTATAAGTTTTTATGATTGTTCTTTAATATTATTAATAATATCTTAAGTAATTCTTGGACTATTGTGGCAGAAAGTGTGTTTTTTCTTTGAGAATACAAGGATTATTTAATAATTCTCTTGTTAAATATTGTGATATGTGATTAAATATAGGATATTTCAATGTGAAAGGTAAGTGACTATTTTTTGTTTACATTTTTGCTTAATGATTAAATATAGGATATTTCAATGTGAAAGGTAAGTGACTATTTTTTGTTTACATTTTTGCTTAATCTATTCTTTAAGAATCATAATATTCATTAAAATATCATTACAAATAACAAATAATGTGTCACACAAATAATGAGTTGGGCAGGAGCTAGGCCTATACTTTTCTAGGCCTGTATATAATATATTAAACTTTTATATTTAATATATTAGTTATAATAAAAATGAGGCTAATAATAATTCAGTTTAACCCACTACCCAAGTCAATATCCTTCAATAAAAGCATCAAAACAAGTTAAAAAAATATATTTATGTTGTTTATTAAATTATTAAATTATTGTTATTAAATTATTTGTTTTTGTTGAGTTATTTTGGAGTAATAAGCTGGATTTCCATTGTAAATCAAGTTATTTACTTTTTTTTTTAATTATAAAAAAATCGTTATCGATAATAGGTCGTTTTGGGACACACATGACAAAAATTTGGTAGGCATTTTTAGACCATTGAACTGGGTGCTAACCAACCTCTTGAATTTTTTATATGTTGTAATGTATGCTATTATCTCCCTTCTTGTCTTTTTATTTAAGAAAGACACCCTTTCCAGAAAAAAATATGAATGATGAATGAGTAAAATAAGCATTATTTTACCTTCAATTTTCAAAGTTAAGACCTCAAATACTTTTTAGAACAAAAGTGTCTAATTCTAATCATAAAATAACATGTCTACTCAAAGTTGTGGGCGGAAATAGAATGTTCTTGATGGGCTATAATTAGCAAAAAAATCGTAAACAACGAGGGTCTCGGTAAATTAAAAATTGGAGGTCGCCATTTTGATAACGAAATCACGATACCCTGTTTTCGGCAATTCCCGGATCTCATCGAAGTGGCTATTTAATGTTAGTTAAGTCTAAGTATATTTAAACAAATTTTCACCTTGATTAGTCCAAAACGAACTTGTTGTGGCCTAGAAAGAATTGCTCCACTTTCATTTTTAACTAAAGTTCTAACTGGTTGCATAAATTTAGTAGTTAATAATCTACTTGGGTCTAGTAGAAGTCTATGGGCTTGAGAGGCTACTACCCTAATGTTATTGGCAGCCATGTTGTTTTCCACTTTGTAAGTCTAATGACCGTAAAAGGGCAAACTTGTACATTACGCTCGATTAGTCCCAAACAAATAATCGATATTTCAGACTGTCCTGGTGTAATGTCATTAAAAAATACGTTTAAAAACAATTTGACATAGACTTTTATTTTTTTTATGGAAAAGATTAAATATATACACCAAAGCATGAAGTTGCCCTCACTCAGACTCAGTCACCCTGCTGTTCCCATTTTAAGGACACAAATTTATCAATTGTAAAATTAACTTGTTGAAATTATGAGAAAAAAAGCTATAAAATATCGTATCCTATGTCACTATTTATATCAAATAAACGTATGACTATGTTTCTATAACTGACTCAGTGTCATTCGACCATGACAAACACGCACAAGATTAAAGTTAAAGCGCACAGACATAACAGCGCACACGAGAACTGCTTAAACCAACGATTGAGTACACAGTAAATTGCACACATCGACAAATGCGTATACCGAAAATCGCGCACAGCGAAGATTTCGAACATTGACATTTGCGCGCACCGATAGTTGCGCACACTGTAAATTTTTTCAACGTAAATTTAAATTGTTGAAAGGGTTCAGTTGGTTTTATCAGCATAAAAACGAGAAGACTATTGTGAAAGGCCACAAATAAACGTTATAAAGAATAACGATTTTAAAATGGGTCATCTCATGCCCGACAGATTTGTAAAACTCTATTTAAAAAAAACATATACTATTAACATGTAAATAAAGGCAGAGGACAAAAGTTTTATTCCATTGAAAGTAAAAAATTTATTTGGAAAATGGAGAAGAAGAAAACTTTTTTTTTTCCCCCAAATTGACAGTAATTCTAATTTAAAAGATATTTCTGATGAAAATGTTACACATCAGTATATCTTAATCAGCAAAATGAAGCATGTAGATCGGTGGCTCTCAAAGTAGTCGGTACCGGTCCCATTGGGGGGGGGGGGCTTGGGATGTCCCAAGGAGGCGGTAAAATGTTCAGTAGATGTAGGTGACCCTGGGACTACCTAACGGGCCGTGATGAATTATATCAGAATGATGAAAATGTTACACATCAGTATATCTTAATCAGCAAAATGAAGCATGTAGATCGGTGGCTCTCAAAGTAGTCGGTACCGGTCCCATTGGGGGGGGGGGCTTGGGATGTCCCAAGGAGGCGGTAAAATGTTCAGTAGATGTAGGTGACCCTGGGACTACCTAACGGGCCGTGATGAATTATATCAGAGAATCTTTTTTTAAATTATGATTACATAAAATTTGAAGAAAAAACAAATCTATGATTATAAGTTCACCAAAACACTTCTTAGAAAAACTACAAAAGGCTCAAAACTCATCCGCTAGGCTAATTTTAAAGGCAAGAAAATGTGATCACGTTACACCACTACTTCATTCACTTCATCGGCTCCCTATACAAGCACGTATTGACTACAAACTGTCTGTTCTCTGCCACAACTTTTTCTCGAATTCCCCCCCCCCTTCCTATCTAACCGAACTTCTCTCTGTCTATTCACCCCTTCGACAGCTTCGCTCCTCCACAGACGCGCGTATTCTTTCTGTCCCCAAAACTCGCACAAAAACATACGGTGAACGTTCGTTCTTTTTCTGTGCACCCAAACAATGGAATTCGCTTCCGTTACACATCCGCAATATACCGACCATCACAGTCTTCAAAACTGCACTCAAAACAAATCTCTTTAATCTCAACTATCCTAACTGATTCTCACCTCTGACCGAAAAACGATGGTACTGAGTGTCGTCCATGACTTGAGATGTAAATAGTTTTAAATATACACTTGTTTTGTTTTATTTATTTAATGTATGTCAATTAATTAATTTAGTTTTTTTTATTATGTTTGTTAAATTGTATGTACAGCGTGGTGAGCCCAGCCCTAGGCTGGAGTACCACGCTATATAAAACCACGTATAATAATAAAAAGTATCGGATCATTATCGGCCTTAAAAATGGTCATGAATAAACATCAGCCAAAGAGTGCACGGGGTATTAACGACAAGAAATCTTAACTTAGAAAGGTGCAATCAATATAATGTACACGAGATTTCTATCTACTCTACTATACTTTTTACCCCACCAGGGGCATAGGCCGCCTACAATAATTTTCCATTCATATCAGTCCTATACTTTCCTTTCCAGTTGCTTCCAGGTGTATCCCCTACTTTGTGTGTGTGTATACCCTTCTCTAGCTCACGTCTCTGTGTATTCTCTGACCTTCCTCTCTTCCCTTTTCCATATGGATTCCATGTTAGGGATTGTATGGTAATTTTTTCTTTGGGTTGGGTCTATGAAGAGTGTGCCCATCCACCTCCATCTTTTCTTTATGATGTCTTCAGCAATAGGTCCTTAGTGTGTCTTTTCCTGTATGTCTTTATTGGTGATAAAGTTTGGCCATTTTATGTTCAGGATCTTTCTAACGCAAGTGTTTGTGAAGGTCTGTACTTTCTGCGTGATGTTCGCTGTTGCTCTCCAAGTTTAGGCCCCATATAGTAGGACTGTTTTGACATTTATTTTAAAATTCTGACTTTGGTTTGCAGAGACAGCTCCTTTGGGTCCCATATTTTCTTTAATAGCACAAATGCTGACCTGGCCTTTTCAATTCTAGCCCTGGCATTAGTTTGGGATCCACCATTATGTCAACGGTACTGCCCAAGTATGTGAAGACCCCCCCCCCTTCTTCCAGTGCATTTCCTGCCAATGAGATATGCTTTTGGTTAGATGAGTTAACTTTCATGATCTTTGTCTTTGTAATCGAGTGGCGAGAGTGGACGTGTGATTGTTGACACAATTTTACACTGCTCGTAGTGCCAGAAATGGTAGCCGTATGGTGAGTTACAGCTGACAATTTTAAATATATATATTTGGTTTATAAACTAAAAGAAAGGTAGGTCTTGATACTATGGACTTTTATTGGTTCTTAGAGTGTTGTATAAAAGGAGTGGTAGAATGAAAATTCTAAGAAAATTTCGAAGCAAAAGGATCAGAAGAAAAAGGACAATATCTGAAAAGATACAAATAGGACAGGTTAACAATGCCCTGACTAACATGTTAAATAAACATGTTAAATAACTTTGTAATTACAGATTATTAGTAAATATACTTAACTAACAAGACAGATGCATGATAACCATAAAGTAACTATTATACAAATGGCAATTACAATTATATTCTTGAAATAGTTTTTAATTATGAAAGAAAACACGTGGCAGGGTAGCACGTACAGCATCTTACATTCAGAATCAGTGTGATGTGAAGACTTACATACAGGTCTAGAAATTTCTACTGTACTTTCGTCCATGTATGATGCACCCATAGCAGGACAGTTATACAAAGCTATTAAGTATAACAACCGTTAGTTTGAAATTTGTTGCATTAATCAATCGCTGTCTTTTTAAAGACAACAGCGCATTGCATAATGTCAAATTATGTAATACAGCAGTTAATAACATATGCACCATTTCCTATATGGATAATGCGAACCAACCAGGAATTGTAGCTTATAGACAATATCAGGATCCTACGTAAGAAGCAGAAATAAAGAAGGGCAAGCTTTTCTAGGCGGGACACTAAGAACATATGCCAAATGACAGAGGAGTGAACAGGGTGCACCACCAAAACTCCAGGGTTACCGGAAAATTGATCAACGGAAATTTGATCGAACGGAAACGCACTATACCATAAGGTAAAACAAGGTAATGCATTCAACAAGAATTTTGACGAAAATTTTAACGTGTGAACTGAAAAAAGATTCGACCAAATTTCCGTTCGATCAAATTTTCGTCAATCAATTTTCCGGATACGAAACCCCAGAGGAAAAGTGCTCAAAGATAGACCTAGGCTCAGATGCATGGATGATGTGGAAAAAGATCTACAGCAGCCGGGAATCCAAGCATGGAAATGAAAAGCATCACTTAGGTCTGAGTGGAAGTAAGTGGTGAGGCAGGCCAAAGCCCTACATGGGCTGTAGTGCCAAAGGGATGGATGGATTAAACTCCTCTTTGATCGAAAGTCTTTCTACAAAAGTTATATATATATAAATTTTTTTTAGCACCATATTTTTAATTAATTTATTTATTTTAAAAGCACGTATCATGCTGTCTCATTTATTTGTAGCCACTTAATCATTGCCAACTTGCCTTTTATGATAACTAACTGAATTGAACCATTTATTCAACTCTTTATATTTAAAAAAAATATATCATTGTCATTGTTAGTGCGCAATTGTATGTGTGCGCAATGTCAAATGTTCACTTTTTTTTTTTTGGGTTGCACCGGATAACTGGAAAGAAAATAAGAAGAGGAAAAATATTGGGAAAGGGAAAAAAACGATCCCATAAAGCCATCCATCCAACATACAATATGGCTGCCTGCAGCCTTTTCGAAGAAGATGAAGTATACGTTGAAAAACTGGGAAAGGGCGTTAGTTTCGGACTGGTATTAGAAAATGCAGAGTTCCTAAGTAGTAGCGAAGATGATGAAGTTGACAAAACAGAGGACCGCCTTCAGAAAGGAATGGTTAGAGTTGCTTGGCATCCAACTGGCAAAGAAACAGTTGTTGCTGAAGATAACGTGAGTTTATTATTATGGCCAACTTACCTAGCTAGTAACTATACATAAATTATAAATAACATTAGTCAATTTCAATTAAAAAAAGATCCGTCAGCACCAAAAATTCAACAAGGAACTTAAAAGTAATCTAATGTAAATGCAATGTATAGACAGTATAGTCATAGTATAACCTCTGCCTTAATAATAATAATTTAAAGGTATATAATATATAATTATAATAATTATAATTATAATTATATAATATTTATACAATTTATTATTATTATCATATTCATATTGCAAGACAAAATATCATTGTTGTATATATATTATTGTACAATTAGGCTTGTTAGGCCTACCCTCTTAAAGTAGGTACTTGGACAAAGTTCAAAAATGAAGTTACAGTTACAGCTTTAAGTTTAAGACCTAGTTATTTAGTTAAAGCTTGAAAATGAAAACAATTCATTGATCATTGATACCAAATGTATGGTTGTAGGTCAATTCTAAAGAAATTTATGTGGTTATTTACAGATGGCTGAAAGTTGTACATTATTTTGGGATAACTCTGTTAATTGAGACATATAAGAAAATATAAAAGTGTCTAAAATAAAAACTGCAGAAAATTTTTGAGAGAGCTGCCATTCCTTGGTTATATGCTTTTTCATATTTTTAAACATTAATTTTAGTAAACAATGGTATCCATGGAGGAATTGTAGTCAGCATATTCAAGAGGTCACTGTTTTGAAACTTAAATAAATTGTTGCGGTAGCGTTGGGGGGAACATTTATTTGCCAATTCTTGCAGATAATTGGATGCTTTAAACTGTGGTTAATAGTAGGCTTAGCTTGATTCAATTTGATATATATTTTTCCCCCAAAATTCTTGATAATAAATTAGAAAACACAGTATTGTTAAGCATCCTATTCTCTTTAAAAGGATATACCATACAACCTATTTAACTAAGAAATGACAGCAAACCACATTTTTTCTAAATGCATATGCAATATAATTATATTTTCAAGTGGACAAACAAAAAGCATGTAACTACAATGATTTTCACTATCAGAAAATGATTTATCAAAGTAACTATCTAATGATTTAATTAAGAATGACTCAATTAGTTAGGGCAAAATGCCAAATAACACGGATTTCTTTTGATATTTGTTAGGCCTAATATGTTTATAAAAAACTTACACAAGGTGAATCATTGAAGAAATATGGGGTATGATGTTGTTTATTGGGCAGTGTACAAGGAAAGGTCACTCACTGAGATTGTCATTGGCTGTTATCAAAGGATCTAAGAATAAGAAGCTGCAATGTTAAATATATTGAATTTAACCCCCTTTATAATTTTGAAAAACAAATGTCAGCATAATTAACTATTCTTCCCAAAAATAGATGTAGTTTCTGTCCTAAGCAAAAGCGTAATTTAATTGGCTCACTAACAAGTCCTGGCCAGTTTGACATTGATACATTTTGCTTTTCAAGGACAAAAGAAAATCACATAAACTATCAATATGTTTGTTTTTTAATTTGTTAACTGAATTTAAACAATAAGAGCCCAAGGAGTCACACATTATTCAGGCAGCATCTAGCTTTGCAGAGTCTTTGTTATTGATTATTTATCAAGCTATTTATGAAGTGATTTCTTAAAATTTTATTTAGTATGATGTAGTTAGTATAACTTACTTAAGATAAGTAAATTAAGGTAACGGTAGCTCTTAACTGGACTTCTTTTAGAGCTTTTCCTAAAAATTTTTTTTTTTCGTAGCTCAGTTATTGTTATACTTTTCCTTCGCGACCCCGTATAACTATAACTTTTATTGCCTATTCTGGCTTATAGGTGATAAAGAACAAGTTTGAATGTCTATACAGTTTGATACATGTCATTAAAAATGTATTTACTCTTACAAAAATGTTAAGAAATCAAACAGGATCCTGTTAAATAATTCTTTAAAGAGAAGTATGATGGTTTTCTTTGTTAACTAGAAACTTCAGGTTTGGAGAAAGAGATAAAGTTTATTCTCAGATCTAAGCTATTAACATTTTTCTCTGATCTCTCATTTTCTCCCTTTTATTCTCATATTCTCAATGTCCATTGGTGGATATTTTACAGTAACAAAATAACTCAACCTCTGACCATCTAATTATCCTTAAATGCATGTCTGGAAATAAAGAAAACACCTTTGACCATGCAGATGATGCTCAACAGAACGATACGATGTCCTTAACTTCCTTTATCGTAATTGTATGGACATTTTATAACTTGGCATTGTGTGTGCTAATTAGCAGTAAAATTGGATGGCGAATAATTTTTCTCGCTAGTCCAGCTTCAACGCTTGCTACTGACAGTTACTGTTGTTTAGGATTTCATTGGGGGGAAAAAACAAATACCTTTTTTTAGCGACCCAGTATTTTTGCTAATGTGGCCCGGTATCTTGTCATGGCTCAGCATGTGAGAAACACTTTTATAGAGGGTATTAGTATTATATGTTAGTATAGAAGCGTAGCTAGAGTGTTTGGTGCCTGGGGACCAATTTGTTACGCTCTGGCTTCTAATATGAGAAATTAATCTCCTATTTTAATTTTAATTGGCTCGTTGTAAGCAGTGCCTAACAAAGGACAATACCATAGAGTCAACAATATTAAAGATGCAACACCCAAAACAGTTTCTAGTTACAATTAATAAGATTTAATAAGTATTAATGTAATTACAAAAAGAAAAGAAATATCATTACAAATCATCAATATAGATTCATTTATTAAACACCAACCACACCCTCCCACCAACACTGCCAAAATGAAACCCATTATTTTCATCAATAAAAACAATTTTAAAGCCCACTTTGGCGCCCTTGCTAGTCTGGCAACCGGGAGCACCCCCCCCCCTCTCCTCCCCGCTAAGCCACTGTGCTAGTATTCAACCATTGAACTATTCTAAATCAAAAGGAAGGATGAAATTTAAGGCTTATGAAATGTATTAAAATTATAAAGGTATTCCAAATAAGACATTTTATATTTTCTTTGTTAAACATGGTCAGCTTGAGAGGCCCTAGAATAAAAAATTTTCAAAATAATTTATATATTGATTTCTGCATTGTACTAATGTATTTTTAACATTTACTATACAGGTTCACCTTATAGATCGCTCACTTATGCCAGGTGATGTTGTGCGATGCCTTGTACCTGGTCAGGATACACAATGTGGATTTGTAATGGATATGGATGTCAAGTGTCATTTGCATGTATTGCGTACCAATAAGTACATCTATGATGTTGACTCTAAAGACTTGGTACCTTTACAGGTTAGTGTGGAAGAAAATTAAATAAGTAAGCATATTACATTTTGGTAGTCTGCCCTGTATGTAATGGTGACATAGTCTGTCTCTGGACAAAGAGGTAGCGGATTCAAATTTGTCCAGGGGTATCCACAAGCTGTGCGTAAATTTAAAAAACTACATAACTATACTTGGTAAGTAGGTCTAATGTCTGAAGGTAGCAGCAAACTTAACAGTTGCTTATATTGTTTCAAATTTAATAATTCAATGCAATTATCAGAATGGTGGGCTCACATTCTAGTGATTTCATTAAAATTAATGTTTGGGGAGGGGAGAATTTTGTATATTATTCATGAAGTCATGTAATTAGCTTAGTGGACATTCTAATCTACTGATTTAAAAAAACTCATAATGGCACAATTTATTAATCCATATAACTCATCCTCAAATTTATATAGTTTGATGCAATTTTGGGGAGTTTTCAGCAAATAATGGTCACATTAAATAATTGGGGAAAGGAATGATGTTACTGCATGAAGATTTGATGTGTTTAATAGTCACCCAAGACTAGACTGTCAAACAAATAACAGTTAAGTACGACAATCGGAAGTTGATAAAAAATGTCATCAAAGAGAAATCGAAACTATGTCCTGCATTATAGGAAATTAATAAGGATTAACCAACAGAGGCAGATAATATTTATATTGGAATCACAGTTAAGGAATACTAAAGTGTTGATGTAAGTAAAACTAAAATTATAGTTTCTATGTTATTATGGTAACCTACTTGTGAAATTTCAATAAGCTTTGAAACTATTTCCTAATTCAACTAAGAATTTCGTTTGAAACAATTCCAAATGAGATCATATGGGAACCATCAGGAAGTGGCTCTGTGGATTGGGGAATGTAGAGAAAGAAATGGAGATTCATTTAAAATATTTATTAATAGTGTGATATGTTAACTATTTTTTTTTTTAAATGAAGTAATTATTTAATTATGGTGCCAAAACAGCAATTAATACACAGATTTCCCTTTATGATCCAATATTTGTTTTCAATCCTTTTTAAGCTTATATTTACTATTATTTACTGTGATATTTTCAATTTTTAGATTTTGATAGTTTTGTTTACTTTTTTAGTGGCTTGAGACCATGATTTGTAAGGCTGCTGTTTTGAACCATTTCATTAACTACTATGCAATTTTATTCCTCATGCAGAAGTTTGAGAGCGGGCAGGAGGTGCTCTTGGATTCTTGGCTGGGAAGGGTAGAGACTGTCAATTATGAACTCATTATTGTTTTTCCTGATGGTGCGAGGTAATTAATTTAAGTTTAGTTTTTGTCCTATTAAAACAGACCTGGTTACTCTTATGAAAGTGTTATGCTTTTTATGATTGTACACAGAGACCTGTCACAAATATGATTTTTAAGAAACGGGGCTAAAAAAATATAGGCTGGTAGTTTTTTAAAATTTTTTAATTTAATTTTTTTTTTTAATTTTTTTTTTAAATTAACTTTTGTGGTTGATAGTTTTAGGTTCTTTTTTCATCCCTCAGTGAATGGACCCAGAAAAACAAGTTGTTGGGGATTATCCATAATTATATTACATAGGCACCAAGGAGGGAGAGGGGGTTGGTGTTGATTAAGGATCGTATAGATATGCATGTGAGGGAGTAAGAGATAGGTGTATAAATATTTTTAAAGTTTATAAAATAGGACAGCCATTTTTCATAATAATGGTGATGATCGTTGTATTGTTGCTTTGTGTTTCAAAATGAAATTGCTAGATATCTTAACTGTAATATTTAGCATAGTTGCCCTAATAATAAAAAATTTAGTCAACATTCGCTTTTGTTTGCTTTGGTGCTGTATGGCATAAGTTAATGACATAATTATTTCATTTTTGGCTAAACCACTATTGCGAAAATGGAGAAAACTGCAAATTTTTTCATTTTTATTAGTGCATGCTTAACTGCTCCACACAGCAGAGTTAGATTTGACATATTTTATAAGATCTAGTAAGCAACATTTTAAATCTATTTTTTAGACGTCACAAAGTAGCTGTAAAATTTTAATACCCCATTTTGGTCAAGCACTCCTCTTCCCTTCTCCCAATACAGCTTTCTGTGGTTATTAAACTATATTATGTTAACAAAAAATAAAATCAGGCTCCTGGGCTTAATGCAAGGGTGGCCAACCCGTGGCTGCCATGTAAATATTATGGCCTGCTGGATGTATAACAATGAAAGTTATTTTTTCATTCAAGTAGCGATTATTTTCATTCCTGGCATAAACGTACATTTGAAATATATATTCATCATTTTTTGTGATTGGTATGCCCCATTTCGGTGAACCCGCCCCTTTTTTAAAAAAACGATCCAAAATAAAAAAAATTTCAAATAAGTAATCTAAAAAATTATAAAACAATTTTACTATTTAGTTACTACTAAAAATGAAGGATTTATATAAACACAGCTAGGTAAAAGGAACCTAATTTTCCACAAGCAATATTATTAAGTTTAGAATCGTGCAAAACTTTAATCGGGTATAGGCAAAAGTGGATCCCTTCATTTTGAATTTATGAAAAAAAATTCTGGGGATGGGGTTTGGCCCCCCACCAAAACCTCACCCCATTTTTACTCGGATGACTTCGGCAACATCTTTGATTTCCAACCTCCCCTCCCAATCTTTATCTATTAAAGTGGCAAAGACTTTGATAAGTGAACTTTTTTAAAACATGCAATGGCAATAATTATTTTATACATAATAATGTATGTTTATTTCTTTACTCTTACACAAGCTAAAAATCCTTCACTAGAAGAACTATATGAAGAAAAATGTTATTGTAAAACTAAACAAATTTCGGACGATACATCACAGATACTTGAGATCGGCCTGTTCGGGATGAATTCTTTCTCTTATGGCGAGGACTGAAAGATATAAAAATTTGTTTGTTACACAATCTGTACGAATTCACCAGCGTGCTCTCCCAGAGGTCAAAAAATCTAAATGATCACTAATTAAGTTCCTATTATGACTAAGGGAGTTCACTGATTGGCTGTTTTTTACACTAGAGAAACAATTCAATGTGGATGTCATGTGCTTAAATTGTTTTTAGTTGGAAAATGTGACTTTATTAATATATGTATTTATTTATGTGCTGAAAATGTAAATGTACAATGTAATCAAAAAACATTTCTATTTGTTTGGATCAATAAAAGAATCTTATCTTATCTTACGATACAGTATGGTACGATTTTGAGATGGCTTAGTACTATTCTGAAATAATATTGTATTACTTTGGAATTTCCAGAGTAACCAGGTCTGATTAACATTTTAATTAATTCTTTTAATTTATATGACCCTGATTACTGATTTTTACCTATCAGTTTTATTCTAATTCCTTTTTGTCTCATAACTGTTCTTTAAATCTAAATTTGACTTGTATTCTAATGTTTTGTTTATCTTGTTCCCTGCTGATTTCAGGTGCCAAGTGGATGAAGATGATCTCTTCAGCTGTGAGGATATAACTGAGAAGAGACCTAGAGTAGGACATTTTTAACACAATCTTTTTAAGTGAATTTAAATATTAACAGTTGACTGCATGTCATTTTAACCCTCTTGAGACAGATCCTTTTTGGACAGTCAGTGACAAGAAGACGGAGGCCTTTTCCCAAGCCCTGTACTTACTTTGCAAAACAAATTTATAAAAAATAAACTAATTACTTTACAAATATAAAACTATATATATATATATATGTAGGGAGTTGAATAAACTAGTCAGACTTTATGAATCAAACTGACGTCTCAACATTTATGGAAATGAGACCCATACAATTTTATTTCAATAAATTATTGTAGTTTTATATTAATTTATAACTATTTCAATGATATCGTTGTCTATTTGTAAAACAAGCATGGTGAGTTTAGTGTCTGCCTTCACTACCCTGGACAAGAACTGAAAGGTTCAATGGATTGCTTTAGTGATGCTAAATGGCTTCATTCTTCCCCTCGTTACTGCAGCAAAGTAGCCAATAAAAAAGGAAAGGTCACCATCGTTTATGTTACTGTAGAAAAGGTAAGAAAGATGTATATTGCAAAGAAATGATTTTACATATTAATTTTGAAAAAGGACTATTGTTAAAAATTATAGATGTAGTAAACAAGTCATGGGTCAATAAAAAAATTAAACAGCTCAATAGAAACAAGGTGAGGTTGGAGTTCCTAGCATTATCAGAGCAATTTTTTTTTTTCTGGGCGATAACAATGATTACTTACTAATTTGACTATTTATTCAAATTTTTTAAAAAGAAAAAATATTTCTGTCGTAGTTATTACACCTCCTATATTTGTTATAATTGGTTACTGCTTTGTTTGGTGTAGTGGTCATTGAATATAGGAGGGTAACCTTCCTTATCCTAGAAAAGACTACCATGTTTCAATCTAATATGGTTTCAGAGTTCGTCACATGATTTGTTGGCCATAGTCTGGTGTAGGGCTCCTTTAAAAGTTGACCCATTGTATATATTTGGATTATATCCTTTGGGTAGGATATTTTTTTTCTGCAGCTTTATGTAAGGGGGGTCTCTACTTTTCTTTTATATCGTTTGGATAGGTCTATTTTGATATAAGCCATTTGAAAATCTTGGTTTTGGGTTAGGTCTTTAAGTATGATTTGCAAGGTGGTGTTTCTCTTCATTTTCAGAGGGGACATCTAGTATTGATTTCTGTTTAATGCTATGGTTTGGTCACCATTTTTCAATCCATTTGTATGCTGCTTGTGTAACCTTCTGTGGTTCTCAACCATCTGCTGCCTCTCTTCTGAGATTTAGTGACTCAATATTAGCATGTATTTCACAGCTTTTGGGGTAGATCTTAGACCTCCCAAGATGAAATGGACTGCCTGGCTTTGTAATTTTCCTAGAGAGTCCTGTACAGTCTCGCTGCTAACCAACTGTAGCGCAAAACTGTATTCCATATTTTTGGCTTTACCAGTTCTATAAAATTATAATAGAATGAACAGATTTACCATTAATGTTGTACTAAAATAAAGCCGAACATGGTAATATTCCCAGATCATCACCAAAAATGTTGAGGTCCACTGGATATTTCGTGGCTATGAAAAAGTAGACAGCCCTAATGTTTCAGTAAATCCACCACCTAGAATGATAGAAGGAGAAACTATCGAGAGGTGAGTAAATTACACATTATTTGCCGCATTCTTTCTCTATTCTTGTAGTAAGATGGACCATTTATAGTAGTCATGGGCCTAATACTTGTTGGCAATAATCTTTTATACTTGTGCAAAACTTTAATTTGTAATATTATGAGGAAAACTAATACTAATGATAAATATTTTGGTCTTGATTGAAAACTTGCTTTTGCTCTCTTTTATTAGACTTCAAGTTCTAGATTGGTTTAGTCACTGCAGTATCCAGATAGGTGATCGTATGGCTTACACTGTGAAAAATGATGACCTCATTTCAACAGTAATACCTGGAAAAGCTTTCAATCCACAGTCAGTTATGACAAAAGATGCTCCAATCAAGATATTGAATGAGGTTGATAACAGAATCTCTGAAGATGTAATAAGTTCAGTAAGTAGTTTTTTAATCAAATGTCAAATTTTGTCCTGAAATGGATGAAAATAAATTTCTATAAAAATACTGAATTTATGTAAGATTGGCATGATTCAGAAATTATAGCTTATTACACAGAATTGATCAGGTTAATATTTATCAATTTAATGTAGAAATGTCTTAGTTTTTGAGCTTCTTATGATGTATGTAACATTATCCTCTTATTAATAACCAAATGGGTCAGCTCAGATGACTAAATAAATGATGCTGTGTTATTCCTATTTTCTTCAACACAGAGCAGTTTTGCTGAAAGGGACTTAGAGGATGCCGAGGATGCAGATTTTGAAGACGTTGAAGATGATGAATCTGAGGGTGATGATAAGCTTGGTGCCTATGGAGGTCGCAGTGCAGGCGGACGTAGGAAAAAGAATCGTGGCCATAAGGGTACTACACGTCACAAACCAGGCAAGCCCAATCCAAATCATAAGATAACAGTAGGAAAGAAGCGAAGTCCCAAAGAAAGAATTGTCAAACCTGATGAAGTGGTAGAGGTGGAAATTGAATTCACCACGTCCTGGGCAAAAGTCATGTGGCAGGTCAACTCTTAGTCTTATCTATCTCTTAAACTTTAACTTTATCGTGTTTTAAAGTTTTTCATTGAGGGTATTGAATAGTTAATTTTCTTGGTCAGAAACTTTTACAAAGACAAATTAAATTTTTTTTTAGTTTTAAAAACTAGTACCAAAATGTAATCCAGCTTTATGAGAATAGCAGAAAAAGGCAACATTTTTTACAACAAAATTGTTTGTACAGTATCCAGTTTGAAGTGGTAATTTTTAAAATAAATTTTAAAAACTATTTGTGTACTGATTTAATAGAAAGAAACATTCCCATTAAAACGCACAATTAAAATGTTCTTTTGATCCAAATAAAAGCAACAACACCTTACATACTGATAAGATATGATAAGATTCTTTATTGATCCAAATAAATGGAAACGTTTACATTGATTACATTGTAGATATTCATTTTCAACAAATAAATAAAGACATAGTTTATACAAGCCTTCAAAACTACACAAAAAGACACATCTCTTCAAACTCTACTATCCTGACTGATTCCCACCCCCTTCTGACCGATAAACCATGCTGCTGAGTGCCATCCATGGCATGACATGTAAAATTTCTGGGGTGGGTGGGGTGAATATATATTTTTTGTTTTTATACAGCTGTTTTTTTTAAATTAAATAAATGTATTTTAACCTTTTCTTTTGTTTTTGAGACATTCAAGTGAAGAAATTTTCATCAAACCCACCGATAAAAGCTTGTAACTAAGTTGCAGTATAAGCTTTCCCCTTCAGATTTTAAGCCTATGATGGTGGTAACATTAGTAAATTCAATGATTGGAACAGTGCTGCTTGGGCTCTTGATATCCAGACAGGGGGGAAAATGCAACTTTGAGGCGCTCCACTACTTTTTTCTCTAGTTAATGATATTTGGTCATATACCTTGACATATAATGGGTGTTTTTTAAAAAGTTCAGAATCCACGGTTGAATATTTGAATTTACACTTAATAATGAAGAAAGCTTTTTACTCATTAAGTGTGGATGGATATTGTTAAATGCTGATGAGAAGTGTAGGAAAAGCACCCTAGCATATTTTTTAGGGTTATCTTGGTGATGTTAAAGTCTTTCCAATAATAGTAAGATGGCATCCTGGGTACTTTTGGCAGATTTATAAGTAAATTGGTAGTTGTCAAGTTTTTGCTGTGCTTCATTTAAAATATTTAAAATGTGTATGAGAATAAGTTTCTCATTACATTTCTTTACAGTAGATGTGTGACAGGACATAATTTGTTAGGACATTGATGTGTAAAATTACCAGCCTATTTAATTCAGTGCCAAAAACAAACATGGTAAAAGAATAATGAAAAGACAAAAGCAACATTTTAATTGAAGTTTTTTGTCACTTAATAAACATGTGTTTAACTGTGTCAACAAATTAGATGAAATATCTTCGCTACAAGGGTGATTTGATACAGTTCACCTAGGGTTACTTCCGCCCGGGGAGATCAAGATTTCTTCCATCTCTTCCACACAAAAAAATGCAGTTGGCCACAAATGCCTGCCCTCATATGCCCACCCTCTTCCTTAGCCACATCTTTGGATAGGGCTTTTATTTGGGTTTTGTTTTCATTTGTCTTTAATGAACTATATCCTTGTTAGTCTAAAAAAAAAATTAACAACTAGCAAAACAACATATTAAACAGTAAATGTTTTAAAATCGTGAATGAAAGGCTCAGGCGACAGATATTTTACTGATCGTTTCAGACACATTGAGCTGGTAACTTTGTCATGTGACCAACCAAATTTAAACATACTTATTATTATATGCTGTGCAATTTGACTTCAAACGTTTTTACAGCTTTTTAAATACCCAACCATTGTCCCTTTGTTTTAAAATGTATATCTTGTTTTTCATTCCCTTGGAGGAATTTTGCATCTACACACCCAGCATTATCTTGCGGTTCACCTGTGTGCTATGGCACACCGGTAACAGAACACTGGATATAGTTTATTTAGTACTAACATGATGGAAACTGTAGATATTCATCGTTCAAAATTGTTCACTTGAATTTTTCAGGATGGAACAGTAGAAAAAGATATACCATCCGTAAGCTTATTTCCTGTTCATCATTTAGATGAATTAGAGTTTTTCCCTGGGGATTTTGTATTACCAAATATAGGTGAGTCTTTTTCTTAATAGTTCATTGAAAGATTCGGTGGGCTCTCTGCCAAAGAGTTCCTTTTTTATTTTCACAATAGCAATAAGCCATTGTGTTATAGCTATTGTCATTGTATTATTTTTTTCTCAGAACTTACTGAACCAGTTGACTATGGTGTGGTTGTGAAAGCTGATCACCATGAAAGGACTTGCTGGATTCATTGGTTCAGGGCATATGATGTGGGGAAAGCAACAGAGTATGGGCTATACATAAATATTTGTAGCTTTACTGTTTTAATGAGACTGATGATATTATTTTACATTTGATCCTGTATAAACCCCTAATTTTTATAAATTCTATTTCTCTTAAATTGCTAAATGCAAGGTATTTGTGTTCAGTTTTGGCTTCATTGTTTGTCAGTTATTTAAAATGACTTTTTAATATAAATCAGAATCATAATGTGACAGGCCTTTCACAAAAATAAGAATAGAAATAGCCTTATTAGTAGCAGTTTTAAAAGTCATCTTTTTTTTTAACTCTTAAAATAATTTTAATTTATCCTATTTTCATCATAAAAAATTTAATTACTAGATTTATTAAATTTTTAATTTTTTTAAAATAATCTCAATGAGATTTCTTTTTAAATTATAGAAGATTCAGTTAAATATTAGTTTTTTACAAAATTTAGTAGTATTAATTTAGTATGTCGACGATGTTCCATCTTCATGAGATCTTGGTCTAGCTTTTTTATTGACACTTGTGTGGATGAATTATGAGTCCTGGAGAGGCAGTTTCTGTTGCACTTTCTCTGGAGAATCTTAACTGTTTTTTTTTATGTCAGGTTTTTGTTTATGCTCTACCTAATTGAAACCCTTTTACAAACTCTTCACCAGCCTGAATGCTCATCAGCAATGCCTTCTTTTATGTTTTCATTTGAACTGTTTTGTATTTTCGACCATTTTTTTAACATAGAAATAGAACTTCAACCCTAATGCTATATATTGCTATCTAATGTTAGCTAGGTTAAATTTTATGTCTGAATTGTTGTGAGTAGAAACTGGGACCCAAAACCCTTAGAATCCTGACAAACCTTCTTGCTTATATGGGACAACTGATACCATTAAACTAAAAAAAATTTTTAGATTACAGTACACTGACAGTACTTTAATTCATTTTTTCTTTGAGATTCATCCTAAATTAACATGTATTATAATTTTTAAAAGTTTACACTTCCAAGATGTAGTGCTTAATTTTACGTGATTCCTTTACTTTGAAATAATTTGTTGGGTTGTTTCTGTCTAGACCCACTTGTGTGGAAAGAAATGCAGAGATGAGTGTTTATGACATCAAAGATCACCCGGACTACAAATTTCGACCTGGCCAGAGCATTGTGCGAGTTGGTGGCTTCGAAACTTCAACTACAGTAAGGGACAATGGCATATTACTTGTGATGTTATCACTTTTGATTTGTTTTAATGTATTTGTTTCTAATTTAGTTCCAAAAAAACGTAGTCGAAACATGTTCGGTTAAATTTGCTTCCTTAATTACTTTAATTAATCGTTAACTAAAATAAAATTTTAAAACACTAAATTCATTTGAGCCGATTTAGTGCTTTTATTTTATAACCCAAAAGATTTATGAATCAAATAGTTTTCAGGAAATTAAATAAGTATTATAATTCACTTTTTAAAAATAAAGATATATTTTTTCTTCTGATACAGGAGTTATCGTTAGCAAAGGTAACTAACAATCAGACTGAATGGCACTGAGCTTCTTCTATTAAGTACATTTATCCACCTTTGACAGAAATGGCAGTAGAATTTAAGTTCACTGCCACATTTTTTTAATTTGTTAATTGACTTTATGTGATAGAACAACAACAAAATTGTTATGAGTGGCCTGGTGGAGGGCCACCATGGCATGTCAAAAGTGTTGTGACAGACTGGTTCAAATCCTACCCTAACTGGTCTAAGTGTGGGCCAGTGAGTGGCTTAGAAAAGCCAAAGGAAGTAAACAACAGAGATAATTTTTTTTTAATAGCATGCTTACACTAGATGTACCGAGGGCATCTTGGTGCTCATTGTTGTGCATAATATAACTTATATATCATTAAAAGAGATCTTACAACAGATCCACCAGAAGAAAAATGAAATTGCAAAAAAAATATATATAATGTTTATCTTTGTTTTCCCAAGGATCAGAATCAAACTCCACAAACAATTGGTCAGATATGCGAGCTTGAGCCAAATGGTCACTTATTTATCAAATGGACGGATGGAACTATCAGTCAACATTTTCCACAGGAAATTTTCATTGTTTCTGATGATGTTAGTACACATCAAATTAGCGGTTAATTGGAACTCTGATATTATTCATGAAACGGACCAAAAGTTCAAAAACATTTCCATTACAAGTAACCTTAAGCCACATTTTAGTTTTCTTCCCATAATTTTAATTAAACATTGCACATGTGTCTATGTCAAGAATTTTTTTCACCCCTTATTATTGCCAGTATCACTAATAACAAAATAACCACATTTAAAGTGTTGGCATTAAACGTAATTTTTAAAAGTTTTATCAAGTAGAGAATAAAATTGAAATTAATAAAACCTAAATTTTATATTCTAAATGACCCTTGACTATAGGCTGATGATTTTACTGATGACAGCTGGGAATCTGAGTCAGACTATGCATCGGAAGGATCAGTGGAAACTTGGGAAACTGAATCAGAACAAGAGATTATAGGAGAGGAGGATGAGGCCAAGTAGGTTTAGAATGTGGAGTTTGAGATGATACTTTGAACATTTAGTGATTTGGTTAGCCCTTCTTAATGGAAATGTTTCCTGTTTATTTTATTACTTTTATTCTTTGTATCAGAACAGACAAAGATGACAGTGGGTACGATCAAGTGGTTCTTTGTGAACACAAGCAAGAACTGGATTCCCTTTTGTACAGAGCAGAAACTGCTCTTGTAAGACTGCAGAAGCATCTCTCTAACTTTGATGTAACTGTATCAGCACCTGAATGCTTTCATGACATTATCCGAATCTATAGGAGTTGTCATGATTTGGATAAGATATTACAGTCTTCTTTTTTCAATGATCCTGAGCTTCAGGCTCTTATTTCTCAAGCCAAGTACGAGTTGAAACGGGATAAACCTAACAAAATTTCTAAGCACCTTACTCAGCTATTTGAATCTTGGAGTAAAAGTCTCCCAGCAGGTCCCATGGAAAATGTTGGCTCTGTGGCCATTGGTGGAAAGACAATAAGAGTGGGCCTGCTGCAAAAAGGTGAGGATATTGAAGTGTCTATTGAAGTACCCAAGGATGAGGATGATGTCAATGAACCTTCGGCTCAGCACAGTGGAGATTTAGAGAATAAAGGGGCCATGGGTGGTGGAGCTCATGTAGAAGGAGGGGACAGCTGTCCAGTCATTGCAAGTCATAGTTTGAATTTATCTACAGCTTCTAACTCACTCAGCGAAATCTCTGAAATAGGAAGCATTAAAAAAGAATTTAGTGAACCTGCTATAAGTAAGTTTTGTAGAAACAATGAAACTAGACGGCCCTCCGATCCTTTCAATGAAACTAACATGAGTACAGGTGCCAAAGGTAAGAAGAAAAACCAAGATGCGTTAGTTGGTGAGAACTGTGTCTCCAAAGCTGCAAAGCGGGCCAAGTCTGATGGTTATGATGACTCTGGGAGAGAGGTGAAGAAAAGCAGAGATGAGGCTAAGACGGCCAATCATGTTGCTCAAGAACTTTGTTCTAAAATTTGTCAAAACCTCCAGAAACAGATATTAAAAATTCATGAGGAGGTAAACAAAAGAACAAAGCGCCTTATGTCATCAGGGAGTGGGAGCTTGAATAAAAATGAAACTGATCAAGCTAAAAATGGTGGTGATGATAAGCTTGCAGCAACAGCATGTAGTAAAGGAACCCATGAAAACTTAGAACATCAGGTGGATGAAAATAACATTGCTGCTAAGCCAGATAACATGCAAAAATCTTTGACCAACGGAGGAGAAATAAATATATTTGAAACAGAAGAATTTTGTTCGTCAAATCTCTCTGAAATGGTTTCCGCATCTACTCCTCTAACATCAGAGGTGTATAACTGTGGTGATGTACTCAAAATGGGTGCAGAAAACCATCTAACAGACTTACAAAAAGCAAGAGACACTTCAGAAAAGGCTGTAAATCCAGAAACAGAAAACAAGAAAGCTTTGCCTTCGCCAGATAGTTCTATATCTCAAGAAATTGAAGGTTCTATAACACTAGAGGATGTTAAAGCAGAACAAGTACCTTGCAAAGGTAAGCTGATGTTTCTATGTTTTAATCCAGTTATGTCATTGCGATAAGAGAACATATAACTATTAGCAAACTTTTTCACTGATCAACAGCTTGTTATGAAAACGTGTAATGAAATCTGCATTTTATCTTCCCTTTATTCTACAAGCCACATTTTCTTATTGCATGAATGAACCCAACTTTTAAATCTTTCTTATCTGCTTACTGCTTAAATAAATCATAGAGAATCTGTATGATTTTTAGAAAGTTATCTTTGGGACTTCCTATAATTTTCAAATTGCTCAACATCGTATTAGCTTTTTTAAAAAAATCCTTGGACTATCAATGAAAAAGGTTTAACCCTAGAAATAAAATGAGTCTTGTGATCCTGTGAAGACACAAAGTATAATTTTATAAGGGGAAGCTTCACTGTTCTTTTTAATAATGCTTTACCCTACTTGATTTGCTCATATCTCTGGAAGAGTATTAACATACAATATATATGTGTGTGTGTGTCTAGGTTTTGAAATGCATGGAGAAGTAGAGTCATTTCACAGATATGTTAGTCAAGAAAGTCAGCCTGCCAACCCAAGATCTTTCAGAACTGCTATTAGAAAAGAGGTCAGTGGTTCACTCTTGTCCAAGTTACTATACTTGTATTCATTTTATGCAATGGACCAGTGTCCCAATCTTTATTTCATAAAAGGCCAAATCTTCAAAGGGCACACTTGAGATTTAAACAAATATTTAATTTTTAAAATACTTAAGCACAAGTCCAGTAAGTCTACTGTTGTTCTTAGTCTGTGCACTAAAGCATTTATACTGTTGCTCTTTGTGTACTAGAACAATTATACTGTTGATCTTAGACTGTGCACTAGAACATCTATACTGTTGGAAAAATTTTCATTTCTTGTCTCTTCTCATTTCTTTTGGTAACTTCTTATTTTTTAAAAATGTTTTAAAAAATATTAAAATGTAATCTTGATTAGCATAATTATTATATTACCATTGCAAAAAAAATTTCCTTTTTTTTTTTTTAGTTAAAGCTTTTCCAATCCTCACTGCCGGATGGAATATTTGTTAAAGGATTTGAGAATCGCTTGGTAAGTAATGGTTAGAAATTATTAAGTTAATCAGAATCAAATGAATATTATCAACATACAGATAAGTTTTAGTTTCTGATGTAGAATAATTTTATTCAATGTTTTTACTCTACTAACCATTAATTATAATCATATTTTACATTCAATTAAACTATTTTATTTATTTTTTCATGCACTTCCTCTCACTAGTATTTTATTTGTACAAATACAGTAGGTTAGGTCCCATTGAATGTGATCATGTATGTCCACTAAAAATTGAGCATATTAAGGAGCTATTCTAAGAAACCAAAACATCTAAATTGCACTTAAATACACACATGTAATTAGGTTGCTTAAATACATCCACACAATTAGATCTCAGATAGTATGCTTTCTATTTAAATGAAAAATAATGATATAAAAAACAAAATTACAATTACCTACCAACTAAATTTAAATAATAAATTGTAAAATATGATAACTAATATAAATTGCTTAAAATAAATCATTGTTTTGATTATCTAAAAAAAATTTTTAAAAAGCCCAAATAAAGATGTTTCAATATTCTATAAAGGTCACTGTCCCCTTCACCACCTTCCTCCTAGCCCTCTCAGATCCATTATATGCCTTCTTCCCATGGCCCTCTCAGATCCATTATAACTTCACATATTTGTTTGTTCCATCACTGGAAATTTTTACTGTTGGATCTGGGTGAGATGTCTAAAATAAAATTTTGTTCCCCTATCTTTTTAAAACAAATCCTATTTTTTATAAAAATAATCCTGGAATATCGAGGACTTCATACAGGCATTTTTTTTGTTAGTGTGTGTTATAAGAGGGTTCCTTATTGGTTCTTTACACCTTTGAAACAACTGAGAGACTTTATTTAGCTAATAACATAGCTTTAACTTACTCCTGCCTGTCATCTTGCATATTAAAAGCAGTTATTTTGAATATACAATTTATGATGTCTGTTTGCTCTGTGAAATTAATTCTACATCTAAAATTGGGATTCTAATAACCGAAATAAATGGAGAGGATTATATGATTTTGAAGTGGTTTTAAGATATTTTTGATAAAGTGGATGATTCTTATAAACAGTGGTCCCAATAAAATTTAGCTACTGTATGTCACTTTAAGTTTGTTCATAATATACGCACTTTCTTTTTTTAGTTAACCCTTTAGGTAAACCTTCTTCATGCAGATTTTTTTTTTAAATTTTGAAAAGTTAATGGGTAATTTTCTAAAATGGATTTTTCATCAACACAGGATTTATATTCTGTTATGATTCTGGGGCCAGAAGGCACGCCATATGAAGATGCTGTGTTTCTCTTTGATCTCATGCTCCCTAATGACTACCCTAATTCACCGCCACTTTGCCACTACCATTCTTATTGCACAGATAGACTGAACCCAAATCTATATGAAGATGGAAAGGTTGGTGTGTTTTTACTTTGATACATAGAAATATACTCAAACTTAGAAAACATGGTCAAACCTAAAGTGATATCTTACAGAGAATGTGAGGATGGATCACTTACTAGTACTGTCATGTATTTTAAGGATTGTTATCATGTTGGTTTTAGACTCATTGTCGCACTTGGTCGGACTCTTTCACAGTGCCACTTTCAGAATAATTTTTTTATTTTATCGATAGCATAAAATCATCCCAACTTGCTTAGAATCCGAATTTAACACCCCCAATAGGCTGGCACTAGACCCATAACTGAAACACCTGTAAAAGATGAGTGAAACATTGATGTAAGGAAGTTTGGTGATCAATGCTGAGAATATATGACCATTCTTTTATTGACTAAGGTGTAACTGTAACTTTTTAAAATTTGTTCTTTTATTGAACAACTAAAATTGTTAATTTTGATGGTCATTGATTAAAATTTGTTTTTTTTAATTTAAAAATCTTTATATGTTGAACATATTTTTAAAGTGATAACCTTATAAACTACAGTTGAACCCGCTTATCTTGACCTCTGTTATCTCGCCAACCCTGTTAATGTCGACGTTTTTTGAAGTGGAACCGGCCAAATTCTCTCTTTGTCTTAGCATTTTCTCCTCGGTTATAATGATTCTTTTATGTACCGAACCCTGATATCTCGAGCACAAAAAGCAGACTAATTTGCACTTAACCTTGGTTATCTCAATCCCCATGACCAATCGCCGGCTTTTGAACTCCACAAGAAGAAATAGCAAACAAATAAACAAGTTTTTCGTAAGGAAAAGTAATTATTTGTTTCTCAAAATACAGGACTTGTGTTTTAGAATGAACCTAGAAGTAATTAAAATAAATGTTTTAATTTGAGGTTTAAAAACCCGGTAGAATCCATATTATAAATGATCATAATTTGCTGTGTGCGAAACGTAGTCATGGGCAACCATTCATGGTCACATCCATTATGGCTATGGCGTTGTACTGTGTCATTCATAAGAGTTTGCTGTGTGCAAAAGATATTAAACCATTGGTCAGGGAAAGCTTTAATTAAATAGTCATGTGCCAAACTTGAAAGTTCAAAATAAGTAGTCCCTAAATAGTATTTTAGTAATAAAGGGATGCAATCAGCAGAATGAGGTCACAAAATGTAGAGGCTCGTCCATAGAAAATACCAAACGAACTCACACTTTAAAAATTGTAGCTCAAAAATTATTAAAGTTAAAAAGTTGATTGTGGTTTCATTTTTTAAAATTTGCTCTACATAACTAATATTTAAAAACATATTTATTTTTTTTTTTTAACTTAAGTACCTGCAATTATAAACGCTCATCATGTACATAAAGAAATTTCAAGCACATGTTAATATATTGCCGCCATATTGGTTTTCGTTTATCTCGATCATCGGTTATCTAAGCGCTTTTTGGCAAATCCCGAGGCCGTCGACATAACTGGGCTCTACTGTAGAATCAAAGCCAGCATGCAAGTCTGCTGGTGCTTGTACCCAACAGTCTTAAAGTCTTTAAAGTGAAACAAACTTCTCTTTTAGGTATGTGTTTCTTTGCTTGGAACCTGGTCAGGAAAAGGAACAGAAGTCTGGACATCAAAATCTAACCTTCTCCAAGTGTTGCTCTCTATTCAAGGTTTGTGTCAATGAGAGGGAATTGATATACCAGACCTGGTTACTCTTATGATTTTGGGATACAATGATTTTGATTTCTTTTCAGTTAGTACACTGAGACCTGTCAGAACTACAAATTTAAGAGACCAGGTTTATAAATATATATTCTTGTAGTTTTTCTGATTTAAAAAAAAAATATATATATATATTTTTTTTTTTGGTTGTTAGTTTTAGCTCTTTTATTTATCTGGCAGTGAATAGACCAATATGATTGGTTGGGCACCATCATTAATTATATTATGTACACACTGAGAGGGGAAAAGGGGGAGGGTGGTGTTGACTTACGGGTGGAGAGTACGGGGGTACATGGGAGGGGCAGAACTGTCTAAATATTTTTAAAGGCAACAAAATAACACTGCCTCGTTTCATAATGATGTTTATAACGCTGCCTCGTTTCATAATGATGTTAATGATCATCATAATTTTGCTTTGTGTTTTCTCAATGAACTGACTAGGACACAGCCATAGTAATATTAGCATAGTTTCCCCAGTGATACATTTAGTCAACATTTGCTTTTGTTTGTCTCTGGGATGTGTGGCTATGACGTAATTTAGTGACATAATTATTTTGTTCTTTGGTTGAACCTTGGGGTTTGTGAAAACAGAGAAAAAACAATTTATATTTTTCAATTTAATTTTTTTAATACATTCTCAACTGCTCAGCACAGCAGTGTCTGATTTTGATATTTTTTATAAGATCTAGAAAGCAACTGTACAATTTTAATAAACAGTTTGATTCCAAAACTCCTCTTCATTTCTCCCACTACAGCTTGCAGTAGACTATAATATTTGAATGGAAAATAAAAATCAAGCTTCTAACTATACATCAAATCATATCCTAGAGATGAAAAAGACAAGTTTATTTCTCATTTTTATCGACTGGAACAGCTTTCTTTTTATTAGTTTTTGAGTAATTTGAGGATTGTTTCTCAACCATTTAATCATCTTTTTTTTTTAACTAAGGATATTTTAATCAAGTTATATGTCTTAAAAAACTTAAGACATTTTAAGTAATGATTTTTTTTAATGCTATTTTGAGTTTTAAGAACAAATTTCCTACTGCCATGACAATGTTGGTCTACTGCCATGACAATGTTGGTTGTGTGAGCAAAAATTTTTTCAAGATCTTTAGAAGTAAAAAAAGATTTAAGTTATGTTAGCATTTTTCAAAATATTCAGTTATTCTAATTTATGGATTTTGTATTTGTATATTTAAAAAAAAATAACAAACGTTGTGTGCTGTTCAATTTCTTAGATTGCCATCAGAATTCTTTTTTTTTTACTGCAGGCTTAATTCTGGTTTCTGAACCATATTACAATGAAGCTGGATATGAGAGGCAAAGAGGTACCCAGGTGGGACATGAAAACAGCAGAATGTACAATGAGATGGCTATTTTAAAATCAGTACAGTCTCTAATCAAGATGTGCAATAAACTTCCCACCTTATTCAAACATGAAATTTACCAGTACCTTAAAGCTCATGGCCATTTGTAAGTAGAACTCATTTAATTGCCTTATTTTCCTGTACTGTCTTTTGTTTCAGTTAGTGGGAAAGTCAAGCAAAGTGTCTGCATGGATTTTTTTTATTGACTTTCAACATTGGTAGTTAAACTTTTTATTCCTCAGGTGGGAGGACTGATATGTCATTTTTTTTGTTGTTGGGTACGGTTTGAGTTTAGTTTACCTGGGTGATTTTAAATACAATAATAAATTTGAAAATATAATTTACTTCATTTAAGAAATCTTTTTGATTTAGTCCTTTTTCCCACTGCTGTTACTTGGGATAGACTAATTTTCCTCCTCTGTCCCATTTGTGTTACAGGGAAATTATGACTTTCCCAGAGTGTTTGAAAATGTAAATATAAGTTAACTAACCGTCTAATATTTCATACATTTTCCCCTTTCAGGATGATTAGGCGGTTGCGGAATTGGATGGATCAAAGTCAAAGGCAAAAAAAGCCTACTGGTATAGAAAATCAAGAGTGCCAGAACACTAACAAAGTTTCTATGAACAAATGTGAAACTGGACCTAATTTGCATAGTAATGCAACTATTGAAACATCATCAAGGGATGCTTCACATCAGTACTTATCTCCTTCAATAGCTAGTCAGGATAATCAAGATCTAGTTGATGGAACCATTGAAGAGAAATCTCAAATGACTATTAATTGCAAGGATGATTTACATAATGATTTCACCGAGTCTTCTTTGTGCACAAAATTAAGAGTTAATGAATCTCTGTATAATAATATAGATTCTTTGGATAGCAATCTACCTAGTAACAGAATCGCCACACATTTACCAAGAGTGCTTTCACTTTCAGCTGTTTCTGACTCAGAGACTAAGGGCATGGCTAATGACTGCCAAAAGATGAATGAAGGTTCGGTTTCCCTAACAGATCAGGATGGTAAAATGGGCAGTGATATGTGCACTCATGAATTTAAAGAAATGCCTGCTGTTGAAAGGGGCTGTCTTCAGCCAGAATTCCATGATGCCAAATATAGTACCCCTCAGTTTCCCTTATTTCCCATGTCTCGAGGCTTTTGTCTCACCTTGGAGAAGTTCCTTAACACTTATGAAAAATCTCTGCAGCAACTTCTTCCCCCACCAGCAAGCTAGAGTAAAAGAATAGCAAGATATCTTGGATTTTATAGTTAGGACTGTAACACTATTAAAGCTATGGCCTATGATTTCAAAAGCATTGTAGGCCTCATTTATATTATAATGCAAGTTGACCATCAGTAAATAATGTACAAAAATCTAAGTGTTGTGGATTTGTCTATTAAAATATTTTAGTATTTTTAGTCAAAAATTTTGAACACCAAAAAATTCTGGAAATTTCAAACATCAGAAAGCACCTAAGTCGAAAGGCACTTAAATTTACAGTGTACATTTTTTTAACATTCTTTTTCCATAAGAGGCTAGGGCTATAGTGATTAGATAATTCTTTTTTTAAGACCTTAAGTTTGTTACAGCAAGCCATTTTTAAAAGTTCTTTCAAATGATCTTGGTCAACCATGTAACTTAATGTTTATTGAACTAGAACCCACAAAATTCTTTAAGTAACAATTAAAATAAATATGTAAGTTACAACATACTAATCCAAATCAGTGATTATTTATTTTTTAAAAGATGCTGCTTTTTTTTTTTCATTTGTTCTTTTCATAATGGAGTTCCACTCTTTTGAGCAAAGCCATTATCATTGGGATTGCAATTAATTTTATCCATCAGATTATTTAAATTTATTTAGTTTATATATTAAGCATATTTGTGTTGGTAGGTTTGTTTTCAAAATTTACAAAGTTCTAGACTAATATCTGTAATGGTAATTAAAGATTGTATGTTAGTCTATAAAGCATAATGCCAGAAGTAGCCTTCTAAATTTGAGCTAACTCAACTTAAGAATAATGAACATGCAACAGTTTATATTGACAAAACATGTGATCCAAATAAATACACCAGAACTAGAACAGTTAAAGGGTTTGAAATTACTTTTCTTCCACTTCCAGTTTTACATTGTTTAATATTGCATTTTATTTGTTTAAAAAATGTGACAAGTATTAATTTTTGTGTCCATGATTAATGATTATCCATTTCTTTGCACACTCAAAAAGTAACAGATTTGAATATTGGAACATGTAGTAGTACTACTAGAGTAAGGTACAGTACCGGTACTACAGATATTATTTTTGCTATATTCTTTTATTTCTCAGCAAGTAATGCCCCTGTGAAAATAAAAAGTTCTATATATAATTATTTACTGAAATATTTGAATAAAGTCTTTCTTTTTATATGTCTTTAGCTTTAATTTTCCGAACAGGTATTAAGTAATGAGGAATTGTTTCTTTAAAAAAGTGTTTTAATATATATACATTTTTTTAAATATCTTTAGTTGTTGATAAAAAGCTTCCATAGTATTGGAACCTTTTCTAATGTGATTATAGGCAATAAATAATTTTTGCAGTTATTACTCTCTTTTCCCCTGATAATATTTAAAAAATAATTTTTGGGGTGGGGTGTTTGTGTTTCCCCCTCTTTTTTTTTTACTCTTATGAAAGGTTCATTGCATTTACATGCTTGTTACAGAATAGGTATTTTACAGTTTATTATAGGTCTAAATCTTGATATGTTGGTTGCAGTAACCCAATTAATGCATGTCTCCAGGTGATTAGAAGTATTAGTATTAATGTTGATTGGTTAAACTTGCAGAATTCAACTTAAGCTATTTTAGGGCACCTTACCAAATCTCAAACAATGGGCTTCCAACTTGGTGGCATAGAACCTTCCAAATTTAAAAAAATACAGTTAGTTTCTTTTACAAACCTCACTTACTTTGAGATAATAGAAAAAGAACTGGCAAACCGTATTTATCTATGACAACCAGGATGGTAGTCTTTAAAAGGGGACCTTGCATATTATGTCAAGCTCAGGGGGGTCGAAAATTTGTGACATCACAGCGTTTTTTTCATGTAAAATTTGCTAATTTTGAAAAATCTTTAATTTTAATATCATTAATTTGAGGTCAAAATTGCCTAAGGTATTATAGGTACTATGAAACATTTTACATTGGCTTGTGGATGACTTCGTTGTTTCTTCTTATCACAGTTTTCTAACAATACTACATCTTAGTTTAATTATGAAAATTTTATGTATGTTTTGATTTTTTTTTAGGTGTGACGTGACACTAGGGAAGTTGGGGGGGGGGAGGGGGGACGAATTTGTGACAGTGGGGGGGGGGGGTAAAAGGGGTTTTTTTTGGGTGGGGTGTTCTAAAAGGGTTATTTTTTGGCATGACGTAATTTGAGAACAACCCCCTTAAAGGACAGTGGGAGTGGGAGGTTTTGTTTTTTTATGAGTTCAGTGGATATGAAGTAAGAACAAAATAGAGGTCTATGTGGCAGTGGCAGCTAGTATTATAGTATAGATCTGGGGTGGTGTGGCCCGCCAGGAGTCATAGTGCGGCCCGCGGATCTAGGTCAAATGTACATAAATGTTAACTATTGTACATATCACCAAAAGAACATTACATCATGAGTAGTTCCTATCCCTATATTTTTAAATTATAGCCAAGAGAAATTTGAAATATTTCACCTTTTGGAAAAATTCATTGATTTTAAGTTATTTCAAATACCCTGCTATTTGTCACTCAAGGTTACCGGTACTTAGGTTTTTTGTCCTAGGTGTTGATAAAATTCAATATGAGACTTCAACTTCTGATATATATGTTCTGTGGTCTTCGGGAAGCTCGCAAAGCTAATCGGGCAGACGTTGGACCAAAGAAGAGAAGAATCACAGAAGAATTAAGAATTTTTCAAGACAGATGGAGTATAAACTATTTTTTCGTGGAAATTAAAACAAAGCCAGTATGCTTGATAATGCAATGAATCTGTTTTTGTTTTGAAAGAGTATAACATCAAACCCCCACTACCAGACAAAAATTATAAATATGCAAATAAGTTTGATAAGTAAAGTACAAAGGGTAATTTCAACAAGACCAAGTAAATGACTTTTTTTTAAAAAAAGCTGCACAACAAAAGATGAGCTGCAGAACAAAAGATTTTTTACTAGAGCGGGTACCAAGTCAACATATGTAAAAGTTAATTAAAAGCTAGTTATGCAGTAGCCATGATACTAATACTAGTAAAATAATCAAAGCCACATGGTGAAATTAAGGAATGTTTGGAGAGCGTTATTGAAATACTGTGTACAGAAAAGAATGATCTCTCTAAAATAAGTCTTTCTTGTCAGACTATTACTAGGCGTGTTGAGAACATTGGAAAATACAATAAACCTCGAATTTGAAAACAGACTTCAGGACTTTAAAAAAACATGTGCTTTTTTGTTCATTTGCAAGCAATTATCATTAACGATAGACGTGAAGTTATTACCAAGAAAGATTACTAATGGAACATTGTGAAATGTGTTGTGATGCAGAGTTAAAGGAGAAATTCCATCAAGTTGGTGTGAATGGCTTCATTATTTGGAAAGACTTTGGCGTGCGAACTGCTTTTTAGTTGTTTCAAGCACATCAAATCCCAAATGAGTTTCAAGCACCGGTAACAAAAAAATATTTCTGAAATTTTGCCCCCTGCTGAAATGGTTGCGCCCCCCCACCCGGTAACATACCACTCTTGAAAAAAAACAACTATTCAACAAAGAATGTAACAATTTACCCAATTTTATTACAACGTCTATACAACAGCTTGATAAATTTGTGCACAATAATTACTTATCCTCTAAGTGTAAATAATGTACTTTGATCCCAATCTTCCATTCAGGAAGCAATATTACCGGTACATAACACTTAAAAACAAATTACCAACCACTCTGTATTTAATATTTCCCTTCTATAATTATACATAATCCTAAATATCTAGGTTTCTTTCAAATTATTGAACTCCAGGTATGGGAGACTTTGGTAAAAAGCTCTTGAACAATTAGACTGCTGTACATCATACCATGTGCTATTTCAACCTAATTTCAAAATTAACACACAAAAAATAACATCCATTTAAAATATTTAAATACTCATTTAATTACCTACAAATTTATAACATTGGAAAAAAAAATGAACTAGAAATTGAAGTATTATATAATCAAAGTGTGTTACTCTTAAAATACTAAATAATACAAAAATATAGCGTTAAAAAATACAGAGTAAAAGTGCACAAGCTCAGAACCGGTTTAACGATTAAAAAAACAAAAAAAAATAATTAATTTTTTAAGCCATTTAAATTTGAAGCAATTTCAGAGAATAACTATGACCATAAGTTTAAAATCAGATAGTGAAAAGTATGCAACAAATTCCATAATTCAATTTGAAATTAGTAAAAAAAAATATTTACTTAAATAACAATCTAATGTTACTCTTCATCCAGAAATACTAAATAGATGTCTGTCCGACTTCCTTTGAAAAGGGGGGAAAAAAAAAGTATTTGCAACACCAACAAAGATCCTATCTAAGCAAATTTTCCTGTTGGAGGTGGACCAGGAGGAGGCTGTATAGATGATAGGGATGCAGCAGTTACACCACCCATTGTTGATCCACTTTGATTCCACTGGCCTTTAAAGCCACCAGCATTCCCATTTTGAAAAGGCTTTTGCCCTGCATTTTGTGTGCTTGTGTTACTACTACCACCGTAGCCATTCATACTGTTGAAGTTGCTTTGAGGCTTGAAGCCACCACCATTGTAACTATTTTGAGCCTTAAAGCCTCCACTAGTAAAGTTGCTGCTGCCAGAAAATCTTGATCCTCCACTGAATCGACTTCCAGCTCCACCTCTACCACCTCCTCTACCACCACCATCTTGACCTCTCCAACGTCCTCTTCCTGCAAAAATTGTAAAAAATGAATTTTAGCATTATAATGTAATTACAATGTCAGTACAAAAATTACTGTAGAGTGTATAAATAAGAATTAATAACTCACCGCCACGCATTCCTCTGGAACTCTCTTCAAGTTGCAAGAGTTTAGGACTAATAACCTGCTTAGCTTCTCTAAGTACATTGACCAAATCTGTAGCTTGTTTGGAGTTACTTGGTGTAAAGAATGTGTATGCTGTGCCAGTATTTGTAGATCGACCAGTGCGGCCTATGCGATGTACATAATCCTCAGAGCAGTTGGGGTAATCAAAATTGATGACAAATTTGATGTCTTCTACATCTGAGAACATTGGAAAATAAAATTCAGAACCAGATAACTAATTGCCCACTTTAAGATTACAGCACTGAAGGCCTTGGGGGGTCATCTTGCTTTAAAATTGAAACTGAGGGAATAAGTTTCATGTTAAACAAAGTAAAGAAACTAGAGGGGTGAAATAGAAGGCAACTTTCAATACTGCAATCATTAAAGCAGAATTTAGAATACCGACTACATCACCCACACCTTCGTCCATTTATCTCTACACTTTTTACTAAGCGGCAAAATCAACTGACAAGCTATCGACTTATTTGAAAGATGATAAAATGTCTATGCCCACAACATTGTGTCTTAACACAGAGATAGCGTTGAACTCTCTCGAGAACCGTGCCTTCCAAGCGTTTACATGAACTGGTGGCAATATTTATCCTTATACATGGTGGTGTTAATGATGAATTCCCAAGCAGCATCACTTATACATTACTCTGCGCTTTGTTCCATTAAAAAAAAAATTTGAAATAAGAAGCAAAAAATATAATTTCACAGCCCGTTAGAAACTTTTAATATTTTTAGGCGAACATTGTGTCCTGATGCCTGCACATGCTTCTTTGTGATGACAACTGCCTGAATTAGTTATCTCTCACCACCCCTTGTCATTGCCACTCAGTACTTACGCTCGGCGCGCACTACCTGGCCAGCCCCAATGCTCCCAAAGAAGCTAAAGACTGGCATTGGCTTCGAGATCATTATGAACGCCACTCCCTGTCAGTGCCCACAGTGGGAAGATGGTAGTGTGTCTATGAATCAGTCAGCTTCAGCCATCAATCACCGCTTCCTTATTTCACAAACTAGGATTAAAAATAAAAGAAACAATTTAAAATGTGAACTTAAGATTGATGTGCCAGGACACCACTTCAAAAGCACTCATTTTGTATTGAACATACAATGTTCTTGGTTTCTTTTTATTGAACAATATTGCTAAACCCTTGAGTAATAGGCAATTAACCAGGTAGACTATAAATAAATCTGTGAAAGAAAACAATATTAAATCAAAACCTACCATTGATATATATTAATAGTGCACATACGCATACAAGTATTGAACTGAACCAAGAATAACATCAAATTATTAAATTTACTTTTTTTAAAAAATATAGCTATTTTAGCTTAAACAACTAGGAATGAACAAACTTCATATGGATGAATGAGTACTGTTTAATAGTGGGTACAATGCAAAACTTAATTTTTTGTTTGAAAAAGTCTTAAAGGTATATATAAAAGTCCCCAAATGTCTATAATATGATTGTTAATCTTGTTCCACAAAATTAATAATACAATTAAATAAGAATTAACAAAAGAAATGTTGATTTTAAAATATCTGCAAATCCTATAAAATAAAATATTTAAAATGAACCCTGGTCATATCAATACAGCTACCCTTATATCCTGTCATGTGCATAACATCCTTTATGTGCAGATTCAATGATTTTGTTGCATATGCATTAATTAGTATATATCATTTACTGTCAGTTTGGCTGTGACATCCATAATGTGAACCTGAATTTTTTTCATTTGCACCCAATATATCTTGCATTATACACACTAAAATACAGCAGATTGTGGAATTAATAGACAAGGCATTTAAATTTTATCTAAACTTTTAATGAATAACTTGAATTAGATGTACAAATTTAACTTAAATTAAAAACTAAAATTGCAAAATTAAACAAATAAATACAATTTTTAAAAAAAAACATACCTAAGCCTCTTGAGGCTACATCAGTGGCTATCAAAATTGGATTCCTACCATTTCTGAAATCTGGAAGAATAAACATAATAGTTTACCGCAATGTTTGGAGATGGACACAAATACTGAGTCGGAAACAAGATAAGGTTATTGTACACACTCCAAAACACAATATAATTTTCATACCCTATCATGGATTTATGTTCTAGTTATTTGAATTGATCATGATATCTCCCATCACTAAAAAATTAATCATCTAAAATTTACCTTTGTGTGGTGTAATTCATATTTACGTACAAGCCTTCTACATAGGCAGGAATTTTAATCTATCAACTCTATTTAAGAGTGTGTAGTGCAGGTAAATTGTATCTACATGGCAGTACCCCTTGGCACTCTACCCTAAACTGCATTTGTGCTGGGTAACAATCGGGAGCATGAGGTTAACCTTCCACCATTGTTTGCTCGCCCACACAACATTGGGACAATAAATATACTAAATCCAGAGGGGACCAGTGTATTAGTCAACCCACCCTGTCAACTATATACAAAGTCACAATAAAAAAGCAGTCATTACCATTTAATGCCCAATCTCTTTCTTGTTGAGATTTGTCTCCATGGATACTAATTACAGGCCACCTGTAAATAATATAAATATTCAGAAAATTCAAGCAAGATATAAAATGTAAGTAAAGACTGTCAATGCCCTTTTATGATCTAAAGTAAAATGCCAATGCGTAATAAACAAACGTACTGGTCTAGTAGAAATTGTGCTATAGAAGGTGAATTAGATTTCCCTAAGTTTATGATTTCAAACTTGAAATGATACCAGGAATCACTAAATACAAGGATTATGTTCTAAGATGTTCACAAGTGTAACATTATGGTTCAATAGTTTTTAACTACCTGATTATTTGGTGTTAATGCTAAGGTCACAAAATGCTTTGAAGCACACTTTAAGAATAAGAAAATGGAAAATTTTATAAATTTAAAAAAACAACTAACCCATCTCGTTTCATTCTCCTTGATATATCATCTGCCTTACGCTTTGTTTCAACAAAAATCAATGTCTTGTTTTCCTTTTCCTGCATGATTTCATTTAAAAGCTTGACTAATCTGAAACAAAAAATATATTCATAAAGTTGACACAAATACCAGAACTAAGCTAAAATCATGCAAAAATGTAAGGCTTTATCCTTAATAATTAAAATGCTTTGCTTTGCTCTAAAAAAAATGTAAAAACTCAGCTTTTCAGCTTTTAAGCCGGCCTAGCCCTAATCTTGATGCAATAAACCTTGCAACAAATCAAACCTACACATCTCATGCTATGAAGTAAAAAAAAATGAAAGATGGAGTGCAGGCAAACCACACAGCATATTCCTTTTGTTTCAGATAACATGACAGGTGACAGAAGTCATTATAAATTTCAAATGTATGCTTTAAATTGAAAAGATTTTATTTGAAAAATTTGTCATCGCCATGCCACCAAGCATAAGTTCACAACTACAGCTAATAGTCTCTCATAATCTAATGGAATTATGTATAAACTTACTTCTCTTCCTTTTCATGTTCCATACATACATCGATGATTTGTAGAATGTTGTGGTTAGCTGTGAGTTGCAGGGCACCAATGTTCACCTGGATGTAGTCGTTTAAAAATTCCTCTGCAAGCCGGCGAACTTCTTTGGGCCACGTGGCACTCCACATCAAAGTCTGGCGGTCAGGCTGTGAACAAAATCTCGGTCTAAATGATTGCAACACATTTATTCCCAAAACCCCTTCTATCAACATGAATCTTTCAAAAAAAGGAAAACAGATTGTGTGATTATGAATTTTTTAAAACAAACCAATATTAATACACAGAAGTAGGAAACCATTAACTATATTAACTACTATTTGATCTTATGTTACCTGATTATTTTAAAAAGATGTATATTATCTTAAACTCACTCTAATTTGTTCAAGGATTTTCCGTATCTGAGGTTCAAATCCCATGTCTAACATCCTGTCAGCTTCATCTAAAACTAAATAGGTGGTACGCCTAAGATTAGTTTTACCAGCTTCCAAGAAATCAATCAGACGCCCTGGAGTAGCAATGCAAATTTCAGCACCTACAAAAAATATGCACAATATTAATTTAAAACAACACAAATCGTTCAGTACATGGTAAAAAAACATACAGACGCATGTGATAATTTTTTTAAAATGACTACCTACCCCTTTCTAAGTCCCGAAGTTGCGGCCCCTTGGGTGCTCCTCCATATACACAGGCTGAACGGATTTGAGAAGATCTCCCAAATTCATTAGAAACTTCAATCACTTGCTGAGCAAGCTCTCTGGTGGGTACCAGCACTAGTACCTTGTGAAATAAAATGATACATTAAATCTGTGACCATATGAGAACTAGCTAATTTTATAATGGAAAAATATACATGTATTTCCCACCCCACTCTGACCTATAAACGATGCTTGGGTGCTGTCCATGGCATACCGTGTAAATAGTCCTGGGGTGGGCGGGGTAAATATTTTTAATAATTTATAAAGCTGTTTTTAATTAATTAAATTTATGCAACATCTTTTAATGTCTTGTTTATTTTTGCCAATATTTTTATGTGAAGCACTGTGAAACCAACCCTAGGCTGGGGTAGCGTATATAAGACCACTGTATTAATAATCGTAATGTATGGAATACATAAAAAGGTTTAGCATACATCATAAAAAATTTTTTATACTTACAATAGGTCCATCACCATGTTCGAGATAGGGTTGATGATTCACATGCACGATTGCTGGAAGCATGAACTGTAATACAAGATAAAATTAATGCTACTGGTGCAACATCGATTTTACTAAATATAATTTTTGATAAAATATGTCCCATATTGTATACCTTTAAGGCCTACTGAGGACTAAAGGAAAGTTTTCATGGTTTTAATAATTTAGCATCGTTTTAGTATTACTTAAAATATAAAAGTTAAGCTATGACTAAAGATGATGCTTTAGGCAATTATAAATTAATGATCCATTATTACATAATCGTGTTTAACTTTTTACCCCAAGAGTTTTTCCTGATCCAGTCTGAGCAATTCCTACTAAATTTCTGCCAGAGAGAGCAATTGGCCATGCTTGGCTCTGAATAGATGTTGGCGCCTGCCAACTATTTCTTTTTATCTGGTTCATAACATAGTCTGCGCAAAAGAAAATAAATAAAAGTAATTTTAGCATTAATGACTTAATAGAATCATCTTATTCGTTTAATTCTGTCCCTAACTCCATTATTTGTTGTTTGTAATATGAAATTGCTACAATTTGAACCGACCTATCTTTCCATGTCAAATAAAAATATAACATTTATATTGCTAACAATACACACCTGGGAAATTGCCCTCATCAAATGTGAAAATTGGATTAGGAACATCTTTTCCAACAATAGTGATCTGTTTATCTCTGTGGAATTGTTGGCATTCAATCTGAAATACATGAATGCAAAAAAAGGCTAATAAAATAGAAAAATTATGTTTAATTCTTTTAACCTTTTCCATGAGAAAATCAAAGAAATACATTTTTAACCTTTCAAGAAATCCACCACTCACCAGAAAAGAATTAATATTTCTTGCATATATATAAATATAAGCTTTCATTTAAACAAATTTTGAAAGCTCTAAAGGTGAAAAAAATCGATACTTTGGTTATTTTTTGCCAAAATGAGATTGCGGTGACTTCTGCTAGATGAACATCTTTTGAATACTTGTGGTTTTTTTAAAAATATATTTGTAAGTTGTTAAAGTATTTAAGGGATGGTGTGGGTGAGGATTGGGCGAAAATGTTCATATTTGAAGGAAAAAAATGTTTTATTTGGTTTTCTTAACCATTTCTTTAGTAAATTCTTATAAAAGTAAGTTAGAAAATATAATAAATTATAATTTTCCTGACCTTATCAATAAGAAAAATGTCAAAATTGCCCTATTGTTTAGTGTTTTCACCACTTTGTATGATTATTTGGTATCGCCCAGTCTCAATGTATTTGGTATGGTTGGAAAGTTGGTGATTTTCGGTTTAAGATAAATAACATTTCGTCATAAAGAAAATTACGAAAGCAACAGAAGCTTTCAATCGCTGGTAATGTCTAGCAAATTTGGGTATTTTCCCAACATTCTTCGTGTTTCACGTGATCTAGCAAACATTTTGATAGATACCTATGTAGGAACTCTGAAATAAAGCCTTCCGGTATAAACAAATCATTGCTAATTTCGTAAGGCCTAGCAATTTTGATATATATTTTACATAATTTTTCACAAATAAAAACATCTGAGGCGGTTAAAAAAACAACTAAATAAGTAAATAACCTAACAAAATCGTTTAAATATGCTTAATTCTACTTCTCCTTTTTTCGGAGAAGACTAAGACCGAGTACACTAAACTACTAAAACAAAAGACTCCAGGTCCTAGTCACTAGGGGTGTGCCGGATCCGTTTTTTCCAACCGGATCCGGATTTTCTTGTGCGAAATCCGCCGGATCCGGAATAATCCGGATTTCGGTTTCTCCCAGATTTTGGTACTATACTATTGGCCACTATTAGCGGTGCTGACTCTAGCCTCTGGTATGTTCGGAATATTAAACATTAAACAAGCTCAACGCTCGAAACAATCGATTAATGTATCGTGATCGTGTGGAATTCGGGAAAGAGAATTACTTTTATTTCAGATTATGATCCGGTGAGTCACAAAATCTGTCAAATTCCGAAATCCTGTATATTCCGGTTGTTCCAGATACATGTAAATCCTGCGGAACCGAATTTCACCGGATAGTGCAAAATCCGAAGGAACCGGATTCCGGCACACCCCTACTAGTCACTTCAAGCACCGCTACACTACTTCACTTGCAGGAACAAGATAGAAAAATACCATACCAATAATAATGGTAAGCCGTTAAAGATCAAATCTATTTGTCACTTAGATTCAATTTTAATTTCATACCAAACTTAACATTTTCTGATGAAAAACAAAAAAGTTATGATTGTTTAGAGATAGCATAGTAGTGTGTTCAATGATATTCTTTACAAGTTACGAGAGGCTTTTTGATATATATATATATCCAACAAAAAAGTTGCAAAACAATTTTAGATTTGCAACCCTTATTTGTGTGACCCCTACATACATGCCATTTGTAACACTTCCAATAACTGCAGTGTAATAAGCTTCTTTAAACTTTTTATCAATGTTATTCTTAATGTGTCTGCAAAGTTTCATTATGATATTGCAATACAAATTTGTCATTTTGCGTAATTGTCAAAATTGGAATTTATCAATTTTTTGCAATTAGTCACAAATGTAAAAAAATAAAATAAAAATTTTTTTTTGTCCTGTTTGTGTATTGATTGTACTAATTTTTTCTCAATTAACATAGAAATTTTTTTTTGGACCCATCATGGACCACCTTAAGCTCAACATAAACTTTGACCATTTTTTTTATTATAAATAATGTGAGGGAGATGCAGCAAATTGCTCAACCATATTAAAAATTAAAGACAATGCAGCAATCTCTGAAATTTACAGGAACATATAATCTTTTGTAACCCTTTTGAACTATAAATGCTGTTGGCTTAAATTTTAAATAGATTTGTCTGTAAAAAAAACATATACGTACAGGTGATCGATTAGATACTGCTGGATGTTCTTTGTAGAAATTCTTTTCAAATTTTGAGAGTGTAGCTACATCCCACTTTGGCTTTCGTAGTCGTTCACCAGGTTGTGACCCTTTCATTGAGTTTCGAAAGCCCCCTCCAGCACCAGATCCCCCACCTCCTCTTCCCCTGAAGCTGTCTCTGTCACGTGTACCACCACCTCCACCATATTTTGACCCTCCATCTCTGTAGAAATAACATTAACACCACATTCAATAACAAGATTTAAGAGGAGATGCTGTCAAGATTTAAGTACCGAAAAATACTGAAGCACTTATACTTTCTTAAAACTTACCATGAGTCTATCTATAATCTATAGTCTATTAACTACTATTGAGCACTCCTCAGAAAGGGCGTCACAAATGTCAAATACTTTTTGTTACCAAGTCTTCCAAGTGTACTGCTACTAGCCTAATAAATAGCCGCCATAATAAACTGGACATGTGTAATTACTGTAGACTATACTATAACTATAGACTATAATTTGTCACTAATACTAATTAGTAATACTAATAAATAGTAGTAATACAGTAACAGTGTAACAGAAATAGTTCATTGGGCATTCGGCATCGCTACACTACAAATTTATTTATTAAACAAATGCCGAACATCATACACATCACATTAAATCAAATTAAGGCAACGATTTCACAATAACATTCCTGTTACAGTAATAAAAAGTTAAATTGGTCCCGACAAAAAAATTAAGACCAAAAATTATTTTAAGTTCGCCCACATGCAAAATACTTGCAACTGACACTAGTCTGACAACCATTTTTGTTCATTTTTTTCGGACTAAAATGTTGAAAAAAATTTCGGAATAAACCACTGTTGAAATGCAATAAAAAGCTCTTACCCTCCTCCTCTTCTGTCTCTTGAATCGAATCTTCCTTTCTGTGACATTATTTTGCTATTTCTTTTGATAAATTTCACTCAACTTTAAAAATTTAATACTACTAAGATAGCCTAACCAACTAGTCGGTCTCTGGACAAACACGTGAAAGAACGAGGCTGTGTATGAATATATGTTAATCAATTACATCCGTTACATATATTAAATAAATATATTTTTTAAATTGATTTTTTCATAATAAAGGGATACAAATTATAATTATTCCATTTTAAACCACACAAAAAAGATAATTTTTGGTTAGGGGAAGTCATATTTACTAAATATATTTGGCACTATTTTTAATACGTCATTTCTATATTTAGTTGATGACGCTAGTAGTTTGAACCGGCTTAACACGTGGTCCAACCGTGATAATACATTAGCCATCAATTATTTAACACAATTCACACTAGAAAATGCTAAAATGTTAGAAACAATTTTTCGAGGAAAAAAAAAATTGAATTTAAATTTGTAAGATACTAATGATTTTTTAGTTTTATTTTACTTTAACTTTTTGTTAATTTATTGCATTTCAATATTCAACCTCCACACATTTTTTTTTTAAATTTAAGTTAATAAAATTTAATATTCTCCATATTCACTGACAAACATTCTCAGTGCAAGACACGTCACGTCCTGAGCACGTGCCGTGGTCGACCCTGGAAAGAAGCTTAAAAGCTTGGTCCTCATAATGTTATGTCACCATCACCAAACTCCGTTGCCAACACCCGAGTTCCTCCAAGGTTCGCTTTTACTCGGTCGTGGCATTTACTTGGAAAACGTTCGTACAAAAAAACATATTTAAAAATCGTACAGTCCGACCATTCGCCACACTTTTCACCGTGCCTTGTCCTCCTAGTAGGCCTTTATCTATTGGCAGGTCAGGTTGTCGAAGAGCGACCCTAGTCTTCGCAAGACTTCATTTAGGATAGGCCTGGCAAAAAAAAAAAAACAAACAACAACATTGTTTTCGATATGCCTGGCTTGATCAGTTTTCTTTGATGGCTTGCCTATTCTTGTCATCTTAAAGGTCCAGTGTGTATATTTTGTATTGTTTTCCCAAAACTCATTTATCGAGAGTACCAAGTGGTAGATATAGCAACATCTTTCATCATCTAAGTACAATTACTTTCCTCGGGTACTCGTAATCACGTAGAAAGTGACTGGCATAAAGATGCTCAGCAGGATGTAACAGCATTCTTGAGCATCATTTGGAATCCAGACCGACATATCCTAAGTCAGATAGACAAGTCTATTTCTAATAAGATTTTTAGAAAATCGAAATAAGCTTTTGCCGATATTATCCAGTCATTTTCCATGGAACACAAGACATCGCACATCGTGGCAAAAATAGTGACAGCGGACATGTTCATATTCTTTTTCAGTTAAAATGGAGGCTGGCGCAAAAGACACAGAGACACATTTGCAGACGTCGTTGCTAATGCTCCTTATACTTCTCACATGATCCAAATCAACTGATCATCTAGATATGCGAGGAAATACTAAAGAAACAAATTATTATACCAGTCAAAACATCTGTAGCATTATCAATATTAGCGCTGAAACGTCTGATACATCAATAATATAACAATTGTCGTTGGCGGTACGTTTCAAGGTCGAAGGTCAGCACCACCGAGGCGACTCGGCGGTGTCACATGGGGTTTGCCTCTTCGTGGTGTGCCAGACTAGTAGGGAGATCTCCTCCTCCCGAAGCCAAAAACCCCGGCCACTTGCATGACTCCTAACGCAACGGGAGGAACGCAATAAAATGATTACTTGTTGCCGTTAATGGATATGAGGTATGGGTGGCTGTTAAAACCCTTGCCGATTATTTTAGCTACGCGGCCCCGAGAAAGCCGCTCCTAGGCGACCGTTTCGTCCCCCGCTTACGTCCCAACCGGACAACTCCCTGGGCGGTCGGGGGAGGTAACGAACACCTTTCCCCCGGAGAGAAAGCAAAGCCGTTCAGACCCAAGGAGAGTGGACCGCGAACGCTTTAAACGCAGCGTTTTCAGTCGACCGGACGTCCCCCGGGCCAGGAGGGAGGTTCCCGAAGTGCTTCGGCACGGTCTGGCGGCTGGGCTTTCTCTCCGGGGGGGGGGGTGGTATTAAGAGCTTACGCTCGACGACCCACCGACGCCATCTCCAATGTGACGTTATTGGTAAACAACGTAGAGAGTGCATTTAAAATTTGTGAAGAATGTATCGGATTCCAACCACTGAAGCAAATGGCAGCAATAAATCATTGAAATCAAGGTGGTCTGGACATGACAAAATTACTTGGACAAGGATATGACGGCTGTTCCACAATGACAGGAGAAGAAGGCGATGTTCATACTAAGATTTTACCAAAAGCAGATTTTGCTTCTTAAATTGTTCTGAATCGGCTCAATCTGGTGGTTAATGATTTGAATTAACTTATTCAAGTGCGTACAATCAAAGCTTTCGTTAAGTATTTTCGAGGAAGCATAAAGCGAAGGTGGTTAATACCCAACCATTAGTCTGTGAAACTCGATGGTCCGTAAATATAAAAGGATTTTCATTTTCAGGGAGAATTTCGAGTAAAACGTGACGTCAAGATGCTTACCAGCTATTGTGTTCATGCTCTTCGCTTACATTTCTCGGATGTCTTGTAATTTTCTCTACACTCAGTGATACTGGTAGGTACAAGTAACTAAATCATTACAATTCATACAGCTGGATTCGGTAAGTGCACATAAACTTATTTGTAAAGTAACGGGGATTTTCCGTGAACATCATCAGAATTTCGAAACTCATTTTATGAAAAATTATTTATGAAAAAGTCTTGGCTCTTGCAGCTTTATTTAACATTAAGATGAAAAGCCCTCATATATTTGGACTTTGTTCTTGTAGCTTTAGTTAACATTGAGATGAAGAACCCTCGTGTCTATATAAAAAAAGTATATCGCAGCAATCCTAGCAACTCAAATAAAAAGACTGAGGATACCGACTCAAAAAAAAAAAAAAAAAAAGAAAAGAAAAAGACTTTTTTGATAAGCAATATTTGTTCCATACTTGAATTCTATAAAACCATTTCTAAGAACCGTTTCTCTGGAGACAACAGACCCCAGTCCAGCTATTCAGACTTCAGCATGCTATCCCGACAGACCTTAATCGTGTCCAGTTTAAAAATAGCGTTGCTATCATTAGTAGTTAGTAATCAATTGACAACTTTGAGATTGAAGCTATAAACTGGGTTGATTTTTGGAGCATACAGCAACAATCACAAGATATTACAAATGACTTACAGCCTATCGACTTGCTTCCAGGCACAGACTTCTTCCTGTCTATTCGCCAAGCTTTTCTCATTGCACTTAGGGGTCGTTCGCAAATTACGTTACGCTCGGGCGGGCGGGGGGGGGGGGGTGTTTCAAGAATTTGTGACACCCTTTGTGACAGTGGGGGTGTAAAAATTTGTGACGTCATTTTTTTTAAAAATATAAAATTTTCTTTTTTTGATTTTAAAAAAAAAAATTAATTAGTTTAACAAAATTAATTTGAGGTCAAAATTGCCTCAGGTATTATAGGTACTATGTGTCAAGGGTATGAAAACTCAGTTTTCTTATAATACTGCATCTCAGTCCATTATGGGAACATTTTTAAAAAAAAAAAAAAATCTTAGTTTAGTTATGAACATTTTATGTATGTTATGAATTTTTTAGGGTGACGTGATACGGGGGGGGGGGGGGAGAGTGGGGTAAAGAATTTGTGACACTTCGTATTTGTACAAAATATTTGTAGAGGTAGGCCGTCAGTGACCCTTGAAAGAAGTTATGATAAAACACTATCTCAAATAAGCACTTTATAGTCGTATAGCTGTACCAGCATCGAGCAAGAAAATAGAACGAGTAACTAAATTGGAAAATTATTTAAAAGAAAGTTGAGAACTAATTTAATAATATCAGATCAGAGTATAAATTGTAAACTTCCGGCAAGGAAAGGGAAACCTGGCGGGAAGTCTGCTGTTAAATTCTGTATTACAGGATTGATAAGGCTAAACAAAATATCTGCTTTGTAACAAAATATATATAAACAAATTCTATTGTTGAGAAACATATGCGGAAAACTCAACATGCAGAAATCAATTATGTAAGTCTTTTCCAACTAAAATTGGGTAAAATTTTAAAAAGATTTGACATCCCCTCCTCCCTCAAACTCAAGACAGACAAGAAAAGCTCCGTCTAACATTTCTCTAGAAAGTGGTCACAGGGCTAGAGCCGGCGATTCCAGCTAACACATATCTAACCCCGCTGAAGCCAGGTCGCTTAATCAGAGCCAAACGCTCAATAAACACTGACTTCACCTCTGACAACTAGCAGTTACATCCGGAACAATGATAAATGCTTCGGCTTCACTGTGCCTTGGTGTAACACAGTTCAATATAAATAAAGAATCGTTCTTCCCACGCACAATAATTGCTTGGAACCAACTGGACAATGCCGCCGTGGACTCGACATCAATGAAGAGTTTCAAGGCTGCCCTGGCACCTGCTATGAGTGGTTAGGATAGCCGCATCGTTTACCAATGGCCCATGGCAGTGTCTACACATCTGGTGCGCCGGAGGTATATCTCCCGCACTTTTTGTCCGGGGACAATGTCACATGACTGCCGGAATAATACTTTATCGAGATATTTGTCCGGCGACCAAGTCACATGACCCCCGTAACAAAGTGGCGCGAGATATTTGTCCGTCAGCCATGTCTCGTGACCGCGAATGATTCAAAACTATTGTTAATTTTAAAATCTATTTCTCTACCAAGTAATTTACTGAGTATCTTGCAAACAAATAATAGAAAAAAATACTTAGGTATATTACCAAACAAAGTGGGGGTTAAATAAGCAATAATGCATTCTAGAAGGAAGCAATGCTAAGAGGTAGAGAGAATAACGGTAATAAAAAATACGAATGCTAAAAAAATAAATGCTGAGGGTGATAAATAATAAAGTTTAAGGCGAGGGGGGGGGGGGGGGATGGTTAACAAAGAAATATACCCTACATCTTAATATAGGGCCAATATAGTGGAAGCCTAGCCTACTTGTCATGCAATACTAAATACTGATCCTGAAATACAACTTTATTGACATAGGCATAGGTCTATTGAA